TATATCGACTTGGAAGGAGTTGCCCTCGGCCGTCACGGTACACTCTCCATTCTCTCTCTTTACGTCGCTCCTACGAAAGAAACATACCTTATCGATATCCACACTCTCGGAGCAGTTGCTTTCACCACTACCAACAACGGAATCTCTCTCAAAAGCATCTTAGAATCAGGAACTATCCCGAAAGTCTTCTTTGACATCCGCAACGACTCAGATGCTCTGTTCAGTCTCTTTCAAATCTCCGTTCGAGGCGTCGTGGATCTTCAACTCATGGAACTTGCATCACGAAAGGGTTCTCGCAAGTTTGTTTCCGGTCTGGCTAAATGTATTGGAAGAGATCTTCAAATTAGTCCAGCACAGCAGACACAATGGCGTGTCACTAAAGAACGCGGTGTTCAACTATTCGCACCCGAGACGGGAGGTCGTTACGAGGTCTTTAACGAGCGACCTCTTAAGCCGGAAATCATTCGATACTGCCAGCAGGATGTTGCGTTGTTACCTATCCTGTACAACGTGTATAACGCCAAGTTGAAAGCTGACGGCGAGGCATTCTGGCGTTTTATAATTCGATCAGAGTCGGAGGAACGAGTCAGGCAATCGCAGAGCGCTAGTTATGACGGTAAATCAAAGGATAAGGCTTTTGGGTGGGATCAAGAAAGTATCACTCGATGGACAGACGACTGGAACGAAGATATCATGATGGAAGCTATGCATGGTTCATAGGTTGTGAGCGGGAACTGGCATTGTGTTGTAGCGACTTGAGAGGATATTGGCAACAGCGAGGAGTTGGAATAGATTGGTAGAGGAAGTTGGATAAACATACTGAGTTTCGAATTTATTGGACACATATTCTTTTAGAGCGGATCATTGTATTGAACTCATTGGTATTCGTGACGATACCAGTGACGACGAAAAGATTCAATTTGAATTTTTTCTTCCTTTTTGAGCTCAAAAGTAATTTGGGAATACCAATATACACATCGCTGTGAGAAAACCTGGCAAACGAATCTAAAGTAAAATTGTTTTTGGCGAAAATTTCGACGACTGCATCATAGTTGTAAGGCGGTGGAGTACCAGACTTATTTGGTTTACGACTTATGCTCGTGAGACATAAGATCCTCTCGGTGATTGAGAGAAAAAGAAGAATAAGTTGAGTGAGATCTAGAAGGTAGATGATGAGTTGGATGCTTTAAACAGAATTCTGCTGTGGTTTCCCGAAAATGAAACAGAGTGTTATCAGTCCGGAAAGGGATACAATGGCACCAGATGAAGTGAGCACGAAGAGAAACAATTCGACAATGATACAAGAGCAAGTATGAGTGTATTGAAATCAGCACGCTGTACATGTACGCGTTATAATACAATCATGAACATTGAACCATTCAGTCCGCCAGATAACCCCATAACCAGTCCCATCTAAATATCAAAAAAAGCGCGAGAGAATCCAAATCTAAACACCATCACGCCTATTCCGTGGCAGGGCGCGCAGCAGCTGGTGCCGCGGCAGCAGCCCCAGTCTTTGGGTTGACGATGATACCAACACCCGATCCTCCCTCACCGGTACCAAGTTGAACTTCGGGTCCGGTAGTTAAAGCGCCTGTTGCAAAACTCAGCGCCGCATTAAAACCAGCGAGATCTCGCTTCTCGACTGGGGCTTCAACAGGGGCGGCACCCACCTCTGGCTCACGAGGCTCGACGGCCCGTCCAATGCCAGCGCCGTTAGGAACTTCGGCGGCTGGAGTGACGATTGTTGGGGTAACTGGGGTGGCGGGCTCGGATTCGGATCGTGTGAGGCCTTCGGCGGCTCCGGATCCTGAGGCGCTGGCACCGGAAAGGGTGTTGAATAGGGCTTCAGCTCCTGCTTCTCCTCCTCCGAATGAGATTTCACCATCACCGACTACCAGTGCTGGAGAGTAGGCACCGAGGTTGATGTTGAGGGGAAGGGCGACGACGGCAGTGGCCGAGAGGAGGGCGGCAAGGGCGAATGAGTATTGCATGTTTGCGGTGTTGTTGTTTGTTTGGTGAGGTGGTGATGGATTAGATTGTTTGAAACGGGATTTTTGATAGTGATTGAAAGCTGGCTGTTTGATGATGGAATTATAAAATTAATGAATAGACTGAAGGAAGACTTGCTTCTTGTTTAGGGTCGAGAAATGAATGTGAGCGCAGCTGAAGAAAAAAGAGGAGAAGTTTGGGACGCTGGGGACTGTACTTATACAATGCGTGGGAGCATTGATGCGAGAGTAGCTGGAGTTCAGATGATAGCCTCCTTCCCTGGTCAGTGATAGTTCACTATTGGCATGTTCCACGCCCATGATATCTCGAGACCCAAACAAGCCTCGTCTAGTCCAATGACAAGCAACGAAGCGGAGCAAAAACGACGAAAATGATATCGAGAAACCTTGACCGATGAGCTTGTTGAAACGCCAACCCTATGACAGGTCTCACAGGCCGTTGCAACAAGCATCTGCCAAAAGGAGAATTTGCTCGGCATCCAGAGAAACTTTACAAACTGGGTGAAGAGCCCCAAAAGCCAAGATGTCCATGGGGAAGTGGGCATCCGAGCGTAGACAACCCGGGCCTAAACCAAGCATCTCGACTCGAGGCTTTTTTATACCAAGGAGTACTTTGACACGTGCCCAGCACTTGGCACGGGTCTGGTAAACCGTCAAGCTACTTCAAGCACTCAGTTGAGACGCCTTGCATGAGATGTCCACGTATTGGCGGGTTTCGAGGCCATCTCGATCGAGTATCTTTTGGACGAAAATGCGTCTGAGGTCCCGCTTCGAGTTCTTCCAAGAGAAGTTGAAGCGTAGCTAAGTAGCATCGACAGATTTTGGCAAAAGCTTGGTGACTTTAGAGAAGTCAAGGTCGATATCCAAGAAATCTGAAGGTTGATACTTGAGATGGAGTGGATTCGTGAAATCTGGAGGCGGAAAGGGTCGTCCGGATCAAAGTCGGTCCATTTTCAGGGGCTCCAGCTCGGCTACCGAGCCCCATTATTGACATCACGTGCGACGATTTTAAGTCGTCGACGACGGTTGATTAGCAAATATGAAACTGTGCAAACCTCATAACTCCCGGATGCTACGCCGGCTGCTGAATCGACGCCTCAACATTGTTCGCCAAGACGTTGCAACATGATCAATCTGGGATATATCGCCGCACTGCCGTTGGGGTACCTTTTCGTCTGGCTTCCCGTCCAGGAGATGCTCTTTGGACCTGCCCAAAAGTCCTCAGACCTTCCTGTCACCATTTTCAACAGCTCTTTTATTGCTCTTGACGAGCACGTGAGTTGTCCTCCTCATACCTACAACACTTTCATTCTCTCCCATGAACCGTTGGTGATATATATTGAGAACTTCTTGAGCCCTCAAGAGTCGAAACATCTCATTGATATCAGGTACGTGCATTACCAAGTCTGGGGAAAGGCTTCTTTTCCGCCTTAATCCGGGGTCAAGCTTCCAAGAATGCTTTTATTGCGTGTCGTACGATTCCTTCTGCATCCAAGAGATCATAAGGATTTGATCTTACTCCTTGCATTGCGATCCTTCCGCCCAGCGATGGAGAGATAAAAGCCGGCTTACCCCAATTTCCAGTGAAGATAAATTTGCGCCTTCGACCGTCTCAACGGGCTCAGACACAAGCATTCGAAAAGACGTTCGACTTTCAGAAGTTGCGCTTGTCGATCGAGATGATACCGTCCAGTGTATTGAGCAAAGGGCACGCGCATTTCAGGGGTGGCGACCGGACCTTCAAATTGAGCGGTTGAGGACCCAAAGATATGGGGTGGGTGGACATTACTCGAACCATTACGATTGGAGTGGTGCTAGTCGAAATGCTGATCGAGTAAGTACATTTATGGTATACGTCGACGCGGAGTGTGAAGGTGGTGGGACCAAATTTCCAAGGCTTCGAATGCCTAGTGTGAGTAAAGGTCGTTGGTGCGAGTTTCTTGAATGCAAAGACGACGATGCTTCAACGGAGCGAATTGGAGATCAAGATGACTTGGGTATAGTATTCAAGCCGATCAAGGGGAATGCCATCTTTTGGGAAAATTTAAGACCAGACGGAAGAGGATATGAAGAGACATTTCATGCTGGACTGCCGGTTCTGTCAGGGACCAAAGTTGGATTAAATATATGGAGCTGGGGACCAGCAAGAAGAAGATAGAATTTATTACGGTGGACTAGATAAGTGCCAGCAATCTGCTACTGAATATCTCATCTAGATCTCACTCAAACCTACAGGGTTGTTAATCTAATGAGGTTTTAGATTATAGTTTAACGATTTTCATTACTTACAACAATCCACGAAATATGTAATATCGTGTTAATACTGCCGCTTGTCTACTCATCTTGAGGAAGCGTATATGGATGATGTGCTTCAAACAACATACTCAACAAGATTACCCATTAAGCTTTAGCTTAAGTGAATAATAAAGAAGGGTTTTGTATATTAAGGACCGATGAACTTTTAAAAGAAAGTACTATACAAAATAGCTCTCTCTATCGACTTGACCCAAAGTAGGTTACTGCACTGTACTTTCGGATTATGCTAATGCTCCAAAAGTTCAAACCTTCGCAACCTCATATCGAGTCTCGCGCAATCCTTTGAACTGCAATGTTGAAACTCTGCCGCTCGTTTCCATAGCATACAAACTCTACTACGCTTCGTGGATATCTCATCTGGTATTATTCCATCTGATCGAAAGGTAAGCAATTGAGTGTGAAGACCTACGCTTTCACCGAGTCTCAGAGATCGAAATTTTTGTTTGCATCTATATTCACCCCAACATGAACAAGACAATCAGCAAACAAGTGTCCCGATTGTCCAAGAATTCGACCGTAACTTTCCATCTCTCTCAACTATCCTCCATCTCGGCCTCAGTGCACTACACTCTTCTAAATCACAGCACCGGCTTCCAACAACATACCTCGACTTTTGAATCTGCGCTGTCCTAGACAATCTGCAAGCCGACTGCATACTCTTCGGGACGTGATCGATCGAAATAGACATAATCATCGTACCAAAAATGGACCACTCAACCATCCCAACACCACCAACCCCCAAACGTACATCCACATTCCCACAATCAAGTCCACCCAAAGACCCTCACAAATCCCTCCACCTAAACATCGGCATCGAGCTGTCACCGCCACACCCACCACCCATCCCCTTCCCAACCTTCATCGAACCAACAACACCAAACTGGGACGTCCCCATAACACCAACCCGCAGCAAATCCCTCCTCCGCCGCCACAACCTCGTCCCACCTCCCTCTCCAGACACCACTCCATTCTCACCACCCCCGCCAACCCATCCCCAAGAAAAAGATACCAAACAACTAGTCTACAACCTCGCAACCTCCACCTTCCGCACCGCACCCCGCTCCACCCTCCTCACCCCCCACCTAGATCCAATCACACCTCCCACAAACCCAGCAATCCGGTCTCCCGCTAACGTGCTCCAAAAACGCACATCCCGCGCGTCACTCAACCCATGTTTCGAACTCGACGAGAGGTCTCCGCCTATGCTGATTGATGGCCGGAAAACTATCGTGCGGATCCCGCGCTGGAAGAGGGAGATGGATGTGTATTGGCGGCGGGGCATGGATGTGCGGGGGCGGAATGGGAGAGGGAGTGGGACAGGCGGGACGGAGGTGCTGGTTACGAGGGTGAAGCTGCCGAGATGGGTTTGGTTGGGGAGGAACGTGTGGGGGAGGTGGGACGAAATTTGGGTTGAAAGGGTTTGAACCTCTAGGAGGAATGTTCTGAGTGTTGATTGGGGTAGATGCTGGATTGAGGAGTCTACGTTGGGTGGGGTCCAGGGTTTGCTTTACTTGATTTTTAAAGCGGCTACTAGGTGATGTTCTACGTAGGTTCCAGAAGGGAGTTTGGCCTGGTGCCATTCGGTGGTAGATGCTGGGTAAAATCTCAAATCCTGTCTATTCTTCAGTTGTAGTTCCCACCCAAATGTACACACTCTCCTGGGACAGGAAAATCAGTTTCCAGCTCATCCATCAGAACACCATCATTTTCAGGCGAAGTCTTGAGATGTCGACAAACCTCCATACGAGCACTTCCAAGTCTCTTATTATCCAATTATTCAATGTCCATAAAGTCCACAAAGTCCACACTTTCTAACTCTAGTAAGCCTAAACACAATAGAAAGTTACTCATTGTAAAAAGAATTGTAGTCTTGACCGCTATCAGACGGCTCGCCAGATGTTAGCTCTGACTCCTTCGAAACTTTTCATTCGCATGATTTCAATAGCTGGTGTGTATCTAGTATGTAAAAATGAGTGAGTTAATGATCAGGAAATGGTAGATCAGTGGCGGAGCTAAGTTTGTATCACTCTCATTGAAAGAACTTCATTATCTGGAGTAAGGAATCATTGAGTGGTTACTTCAAGTTCTTAGATATTAGTAAGAAGTGGTATAGCAGATAATATAAAAAGTAGCGAGCCCGAAGCAACGGAAGAATTCTTGACAGTTGTCGTTTTATGGACTGAATACCTCTGCAGCAAGCTGATTCAAAATCCACATTAGCTAGGACTAAAACATGAGTTGAAGTATCGACTTTTTCAATTCAGAATGCAAATCTTTTTCTAAAAACTCCTGCATTCACTTCAGAGTTTAAGTGATATTTGTCGCTTAATTAACTTAGAATCTGCCCGTATTACAAGAACGTTACATTTCACTCGGATTTGAAGACACATGCACTTAATAGCGCTTGCAAAAAGTCGAAACCAAGAATACATAGCCAGTTTTGGAATCATAATTAATTTCATTTCATGTAACTAGTTCAGAGATTGAGAGTGACTCGTGCGCCAATCCTGTCATCATGAATGAAGCGAGAAACTCCAAAAACCATGTTACAGTGATGAAAGGCCTCAGCGTTTACCAGTGGGAGATTCTACCACAATCAAATCCAAGGCCAGCAAGACAGCCCTGAGTGCCACGTCTCAAGATAACATTGTACAGGTCAGTATCGAATTTTTGGCCACGTGTAAAGTGACCTCCGCTTCCATTCACGTCGGTACAATCCTTAAGGAGATCCCCAGCATAACTGGAAATGTAGTTGGCGTTAGGGCTAATACGGTGAGGACCCTCGTACAAGTCAGTCAAAGGACAGTTGAGCAAAATCAGGAATGAAGAACTTACATCGTTGCATAGCCAGATATCGGCCTCACCCCAACACATTATGCGGGCACATGATTTAGCTTCTACTCTAACAACTCCCTGCGTTTGTGCTAGAGCAATGGAAGCAAATTGACCACACTTGTACCAAGCGTAGTTCCATGGCTGTCGGATATTCTTGCAGCAGTAGGTTTCCGCCTATTTCCACGTTAGCTCTCTGTAATAGACTTTGAATGCAGAAAATTCAGTCTCACCTTGTTACGGCGTTCGATGGTAGCGTTGTTAACGTCCGAGACACCATTTGGATCAAAGATAGCTTCAGAGACTGGATATGGCAGGTCGGAATAATCCTCGACTGTTTCGGCCACTGGGAAAGGGGATGCAGAGACGAGTGTGAGAACACTCAAAAAACCGAAGACGTAGGTTAGAAGTTGCATTTTGACTTTGTTAAGCGAAGGTTGGAATAATTCAGAGCTTGACTGGCTGTTTGGTGGAAGATGAAAAGAAAAGACGGTTGGCGATGGAGGAAGGAGGAAAGAAAATGGAAGAACTAGGAGGGAGTTGCTCCTTTTATACACTTGAAGAAGAACAAAATTGTGGGTATCGAGGCTACGAAATTCTACGTACAGTTGCTGTGAATGATATTCGAGATCAAGGAGGTATAGATGCTAAGGATATCTGCTTGCAATCGCTGTGATTAATATTCGACATAATGGTGCTATCAGATGACCTTTCTTCCCATTTAATAGTGAATGAAGTTAATTTGTTGGTATCTTGCTCAAAAAATCAAGCAATTAATGTGCGGAGATTATAAATTTGTGATGTGAAATGAGGGCTGTGACTTGACAACATCTATTTCCTTTGGCCTACGATAGTAAATAGCGAGACTCCAAGGCCTTGCCCCCTGGCATTCACTTTATTTGAATCTAGTTATTTTTAGTATTAGACTCCAACTTTCTGCCTTGGTATTTTTAGAGGAGATTATTTTTGGCAAGAAACTGTTAGGTGCAGGACTAATCATTCACAGGTTTTCAATCTTAACAGACAGTGGTTCCTAGAATTCACTTTGGGCACTTAAGATATTGAGAGGCTCAGGAGATGCCATGTTAATGAGCACAATAGACAGCAAAAGTCTGTACAAAACTGTGATCCGTGTCGGGATGCGAATGATGATGAAAGGCTGATGTGTCTTTATGGGAAATCTAATTCGAAACAACCGAATATAGGGATCTGTCGTGGGATTCCTTCTTTGTAAGCATTGTTTTCAGTACCCTTCAAGTCTAGATAATTCCAATGTTGCCTATTTCAGTTTTAAATGTTGCTCTAGGCACTGGGGTTCTGATAGAGATTTCAATGCTTTCATATAAGTTAACAAAACAACTCCTAAAGATATCGCCTTCCCTTACTCCTAACAAATAGAACCCCACCAGAATTCTCTCTACTCCACTCGCCCAAAATCCGACAAAGTCTCTCTTAGCCCCCCATTCTGATCCCGAAACTCTTGACAACCAATTTCCGCTCATAGTTTCTGGACAAATATCTCTAGTGTTCATTAGAAACCCCAAAGTAATCTCACATATATTCAAAAACGGAAAAAAGGATACGTACTCTAGGCCCAATTACTTCTATCATTGGCAAGTTTCTTTTTATTCGCAAAACCCCTACCAACTAAGCTCAATTCACTATCAAACACATTTGAAAGGCTGGTGGAACGCGTTTTGGATACATTACAGCCAGGGTTCTAAGGTTCAAGGCTCTGCTCATTCAACAATCCGTCACCATCTACGTATTCCATAATGTTTTTGACCATAGACAGAATTTTCCCCACATGCTCACCTTTACGCTCCTTTGCAATTTTATGTATGTACAATTTCAATACCCGGTGAGGGGCTGGGATATAGGTAGGCGGGTTGCTGATTTGAAAAGCACCAGTTCCACCATTTGGTCGTTCTGAGGGCGATCGAGCGTCGGAAGCCAGGATGATGTCGCTGTTCTGGGTTTGTGCGTCTTGAATCTCAGCAATTAGAGCTAGAAAAGATAGAATTTTTGACTGGCTATGGAAGGAGAGAATGTGACCTAATCTTCAAAACGCTTCAATATTGTACTCGAAGTTCTCAGGATAACATAGTTATTTGTCAGAACAACATGTTATCTCCTGTTATACTACTACTGTTGTCATATTTCCCCTCATTTACCACCAAAAATCCCTTCTAATGCTGAATCTTTGCAGACCATGTTTCAAGTTCAGCCCCACCGAATAGTTCCACTTCTCACTTCTTCTCTTCTTCTTCTTTTTCCCTTTTCTCTCTCAATGCTTCCTGCCCACATTCCCGACATGTAGAGTACTCGATGGGCCTTCAACCCACTTTATCTCATACCACAGACATGGTACACTTTTGAATGGTATTCCCCCACACATAGTGAGATCTCGCTTATCGGTTGATTCATATCGGTGTTGTGGGTCATCTCTTCTTTTGCAATCTTTGTACAAATAGTAATTTCGTTTACACATGATGAAATAGCGCTGGATTTGAGGTTCTGATGTGAGGCTAGTTTAAGGTAGGGCGGTTTTGAGGTGAATTAAATCGAGTGCGTTTGTAAGAAAATTTGGAATGCTGTTCTTTGGGGGGTGTTGATGGCTGATGATGAAGGAAAGTGAAATGGAGATTTGACAGAGCAGAAGGAGATTCATATACCCACTGATTCCATGACTATGTTGCAATTGTTAGGGGTATTATACACCTGATCCTCTCTAGAATAACATTTTTTACTTGTAGTGGTAGAGCCCGTTGGAAAACTATAACACTTCCAACCGTCATTTGACACTTGAGAACACAGACAATTCGTTGAATCCTCAGTCAACATACTCTAAACTTGGTTTAACCGCCAAAGAGTTTTCCAAGATCACCCATTAGATCTCCGTTAACCACTCAATTATTCAAAAGTCTGTTCTGAGAAACTTTCAACTGTTGTTTGCGTGTCATTGAAGTGGCTGAGAGACGCACACAAGCTAAGCCACATGGCCTGCCTCCTTCTCCGTCCAAATAATAAATTATAGCCGCTGCACACAATGCCACACATTGATCCACGAACTTCTATGAGGCTGCAGATGAACTTTACAGCGGTTGTTATTTAACGAAGTTCTCATCGTTAAAATTGGAGGACCGAAAGCGAGATACTGTTGATGGCACGCGACAAAAAGTCCATGTTACCAGAGCCAATAAATTCATTGTCTGGTTATAGTATCCAACTTTCAATCTTCCAAATGAATGTATTGTAACCTATCAAAATACATCACAATTTCAAATATTTCAAAAAGACCGTCCCTCCACATACGCTACTCGAATTCCTCACTCATTCCCATCGCCCCAACAACGAAATCAACTTGATGATCCCTTCTCCATCATAATCCTCTCTTCAATCTCATCCTGCTCTTCCTCTGCCTTTTCTATGCGATCCGACAACTTCCTATCCTCCCTCTCCAATCTCTGGATCTGTTATTTTGGCTCGCCTGATCACATTGCTCGCAACTAGTCAGCGAGTAGTCCTTCATACGGTCTGCAGTCATGTTGTCCCAGTCGTTGCAAGGAGCTGATAAATTGTGCTTTTGAGCGTGTTTGCAGGAAATCCAGGCTTTGTGAATGAAGTGGTTGGACTCTGGGCAGGGTCGGTATTTGTAGACGAGTTCTTGACACATGGTGGGATGATAGGTGGTTGATGGCTTAAAACGGTATGTTCTATCAGTTGCAGGATTGCAGGTGATTCTTTTAAGTCCATATCGTATGTGAAAAGGATAGGACTTTATATCTCTCAAGTTATTTCATGATCTGGTCTTTCAGAATTAATGGAATGTGAAGCTATATCTAACAGCATTATATCAAATGAGTATCAAGGAGTAATCTTTGTTCACTCTAACTCACAACATTCCTATATTACCTATTGCAATCTTTTCATTGGTAAGAATAAGGCCATTCGACGCATTGGAAGGGCTTTTTATGCCCACCAAACAACATGCTTCCTGGGTTATACCGCATTCTTCTGGAAATAATCAGTCAAATCCCTACTCCTGAGCCTCACAGGATCGCACACATCTACTGACTGTATTCCTGGGAATTGTTGTCAAAGAATCAGTCAAAAGTAACGATTTCATTATCCTTTTTCTAAACCCATCCTGTAAAATGTTATATTAACACGTGTAACTAGATCCTCACTAACGCTCAAACCTAGAGGACGTCGTCCAAATATCGTACTAGTATATCTTCCTAGCTAACATAAAAAAAAAAAAAAGTCCCATCATCTGATACACTCGCTCAGATCACAAGATCACTCAGACCCTCCCAACAAACACGACACCATTTCCTCTAGCCTTTCAACAACACAGTCTTAGTCGTAGTGACTCCGACAGCTCTACTTACTCGCCTCGCCCTTTTTCTTCGCCTCAAGCTGACGACGTTGCTCAGTAGTCAACATACCCTGCTGCGACATATCTCCACCACCCTGTTCCATGGTTTCACGTCGACGGCGCTCCTCTGTAGTCAACATACCCTGTGCCGGCACATCCCCGCCAACTCGGTTTCCACTGTCACGCATCTTCTCAAATGCCTCCTGCATCTCTGCGTCTTTCTTTGCCTCCTCCGCCGCTTCACGCTTATCTCTTTCGCATTCCTCACACCTTTCTAGTCTCACTGTAATCAAGGGCTTTTTCATAACCTTGTCCTTGTCGTATTTTTCCGGTTTCCCAGGTTCGTTTTCTCTGAGGCAGGGTGTTTCAACTTTCTTTCTAAGCGCGTCTTTACATGGTGCCCAGCCCTGATGTTTGTAGTGCTCTTCGTTTGGGCAACCTGGGAACTTCTCGATGAATTCTTGGCACATGTTGATGGTTGGTGCTAGGTTTTCTGATTGCGAAGGAAGGTTGACGTAGTTGTTGGTTTATAGTAGAATACAGCTAAGTTTGATTGAGAATAAGTGTGAAGAAGTGAGCGGATACTAGTTTGTTCTTATATTTTAAATCCGTATATCCAGAATGAGATTTAGATTTAGATGTGGACAATAAGAAGACTTCAGGTCCGAGAAGACGCCTTATAAAATAACGTGAAAAGAAAAGCTCAAACCAGACGGCCGCGCAGCTTTTATACCCAGACGCTGACCGAATATGAATATTCAAGGTTGAAATATCAGTCACAGCTCGGATCCTCTCAATACACGAGTCTGGCAGAACTCACAAAACAATGAATCGGGTCTACACATATCACGAATCAAATTGAACTTCCTTTGAGGTTCCAGTCAGCTTCTGAGCCCTTGTCTAATTGACTGTTGTTTCATTTGGCTGCAGTAATGAAGCTACTCAGAAGTCAAGCTCAGGGGTCACTGGATATGAAATGACTTTATGATTTGATATTGAAACTTGCTCATGATATGTTGCAGAAGGGTTCGGGATGTCTCAGCAGCTTCTGTGGGACATCATATTTTGAAAGACTAGGAACGGTGGTGGATACCACTCATCAACTCTTCTTGTCCAAAGTTAAAGTCAGCGGAGTTTGTCAGTGACTGGCCAGCGCTATTTACATATCCGTCACTTGCTTCCCGTTATTCTACATTCCAGGAACAAAGTGCAGTCGTAAGATCAAATGTATTCGTATCCCAACTCCCTAAATCCTACTACATACACAACCCTAGTATCGTATCAACAGTACCATCAACCAAAAGCCCAACTCTCACATAACCCACCCCAAAAGATTTCCCTCCTCTTCTAAATTACACCATCACCTCACCAGTCTACTCAAACCCAAACTCCCTCACACACCCACACCCTCTACACTCCACAACCACCCGATTAACCTCCTCCCCCTCCTCCCCCTCCTACCCACACCCCTCACACAAGAACCCAACCCTCTCCTCCTCCCCCTTCCCCCTCTCCCTCATCACCCCCAGCACATCCCCCAAAAACGTCCAATTCGCGCTCAGCGCCGCAAAGAACCTCATCCGACCCTCCACTAACAGCATATCCATCTCCGTAACCGCAGCTTCTACGACCGCTTCCCTGAGTTCCGTTGCCCCATCCCCTTCCTCCGCGTATATAACTTTAACGAGTTCGAAAAAGATATCGATATCTTTCAGCTCCGTGTTCATCACGAATTTAAACTGCGCGGCTGCGAAGGCTTGGAGGGATGGGATGCGGTATTTTCCTGCGAGTGTGTGGATGGCGATATTTGTTTCCAGTGCTTGACGCGGGGGTGAGGGAGGGAGTGTGTATGTTGCGGTATACAGATAGGTTATCACCTGCGTGACAGCATCTAGTGGATCATCCGAAAGATCCAAAACCGCTGGTTCCTACATCCTCAATCAGCGCCCATCCAATTTCGAAATGCAAAAATGAAAAAAACTGACAGCACGAGACCTCGGCGGCGCGTTCCAACACCGTGGCATCCTGGCTCGTCGAAGTTCCATTCTCGCACGCCCGTCTAGATCTTTCTCCTCCTCCTCTGGACTTGCGGACTGAGATAGAGAAGCTCGACTTACGATACACTCGGCGATCTCAGCTTCCAGATACGGCGATTGAGCGCATATGATGACTTTGTGCGCGGACCAGGTCGTGGTGCCGTGGGTGATGGTGAGGTCTGAGAATTTGCCCGTGAGGAGGGACCTGTGATTCTTAGTCAGATCCTGCGTGAGTGGGAAGAGAAAGCGGGACGTACGCGTGGAGACCTGGTGTTGAGGTTTGCGGGATTGGCGAGGCGATGTATATTGGTGGTGTGGACATCACGGTTGAGACTTGCTGGGAGGATTCGGAGGGTGTGTGCTCGGAATTCGATACTGAGCCTGGTGAGGTTGACATCTTGGGAGTTGATGGGTTTTCGAATTTTTCTGGGATGCGATGGTGATGGTGGTGAGGTCGCTGGGGTTGGGCCATGGTGCTGTTTATTGTTTACCGTGTAGGTGGTGATCGATTCGCGTGATTGGGGTGAAGATGTGAGACGCGGACGATTTCATGTGGGAGGTGAAGAAGTTATTGCAGACCGTGGTTGGAAATTTGGATTGTGGAAGGATATATTTTCTCCGCGTACGAAGTGACAAAGGATTGGTGAATTGTCAACATTCTTAAATTCTTTTCTAGCGGAGAAGCAAACATCACCATTTATTAAAGTCAGTAAATTAAATCAGGCAGCAGACAACTTAGCAGAGAGAAACTTACATTATTAGTAGTGTAAGCTATTTTCAACAGTATAATAAGCCATTTTTGGCAGTTTAAGCTATCAACGGCAATAAGCCATAAGCGGCTGGATGAGCCAGAAATGGCGATACAAGCTATAAGCCGCAGTATAGCCACAAACAGTAGTGTAAGTTATTAAAAGCGGTATAGGCCATTAAAGGTAGCTTGAGCTGCAGACGATAGTATCGGCCATTTTCGGCAGTATAAGCCATAAGTGACAGTAGGCCACGAATGGCAGTACAAGCCACGAATGAAAATCTAGCTACTAAAAGCAGTATCAGCAGTCTCTAAATTTGACATCTACATGTAGTAAGATACATAAACCTAATTTTACTGTTAGAATTTGGATTAACAGAAGGCGTTTTTGGATTATCAGGCGGTTAACCGGTCAGATGAAAACCCTCATTCGCAATTGAAACGCTCGTTGAACCTACTAGTAATACCGTAAAGTGTTCCAAAGTTGATTTTCTTCTAGCCAAAGTAGATAGGGTGGTGTATTTTTTTGGGGTTGGACAAATTGAATGTCGTCGCTGATCACATGATGTGTATTCATTTTGAAGGTATATGGTTCACTATCGCAGGTACTATGCCGTTTTCTTTATTATTGACGGTTGCCTAATTGACGGGTTGCTATCGTAAACCTTTTGAATGTTCCATAAAAGTCACGTCTTAGGCATGCGAATAAATCACGTGTGTATCCTCCTGCCTGCACTTACCAAGCTTGTTTAAATCGTCAGCATGGCAACATAACCCACAACACTCAATGTACCCTTTTCTTTTGAAATTATCCTATCCTTCTCACAAAGCCATTTCATCATTCTCATCACAGAGTGGTAATTACAATCCCATCTCGCATCCATAGTGGGGGATCTAGGTTATCCGGTTGAATACCGGGTCAATACAAATGAAGCTGCTCGAAGAAGAGAAGGGCTGAACCTTATCAAGGGGGATGGAAAGCCCCCCACGGGTACCTTACTTGTGCTGCTCGGTTCCGAGGATGGTGTGGGAGGAAGATATCGCTTGAGAAGTACTGGAAGGGATGATGAGCCGGGAGCCGTGTGTAACCGCTGTGGGTGTGGATGTGGATGGATGGGGATATAAATGCAGGTGTTGATGATAAGGATGGGATGGGATTAAGGGTTGAAGAAGATAGAAATAAGGGTCGAAGAATAGAAATAGAGGGGTAACCGTGACGATGTGGCGTATGCTGTTCCTGAGTTGTGGGGTATTATTGTTGGTTTGTTGTTGGTATTGCTTGCCTGATTCCCATACTCGTCATGTGGATTTAAACTATCAAGGTTGTTGGTTGAGTTGAAAAGGGCGTCGTGAAATCGATTGGCGAAAATGCTCCGGCGGGTATCTCGAAAATCGGAACGTGGAGGTGAGCAGGAGAGGACTATTATGCGAGGTATTTTCAAAATAATGCCTCCGAGTGATTCAGACACCGGCAGATGAAATATACTTTCGGGATTGCTGAATAGGAATAGTCCTGCCTCGTAAACGACGCGAACAAGTTGCGTATGTCGTTTTGGCACGTTGTGGCTCGAATGGTATGGTGATGCGTGTGCAGAGGGCACGAGTTGCAGAAAGCCATGCTGACTCGATGATGTGCTCACTCAATGTCTCTGAGGTCCTGGATGTGGGGGTTCGAGCAAGATATCATATTGCAGTCGCTCGCGGACGGTGCCAGCGTCCGCGTCGTGGTGGTGGGGGGTTTGACCTTTTTTAAATTGGAGATGCATGTTCTGGAACGTTGTCGTAGCCCACCAGGTGTCGAGGGGGTGCTGTGTTTGGTTCGTCGTGAGGGCTCTTCCGTTTCCCGAACGAAGTGGAGGGGACTGCACAGGTGGTGCAGTCGGATTTGATGGATGATGCGTGGTGAGAACACCCGGTGAGATACCAGAGTGGAGGAGTTTCTGGACCGGTCGTGGCATGCGTGAAAGGTACGAATAAGATGGATCAAAGTGATGCAATTTGAAGGAGGTGAAGAGTCATATATAATCAGAGGAGCCGTGTTACTGTAGAGTTGGCTTTGTCCAGTGCATATCCACTGCATACTGTTACGAGATATATCGAGAAGGTTGCAAATCCTGAGCACGTCAATTGGAGCTCGTACCCCTCGAATACCCCTCTATGCATCGCACCAACAAGCTATATAGGTACTTGCAGCATTTGATCAACTCATCTCTTTCAAACAAGGCGCAATTTACGATCAATTCATCCATGAAAGTACAGTATTAGGTGTGCAATATTTAATCCAAATTCGTCTACCGAGCACTGTGTCGACTCATCCTTTAGCTAGTTTTAGCTGTCTCAGCACGCCATCGTCCCTCAAACCGCCTAGCAGAACGTCTAGCAGCGACCAAAACGGAGACTACTGCCACCGTGCGGCCGTCAACCGACTACTGCGAGTGCGAGCTGGACCCTCAATTCCTCCATAACGCCATCGTCTTCAGATCTACAAAAGAGTCTGAGCATCCCGCATTTTGTGTTCCTCAAGGTGTTAAGGTGTTTCAATCGTCCATCATCACGACCAAGACTTGTCTATTTGCATCTGAAATCCGCATCTCATTCACTATTCGTCTCTTTAGTCGTTCAGATCAGCGTTGATCAGCTGTACCCGCCCCAAACAGCCCCCCCGCTCCACTATCATATCGATATAATTCCTCCGAAGCGTCGAACCGTCGCTGCATCCAGATAACAACTCAACCCACTTTGACATCGACACCATCATTTTCACGATACAGTAGTCTGCGCCTTACAAGAAGCATCTCACTCTCCGCAGTCGGACAACCATTACATATAATAAGCCAGCGAGCCCACCCTCCATCACAACATTTCGTCGAATCCCCGAAGTCCACTTATATTTACATCGTGCACTTGCATCACGACCAGCTAGTAGATTGCATCCGTTATCGCAATCAATACACCGGAACCCGAGGCCTTAGAAAAAGAGTCACAACACTTGCTTGTCAGTCGTCACGACGACGTTTGCGCCAACCCACAGAAACTCTTCAATTTAATCATTTATCACATCAGCACCAACCGTCACGCGCTACAGAGGTTCACAAGGCGCCATTCCAACTTCGGATATCTCGTATAACCTCCAACACCTCAACCCAAAAAGTTCAACCTCCTTCCAATATTTATTTTCTGCTGGAATCTTGTTTCGACAAATAGATCAGAAACTGTCACTCAGTCGAGTGTATAGCAACCGCCAAACTGGCTCAATCACGCCCCCCACCAATTCATACCCAATACAACACGGCATCCTCCCCTCCGCCATTATCACCACGTACTTCTGAGAAGAAGCATCACACGAGGAGGAAGTCGGGAAAGGAATACGCAGTGTCCGATCGAAAGTCCTCTAGACCGTCTCTGAGCAGAAGAAATACCCCGCAACATGTCACAAAGTCGTCGTCGAGCAATGGATATGGACGCTCGAGCACCAGAGAAAGAGAGCGTGACGATGCTGTAAGAGACAGCGGAGAGGGTTTCCCGCAATTCTGGTACGTACCAATTCCACTTTCCTTCCTTTTTCCACCCATCATCTCGTCTTCCTGCAAGTCAGATGGCGGGGTTCCCCAGGAACCGAATCCCGTTCACTGATGATGTGATTCCTTTTTCCTTCCTACGACCCCCATACTGGGGAGTCGGGAGAGTGTGGGGTGCATATTGTACCATGTAACTTACCATCAGTAACTGACAAATCTTCTGCAGTATGTCATGCGAAAAAGAATTCCAGGCAAGCAACAATACGTTCCTGTATTGCTCAGAAGCGTAAGCCATCCTCACCGTGTAGTGCGATCCGTTAATTAACTCCCAAAATAGCTGCCGCATACATGATACCCAATCCTCACAACCATCCCCATACTTCGCACCCTCCTCACCACCACCATCGCCCTATCCAATGCCATCCTCTTCAACCGAAGGCCCCGACATAATCCCCCGTTTCTCACCCACCCAATCCCGACCACGCTCCTACTTCAACTCGGATCCATACCCCTCCTCATCCTACCAATCCCACCCAACCTACACGCCTTCACCCCCATCCCAAGCCTCACATACATACAACCCCCCCTCTGCCCTCCACTCCCTCCGCAGTCTCGCAACCGCTCTCCCCCGCCACGAACCCGAATCCCCACCCTCCTCCATCTCCCGCACCTCGTCCGCAATCTTCAACTACATGCCCTTCACCACGTCGAAAACCACACAAACCGCATACCAAACACCCGGGAACTCGTATTCGGGGACCACATATACGGCTAGTCAGAGCTCGGGGAGGAGTAGAGAGGATTTATATTCATATGGTCGTAGTTATGGGACGTCGAATGGTGTGGCGTATGCGAATGTAGGTGGGATGGGAATGGATCGGCCGTTGCCGCCGAGAAATCCGGGGCCGTATGGTCATAGACCGAGGAGTATTGATTTGGTTACACCGTATGGTGGGGGGAGCTAGACTGCAGAGTTGAGATGGGTCGGACTTGATTTTATGTGGTAATGTGGAAGCGAGATTTTGTGTAATCATGTGAAAGGCGTTTGGGTAATCATATTTCGGATCTCATAGGCGGCGTACTCATCTATCATATATTTTGGCATATATATATTCTCAAACATATAACGGCCTGGAGTCGGTCAAAAGTTAATTCAAATCAACTCATCTCTGGTTATATCACCTCATATTTCTCTTAGTCTTAAGCACTCTTCTGACGTTAAATAATTTACTGCAATAAGCTGAGACATCGAATAACCTCCAAAACAATAGACCTCCAAAACCAGCAGACCCAGACCTAAAACCACCGTAAATCAATCACAATTTCAGGAAACCCACCCATCAAGACAGACCCTTTCAATTCCCAGCCCTAGCAATGAAATAAATGGCGAAACACACACTTATATCTTAACCGCAGCCCACTCATCACCGATCAAACCTACGACTTCAACGACATTTCTATCCTCCTGCGCTTAGAACTCGTGATCTACAACTCACAAACTCGAAATCTTGACGTTTCTAAACTCCTGGTGTTCTAGAGCTGGGAATACTTTAGTGTTAGTCGGTCTAGAGGGATTTATGTGCCAGAATGCGATGTTTTGGTTGATTTGGAAACGCGGCGGTGGTGCGGTGGGGTGGAGTATGGTTTTTGTCTTCATAGCGTGGTAGGTTTGGTTAGTTAAATACGAGATTTTAGATAGGGTTTGAATGAGAAACCGGGACGGAGAGCTGTGTAACACGTCGCTTTTCTTGGGGAGTAGCACGTTACTCTCTTTGTTGCTCGTAACTTAAAGTCCTATTAGATCCATCGCTATAAGTTGTTTGGAACCCCAGCGTGTAGAACTCCCCAATGAAGTGTTAAAAAGGCAGTTTGTCAGCAAATGACAAGCGTTCGTATGAATTTTGATAATGGGTATACCCTGCACTTGCTGGAATGTTGAGATATATAAGAAGATTTGGTGTTATAAGGGTAAGAGGGGTTCTTCTTTATTTAGTTGTAACTTACAACATTCCAATATTTTCTTTTATTATAGGGTAGTAGGGTCATTAAAATTCGAGATTTGCAAACCGAATGAATTGAAAGAAAAGCCACTTCAAATCAGTAGCGACTAGTAATAACAATTTCTCATTTACACTAACATTCTTATCACTAGTTCAGGCTGTCACGAGCTGCCTCTATCGGCTTGAAAACATCCCTAGAGACCTCTTGAGCGTATTTGCCCTGATTCCCGACAAATAAACAGTCAAAGCAACCTTCTTCATATCTCATTTCTATCCTCTTTCTCTTTCTAACCCGTGATATTAATCACAGTCTGCCAACTGGCAACCCGACTTGAGCCGGATTCAAACAGAATAACTCTCCAACAAATATGTGTGAATGGAACTCAAGTTAGTCTTAGTGTTCATGGATGTTAGCCTTCAAAATATATAAAGCACCTTTTTCCCCTCTACAAGTTCTCCAATCGGACTCCCGCTTCACTCCAACAACCATACCACCGAACCCCAAACTCCCACCTCTTCACCGCCGAAATGTGCATCGACAAGTACAAAAGATATCTCCGCGACTGCACCGACCCAAACCACGCCACCTTTATCTCACAAGCAAAAAGGTGTGTGCCGCAGTGCGTGACGATTGAGAGAGAGTACGTTGATCTAGAAGCTGGCTATGATATCCCTGCTGAAGTGAAGGATGGAAGACCTGTCGAGCCGTGCCCTGCTTGTACGAGTAAAAGGGAGAAGGCGGAACGGGATGCGGCAAGTGATGGGAGGTGAGAGATTTGGGATGGTGCTCGAGGTGGTGAGAGTTTTGGGTTTGAAGGGATAGAACGAGGGATTGGACGTGGTGAATTTTGAGGATGATGTGCACTTTTTGACCGAAAGTTTTGCTGCTAGATCTTGTTCCGGGTTAAAAGTTGTTTTTTGGTTCATATTTTAATAAGACATTTATGTTCGTTTATATAGGATCCTCTAGGTTTAAATGAAAGTTGACCAACTCTTTGGAATTTGATATGTCGTGGTGAACGAATAAGCGAGGTCGCACTCTGCTATACGTGACCGGATTTTTAGAACGTTAGCTGATTTTTTATATAATCTTGCAGAGAGTAGTGATGTCCCCTAGAGTCAGTTGAAACTCTTGGACATCGCCTTTCTTGACTCGTTTAGCCCCTGAAAACTGCGTGTCTAACAACGCGGTGGCATTGAATCACTTGGAACGGATGTGATTGCTGCTGGACGGGAGGGAGTGCCGGATACTATAAATAGAAGGGCTTTATAGGTAGCATGTCAACTTAGATGTAGTGCTGCTCTTTGTTTTGAGTAGACTTTGAGGTGAATAGATTTGCTGAAAACGGTTGACGAAATATGAGATAATGTGCCAATCTGACGGAGGAAATGTCTTTTTCGACTGCGGCTTATTTTTTCCGTTGTAAGAATAGTTTGTTAGCAAGAACATCTTAATTGTTTAATTAGATTTGTTTGATGATGCGGGGGGTTTGGGAGATATTATAAATAGGTGGTTTGAGTAAGATGTGGGCTTAATGGTGAGCGAATAATTGTAATCTCTATTCATTAGACTTACTTTAAAATATTATAGTAATCTTGTCATAGCTATAGTATTGTTATGATCACTGAGAAGTGTCTATGAAGGTTCTCAAAAGTTTGTGAAAGGTAAACTACACTCCTCGTCATATTAAATCGAACATGTTCTTTTAGCTAGTGAGCTTATTCTTCATTGAAAATTGTTACAGCATGTTTTCTGTTCGGACAAAACATTTATTTCTCTCTGCATGTGACGTGATGGAGAAATACAACTGAAGTTTGAGCGAAAGACAATACCATTCATGCCGTAATGGGTACAATCTTGAATCAGCCTCAAACATATATTTTTATAACTGTTGCCATTCGCGTCAAAGTTTTGTATGAACCCCTCTTGTGCTACGATCATGTCCGATTTGGAACATCTTGTGCTTATGTTGATATTTAAACAGCCCCCTGGTCAATGATCTTCAATTGTTTCGCATAACAAATGCTCTGTTACAAATTTCGAAGCTTACCTCCTTATGTGGTAACGCTAGCGCTGAAACTAGAGACGCGAAACTTTGCAGGTCCACCAGTAAACGCTTCTGAGCCGACTTGGAAAACTAGGGGGTAAAAAGATCAGCATGCCGTCATAAAGAATGCTGTAATCGCAAAAGATTGTCATACCAATCAGATTCTGAGTACTCTGTGGGAACCCCTGACTCTGCGCCAGATACTTGAAGAAATTCTTGATATCCGCAGTGAAAGAATTGTACGTTGTTCCCTGAGGCGGCAGGAAACTGTAGACCTTCATGGCTCCATTGTAACCAAAGTAGAGATCGAATTTATAATTATTGATCGTGACTGAGGCGATAGGTGCACCGGACTGAGAAATTGGCCAGACGCCTCCTAATCTTGCAAGCCTAAATATATGATCAACATTATCGCAGGGTGATATGGATGGGTTCATCTTACCAAACCATAAGTTCATAATCACCACTGCTATTAACATGATTCGGATCCGCCGCAGTGAAAATATCATAAGCAACATTAGCTCGCACGTTCGTCGTGTTATACGTCCACTGGATGCTCGTCGGCATCGTTTTCGCCTTCTCCACGGTGATTCCTTTCGTCAAGATGCGACCTGAGTACGGATAGCTCTTGACATTGTCTTGTCCACCCTGCCACACCCAGTCGCTGCTCCAGGCGATGCCATTCCCGGCTGTTCCATCGTAGTAGGTGCATTGAGAACCAGACGTCGCGGCGTCTTTACCCCATAGGTTGTTCAGGATTTCGTAGCCGTTGACGGAGTGGTATGCGTAAAGTGAACATAGGCTGACGCTTTGCTGCTGGCGCTTGGTCACTTCATTGACGGTTGGTGTACCTCGCTGCTCGATCGCTGTGAGAAATGTAAGATTTAATCCGTATGAACAGCAGTGGACAGTGCTTACGCTGGGAGGTAGGAACAGCCGCCGAAATTGATACTAAGCCGACGAGGACTTGGATAAAGGCTTTCATTGTGTCAGTCAATAATGCAAATGTAGAGTAGATTCTGACTTTCGTGATTCTACTAATTGCAAGCAGATCACCTACCTTTATGAATGTTCGAGCTAAGCAGTAATCGTCATATGTATGCTGATATGTAGATCCAGTTCATCTCAGCCTATGCGGCTTGTCAGAATGACGAGCCTTAATTACCCAAAATGCGGAGAACGTGATTCTGAAGAACTCACATTAATCTGGATCGTCGGAATCAGTGTTGTACATTTGGTTGCCAAGGTATAGACTAATGGCATCTTTGGTAGTTAGGCGCACCAATAAGGAACTTCTGTTGATACAGATAGCTGAACTGAGTCCATGACTAGACGATACCAAATTTGCAACACTGGTCGGAAGACTGGACTCCACGTTGTCGGTCCTTTTACTCTTAAAATCTTCACCTGATTGAGATTCTCCGATCCAACAAATCTGGGGTGCATCGAAGCTCTGAAAAACCCTGGCCAGACGATCCACCGGAGTGACAACTCACGAACCAAAACACAGCTCTTCCTGCATTACCCCAGGTTTTTCATCAATGTATTCGTTCCGATTCACTTTATGCCGAAAGCTTAATCAGTGGTTTAATGTAGATTGACTGGCAAGTTGTCATAAGCGGAAACGTTGACCGTCGGTTAATATTGAGGAATGCTACTGGTACGCGCACCAATGAAGATATACTTCGTTCGGTACCAAAGAATTGTCTGGCACCCAGTGCCTGCGATATAGGTCCGCGAAACACCCGAAGGGAACTCCGTCGCATGCCGGTCCGAGCTCGCCGCCGTTAAAGCACGCCTTTAAGTCGGTAAGTATATCTTCAATATTCGTCCTAAAAAGCCTAGTTACCAAGGTATACTATGAACCTTTGTGGGAAGGGAAATGGTAGAGTGAGCAATAGAGGGAGAAACTAATGTATTGAGATGTGTAAAGGAGAGTAAGTGAACAGAGCTCGTACGAGGTATATATACAGGAATAGATGGGTCTAAGCCGAAAGAAGATTGCGCGTGATTTCAGGTCAACATATACCAATAGTGTCGGGAGATCAGTATCAACTCCAAAAAGATCAAGAGTAAGGTACCTAGAACAGATGACCTCGACAAATTACCAAACCCGCGGTAGATAAGATGAATAGCAATCGAAACACGAGATTTATTCGATGAAATTGACAAAATAGGTACATTTCGTCTATGGAATTGGGGAAATTAGATCCATCTCTGATTCTCTTTGAAATCTGTTAAGATGATAGCGTTTCTTCGCACTTAATTGCATGTTCCACGTAATCTTTCGGTAGACGAATGGTCTGGCATTTATCTTGTTCACGGTGAGCTAAGGGTTAGCATACCAAATGAACTACACTGTATACAATAATCCACCTCATGTTTGGATTGCATTTGTATTGTGGTCTTAAAGTTATAGAAAATTTCACATAGGCTCTGCCAATCCCATGACCTCTCTTCCCCGTAATCTGCAAGGTTGTTAGGTCTGATCCCGACCAATACTTTTGACATGATCAACAAGTGCCTATTGGAGTTGTTTTAACTACTTATCTATCTGGATCTCCTTGGAAGAATGCAATTAGAGGCTGCTTCTTGTACGATCTATCTGCGGGACTTCCCTACCAAAAAGAGTTACAAATGTAACTCCCAAAGTAGGTGAATCGTGGACTTTAACGTGGATCGTCTCGGGGCTTTTCTGAGATGTTTCCGAGTGCCTAGACTGAAACAGCGGCCGACCTTCACGACATGTTCGCGTTGAAACGTTTTCAGATTGAACGTGCTTCCACGAGATACACGTTCACACAAGACGAACCTTAAGCAAACATATTTCATACTCCGTCCTAACAATTTGCCGTCTCATTTACGATGTCCCATAACTCTCCAGCAGTTTGTCGATATTCCTGGGATGGATGTCAACAATGCAAGATGAAGCTGGAATTCAAAAGCCAGCTTGGAATTGGGAGCACATAATGCTTTATTATTCTAGCTGCTCCATTCCTATCTCACTAAGCGTGGTGATTTGACATAGAATCTGTACGACCTTGAAAATACGTCGGAGCCCCCCCTTTTCACTCGCTTAGATCCTGACTAGTACCTCCGTGGCAAGGCCGCAACAACACATTAATTTTTCCATCATAGTATCATCAACATCTTGTTTAGACCTTTTCCTTGGACAGTGCGTGCACGAAAACTGGCAAACTAAGGCTATGGAGGTATTTTAGACAATTTTTCAGAGTAGAGTTCCTGGATGGCTCAAAATCCTTCACAAGCTGACACTTGCTTTGCTTTTTACTTCTTTCCATTGGATTTTTCTTTCGTTCTTTCGTTGTGGTGAGCCGTTTTCGGGGCGGGTTTTTTGCTTCCTCGGCTTTCACCGCTTCTGTTGCTTCCATTACTTCCGTCGCTCCTATCACTGCCATCACTTCCATCGCTGCCATCACTCCCGTAACTTCCGTCACTGCCTTCACTTCCGTCGCTTGCATCGCTATCATCCTGATCATCCACCATCGTAGAGCTATCATCGCGTTTTTCCCTTCCATCTCTTACACTAGTACCCCTTTTCTCTCGTTGCTCGCTTATATCATCGCCCCCCCTTTTTCTACTTTCGATACTACCACTGCTCTTTTCACCTCTGACACTCCCATCTTCTGATTGATACTTTGGAGGAGCTATTGAAGTTTTGGAGCCATTTCTTGACGACATAATTGTTGGGCACGAAATGTACTTGTGTCTTTGTACGAGGGTGCTGGTGGTGTCTGTTGTTTGATTTTCAGGTGTTGCAGGCGATGAGCTGGTAATTATTTTCAAACGCTTGACCTGACTTTTTGAAAGCGAGATCAAAAAGGCGAAAGCAGATGCGGCACATATAGATAAATGAAAGCCATGATGTTGTTGTCTCAGCGCCCGAGACATGACAACGTGGCAGCCAAGTTCCAACCGAAGCGAGGTCGTTCGTTTAGCCTAGACTCAAGCCACCAGACGGGAATAAAACAAGTGGATATCAATATACAGTGATGTCTCAATCAAGTTGACACAATTTCGCATATTTTATCAATTTCTTTCAGTAAATAAGAACCTGTTATATATGCTGATTTAATAGTTTTCCTAAACGTGATTTGTTTAGCAGAGAAGTAGGTACATTATACACTCTTGACGAGAATGCATTAAATTTCCTTCTCCAGTGGCTAAGGCTAAACTACGTGAAACTTAATAATACTTCTTAATTCCGGGGTCTATAAGACGATTAATGTGAATTAAATTTTATTTACTCTTCCTACGAGGATAAATGAAATTGTTACTATAATGACAATCATATACAGTATAGCGATGTATAAAAGTATAGTTTAAGTAGAAAGTGTACTCGGGCGATGTAAAAGGAAGTTTTATACGTCCGCATAAAGAAACTTACTCTATACTGAGATATCTGAAATACACTGAACAAAGTATATAAACATCAATTTTTTCGGAACGTAGGGAAAATGCCTTCTACTGAATCTGGTATCGCCTCCCTAAAATCTTCCACTAAAATCTCAAATTAATTTCCGATCCATCCACTTCTTCCTTTCCTCATCACTAAGCACCCTCAAATTCCCCTCCAAATCCGTATAATCCTCATAATAACCCTCACACTCACCCCCAATCCTCGCACAAGTCCAATACAGCGTCCCCTTTTCCCTCTGCCCCCTCCCAGATGCTACCGCCAATCTCGCCAACTTTCTCCCATCTCTCCCATCCCCCTTACAATAACACGTTTGTCCACCCTCCACGATCCCGCGCAGGTCACCCCATCCATGCCACTTCCCACAACGATCGCATCGATAGCTAGTCCTGCCCGCATTGCCAATCGGATTATCTGCTTTCACTATCCATTTCTTCGTCAGTCTCCCGCAATTGAGACATAACGGATTATTCACTCGTTGCATTGATATCTCTTCCCAGACTTTTGCAAAGTATTCGTCATCCGATTCCTCAGGCGATCTGGGTACCGCATCGCATGCCCCGCGCATTTCTTCGTCGAGACGGTCTTTGAAAGAGCTGATTTTTCCGGTTTCGATATCGATCGCTTTGCCCATTCTTGTTGATGGTTTCTTGCTTCTCTTTGTGCTAGGTGTTTGGGGTTCAGGGTCAAGTGGAGTGGCTGATTTTTCGAAGACTCCGCTTGGAGGTTGGATCGCTTGGTCAAATTTGCGTTTGTTGGTGCTGCTTCCTGGAGTTGCTGATAATACTGTACTTTGCTTTTGAGGGGTTTGTGTTATCATCAGGAAGTCCCTCGCCGGAAATACCTGTGGTGTTTGTTCCGGTGGTGTGCATGGTCGATTATCCTCACCCGTCAAATCAACGACTTCGGGTTTCTTCTTGCGTGTCTCCAAGCTGAGATTCGATGTCTTCCTTAAAAGTGTCGCATTGGATTCAATACTCGAGGGAGGTGGAGTTTCGGATGAAGATGATATTTCGCGGGTCTCTCTCGCCATCGTGAATGAGCTTTCTCCTCCGCTGCTTTCCTGGGAGTTGTAAAAATGCATGGGGAGCTTCTCAATCACTCTTATCGACTTTTGTTCCATCATTCCAGACTTCTTATCTTGAAAACCTTAAGTTGTTGTTTCTTTTGTGTTGCAGGAGTATTCGATTCTTGCAAGTCTTCCAGAACAAAGTGAAAGCCAAAACTTCAAGATCGACACCCCAAAACCGTTACACACCCGATGAGTCGAACTTTAAACAATCCCTTTGCGGAACTTACGGCCGGCGGGGTGTTTTCTGGTGGTGGCACATCACCCCGGTGAAGGATGGAGCTGAATAGTGCATCCCGCTGCCACGACCCGAGCCGCCTATCATCAACATACATTTACGCCACAACCTTAAGAATACTACGTTTGAGGACATTTTGGGGGGACACAGCGGATATGCTAGTGCGAATGGGGACGAGAGTTCAATATTTCGCTTATTTTTACCCCATCTTTCGGTGTGAGATTGTGGGCGGATTGCTAGGTTGAATCAGCCTTACGTGAGGTTTTATGAGGGGCAGACGGGATGACGACTTCAGCTTTTCAGAGAGTGAGTTGTGATTGTGAAGTATCGTGCCATTTGGATACAATCATTTATTAAGTGCAATAATGACGATTTGTTGAATTTATCCATGCTCTTCAAGGACGTATTAAATCTCCTTCTTATGCGCCTAATACGAAACGGAGTTAAAATAACAACAGTACTTATCCGGTGGTCCATAAGATCATGAATATCAGTTAATTTAAATTTATTCTTCCTAAGAGGATAAATAAGATCGGTACTGTATTATAAGGCACGATAGTATAGCTGAGTACAAAAGTATAGTCTTTTAATAGAGATATTACTAAGGCGATTTGAAAGGAAGTTTAATGCATCCGTGTAGAGCCATGCCTAGGAATAACTTCGACTCACAAATTACATCTGACTGCTTGATGACCATCTAACTCTGCAAAAACAAAGCATTATTATGGCCTCTACTTGAGCGTTTAGCTTTCAACCTGACCTGACTTCAGACAGACTTAAGATATCTATTTTAGCATCTGATTATCGACAAAATATACCATGCTATATTGAAATAATCGACCAAGCATACAAAATTGTAAAAAGTCAATCAACAAAATATCCTCCCCCGGTTAAAAGTTATCTCACATCCCAAACCCACCCAAACCTCAATCAGATTCCCTAAATAACACCATTCTTCACAAACCCATGAATCTCATCCTCCCTCAACACCCTCGGCTCATCCCACTCATCCCTATACAAACCCCAAAACCCGCATCTCTTCTGCGCACACGAATAATACAAATGCCTCTTATTCTTCACACGCTCCTCTCTCCCAGCAAGCATCAATCTCGAAATTAACCCGCATTTACATCTCGGGTTATCCTCATGAATCCCGCGACTGTCGTCGAAATAGGAGAATTTCGGACACCAGGAACACTGCCAGTGTGGACGGCCTGCGTTGCCGTTTTCGTTGGAGGCGTTGGTGATGTAGTGGATTAAAGGGGAAGAACAAGTTATGCAGCGCGGTGGATTAGGTTGTTGGTGGTTGCTGAGATGGGAGCCGAAGGGCCGAAATGGTTTGCGGTCATTTGATTGTGCAGGAGTGAAACGTGCTACTTGGTTTCCTGGGTCATAGTCTTGATCTGATCTGATGTAAGCTTCAGTTTATGATACTTTTCTTGGCAATTTACCTTGAGTTCTAGCTGTTCCCTGAGTAATCAACTTCTGTCTGTTGTCGAAGACCGTCGAAGCTGGCGTTTGCAGCTGGATTGGCTGGTTTTGCCCAGTTGGCCGAGCCGTTTGGAATACATTTGTGTTTTCACGATAACCTCCATGCTTCTGGGATATCGACTTTGGCTCGTTGTTTGGAGCAAGACTTGCTTGCCAGCGCGATGATGCTGTAGATGGTTGAAGTTTACTCGGCCTTGGTGCATAATCGTTGCTGTCCCATGCGGAACTATCAGCTCTGCGTGAGAAGCAGCACATGATGTCAATGTCTTTGAGAGGGCTCTGAAAGTCGTAATTTAAAGAATGGTAGTCTCGAATTGTTTCCCTATTTTCGCTGGATTCTTTGAAGTGACGGAAAATGTCGAGACTTTATTTCACTGCGGTCTGCATCTATCACGTTTCAATACTACCTTGAGTTCCGGAACATTGCGGCCTAAAGAGCCTGATGCCTTCACAATCACTCGACCGATAATGGCGAAATTGGAAAGGTGTGTCGAGATGATGGGGGGCTTATATTGCTGTCCCGTCCGTGCATACCGTCTTTCACAGCCACCCACCCCTCGAGAGCGGTTGCGGGAGGCTTGTTTCCTTCTCAAGTCGCACAAAGCTTTTCAATTGGGCAAAAGATATCTAGCCTAATATTTGGCGTTTTGGTGTGTATCTTGATCGACTTGATAGTGCGGAGTTGATGATGTAGACAATATGGTTGAGTCATAAGTGCGTTTTTCAGTCGATAGGTTGGAGGCGTCGATATAAAAATAGCTGTAAAACTGGTGCGACAGAAAACTTCATTCAATAAATCAGACTACAGGTTTTCATGTTTTGCGGTTGAGATAATGAGGGACTATTGGAATCACAGTGGCCATCAGCTACGAGTGGATTATTAAAGCTAGGTGATTTCCGAAAAGATCTGACATATAACACCAATTGAGTGACTTTTTATATTTGATACAGAATGAAAAAGAAGTCTTTGGGCTTGAGATTCAGCACAGAAAATGAAATCACTCGTCTTGTACAGAGCGTAGAAAATCGAGTGGTACAACGATTGCAAAATTTAAACGTTTGTATTTAGGTGATGTACTGCTGCTGGCTGAGCGACGAGCATTCGTATTTCATTGCGTAGTTAATTTCCCCATAAATTGAGACACATTCTCTTTCAAAAGAAAACCACATGGATACCAAGAGATAATCATGTATAAATCAGGTCTCACGGCGACCTTCGAAGCGATATACTCTCCTGTGGTAAATTAGCGAAATTCCCAAGAGAAACTACAATTGTTGAATCGGCACATTCTTCAAGGAATTTTCTATAAATGTCTAACTTCGCTATTGTGTACATAATAACCCATATACAAAGTCACCATGAGAGGGGTTTTGGCAACCAAGTTTCCAGGGGACCGACTCAACAGCCTGGAGGCTAGAACAAAGTAATGCTTCAGCGAAGTTGAGAGAATATTGTATTTTTCGTCAATTTTAGGGAGCAAGTCAAGTCGTTCCAACACACACATGTTTGTTTCAAGCTCTTAAGACTTTAAAGCACATTCTACGTCAATCCCACTTCAAAGTTGACAAAATGGCCAGAATTCTACTGTCGCATATACTAGCCACAACGCGAACAGTACTTCTTGAGATCAGGATCATCAGAGCATTAGCGTTAAACAAAACATTTTCACTTCGAAACCATTGGGCTCTTGTATACAGCATATTATTTCATGTTCATCACTCATTTCACATCAATTCTAAATAGGCGTAACACAAGCCCCCCGATCACCCAACCCAATCTCCTCGGCCGAAAGCAAGAACTCCATAAACCCCGCGGCAGTCTCCATCAAATTCAAGTGATACTGCTCGCTCGTCGGATAAAACGGACAACTGCTCGCCGAATTGCCAAAGCCAAACTCAACCGTATAACCGTGAATCTTCTCCTTTGCTGGGTCCGCGAAGTGGCGGGAGTATGCGTAATCGTCAGACGCGCCGGATGTGGGGTAGAGGTACGCGGATTGCGTGACCTCGTAGTGTCGACCGGTCGAGGCGTCCATCGCGTTGCCCATGCGCATGGCGGCGTATATCTTCTCTTTCCAGTCGGTGGTGGGGATGTATTCTGAATAGACGATGCCCTTTGAGGGGTCATCTGGCATGAGACCGCGGACGGAGTCGTAGGTGGAGTTGAGGAAGTTCATGCCTGGGATGTCTTTTTGGGATTCGTCGCTGCCCCAGTTGTAGAGGACGACGCCGGTGTAAGAGTGGATGTCGAGGAACCAGCGGAGTTTGGAGAACTTGTCCATCACCCATTTGATGGATTTGGTTTCAGGCTCGGAGAAGGGGGAGGTGCCGTGGAAAGTTTGGGCGGCTGGGTTGTTGGAGGCGACGTTTGGTGCGACTGTAGGTGTGAATTTCTTGGGAAAGTCCCAGAGGAAATCGAAGTTTCGGTTCAAGTCGATACCGATGGAGGCAGCATTACCTGGGGTCGCGGATGCTGGGTTCCGGTTCTTTCTCCAGCATGAGTTTGTAGCTTGATCGTATGCCACTCCGTCAGGGTTGCTCAATGGAAGAAAGACAATTCCGGTAGAAATGGCCTTGCGGACCTGGAGAGCGGTGTAGGTTCGTCCTCCATATGTGAGACCGAGCTTGTTCTTGTTTGCGTAAAGTAAATCTCCCAAAAAGTATAAGAGATTGTCGGAAGAACCACGTTCACGAGCGTGGATTGCCGCGTTGAAGAACACACGGTAGGACTCGGTACATTTTCCCTCAAACTTTCCACCGATCATACCACCGAAGAGAGTTGCATTCTCGTAGGTAGTATATGGGGCGGTAAAGGTCTGTAAACCATACTCCTTTGCCAATCCATTGAAAGCACTCTTGACTTCTTTAGCGCTCATTATGGGACCGAGTTGAGTACCTGCTGGTTGAGTACCCAATCCTCGTGGTGCGACTGTTCCCTCCTTGAATCGATCTCCAGTTCCAATTGCCAATCCATTGTTTCCGTTCTGTCTGCGCACAACGGTAGCAGCACCCTCAAAGGTGGACTCCTCTGGCAGAAGACATGGCTGGACCAGTTGCGCAAAGCACAGAAGAGCTGCAACACCGGTAAACTTCATATTGACGGAGACGACAATTGACAAAGAGACCAATTGACTGAGAACTGAGCTGGTTCCTGCATTTTGCAAGGGCAAGGGCAACTTACTTATAGTGCAGAAAGCTCTCCAGCGAACGATTATCTTGGAAGATCATATGCACACAGATTAACCCCTCATTCTTTATCTCTTGGACCTGCTGGTTTGGGAGGCTGGGCAAAATAGAAGAATTAACGCCCAGGAGCTATAAACATTTTAACAGGTGGGGCTGCCAATCTTCCAATACAATTGAACAATCTGCTCCGAAGCCAAAGCCATGGAATCTACATTTTAGACCATTTTGGCAGGTGGTCTAGATTTGGTACCTGCATGTACTTGGCAAAGAATTGGCAATAAGTGAGACTTGGCTGGAAGTAGAGAAGCTTCCAGGCTTCCAGAAGACACCAATTTGCAGCAGAATGTGTACGAAACAACCAATAAGAAACTGACTGTATGAAAAATATGTTAAACCAGATGCGATTGTTAAGAAAGCCTATCAGTTGATTGTCAGGTAATCGCATTCTCGAAGTATTGGCGCCAAGTAAGCGACCAAGATCTGACGGCGCCAACAATTTGAAATTGGATTTCCAGCCACACAAAGTATAAACAAGCATCGTGATAACGATGATCTCCAACAAAAAAATGCGGCGCAAAAAGAGCAAGTGAAGGCAACGTGCTTCCTGAGAAAAGACGGTCGTTAAAATTCTGCTTATCCAAGTCAGTTGTGTTTGTACCTCCCTCATTTCCTGCCTCAATGACATAAGTGCAGAGTCTACCAACTTGAGTGTAAACTTTTTTATTTTACCCGATTGACCACCCATTTTGTACAAATTCCATTACCATTTCAACCCACGTAGCCTCAAGATTATATCGGGCCATCAGTTACACATCCATGACTGGCGTCGCTCACCAGCTTCGCGTATTTCGCCAAAGTACCCTTCGTATACTTCGGAGGTGGTGCCTTGAACTCCTTTGTCCGCCTGGCCAACTCCTCTGGACCAACTTCCAAATCGAGAACGCGGGTTTCTGCGTCAATGATGACCTTGTCACCGTCTCTGACCAATCCAATTGGTCCACCCTCTTGAGCCTCTGGTACAATGTGTCCGATTAAGAAGCCGTGAGATCCTCCAGAGAAACGTCCATCAGTGATCAAGGCAACATCGTTACCAAGACCAGCTCCCATGATAGCAGAGGATGGCTTCAACATCTCAGGCATACCTGGTCCACCTTTTGGCCCTTCGTATCTGATGACAACAACGGTCTTCTCACCCTTTTTGATCTCACCAGCCTCGAGTGCGGCAATAAAGTCGTCCTCATCGTTGTAGCATTTCGCTTTTCCTACGAACCGTAATCCTTCTTTACCAGTAATCTTTCCTACAGATCCACCTGGTGCGAGTGAGCCACGAAGGATCTGAATATGGCCAGTTGGCTTGATAGGTTTTGAAAATGGACGGATGATATCCTGATCAGCAGGGAAGTCTGGGGCAGCTTCGAGATTCTTGGCGAGAGTCTGTCCAGTAACAGTCATACCGGACCCATCAATCACGCCCTCCTTCAAAAGAAATTTGAGAAGAGCGGGCGTTCCTCCGATGTTGTAGAGGTCGTTCATGACATATTTTCCAGATGGCTTCAAGTCCGCCAAGAAAGGAGTTCGATCTGATACAGCCTGGAAGTCGTCAATTGTAAGTTTAATGCCAACGCTGTCAGCGATAGCGATCAGGTGAAGAACTGCATTTGTAGATCCGCCAGTAATGTTGACCACAATCATGGCGTTCTCAAAGGCCAGACGTGTCATAATGTCTCTTGGCCGGATATCTTCCACAAGCAATTTACGAATGGCGCCACCAGCAGCAAGACACTCCATGTATTTGGCTTTCGAATCGGCAGGATTTGATGATGATCCAGGTAAAGTCATACCCATAACTTCAATTGCCGTTGCCATCGTGTTGGCTGTGTACATACCTCCACATGCTCCTTGACCAGGGCAGGCATGTCTGATAACATCGAAACGTGCTTCCTCAGTAATCTCGCCCGTGATAAATTGACCATAAGCTTGGAAAGCAGACACGATATCGATATCCGCATTGTTCTGGGTTTTAGCACAACCTGGCTTGATACTTCCTCCGTAAACCATAAGACTAGGACGGTTGACACGACCCATCGCCATCATAACTCCTGGCATATTCTTGTCGCATCCTGGAATCGAGATGTTGGCATCGTACCATTGTCCTCCCATAACAGTCTCGATACTATCTGCAATCAGGTCTCTTGATTGAAGACTGTATCGCATTCCTTTGGTGCCCATTGAAATTCCATCAGATACACCAATGGTGTTGAATTGATATCCAATCAGCCCCGCTTTCTCAACACCTTCCTTCACTTTGTGGTTGAGATCCAGAAGATGCATATTACACGGGTTTCCTGAATACCATACTGAGGATATTCCTACTTGTGCTTTACTCAATCCCTCGTCTGTGATGCCGGTTGCGTATAACATGGCTTGCGAAGCTCCCTGGGATTTTGGCTGGGTGATGGTCGCAGAGACCTTGTTAAGGCGAGGTTCGTCATTTTGTGCGCGGAAGGAGGAAGTTGATGAGATTGAACGGCTGCAATTGTCAGTCGATTGACCTGTAGTTTGGATGGATGGCTTACATATATTGTGATGTTCTTCTTGTAGCCCGCAATGAGCAATTGGCTCTCTGAGTCAATCGTGGAAGCAGCATATTCGCAATAGCTGCGCAATGCAGCAGAACGTTGATGAAATACTCCTATGGATACCGTGATTCGGAACTCCTCTTTTTGACCTGTATCAATGTCGAATCGCCTGCAATTCTCATATATACAGGACCGATTGAAGTTATGGCGAAAAATGAGCGCAACCACTCCGTCTATCGGTCAAGAACTTTTTGTTTTAGTCGGGCTCAATATCGCTCCCCATAGCAGGGGAAGAGCCGACACGCCGGTCCCCCGGCTCCGGTCCCGGTTTGGAGGTTTCTTCACCGCCATGTGGCAGTATCCATCTGACACCGACGGCCCGATTATACTCCGCAGGATTCTGCCGAAGCGGTGTACAATCAGATATATCCCCCCACTTCCCCACTAATAGTCCTCGGTTTTGGTTGCTCCATCGAGCATCCGCTCCTCTTCCGGCATCCATGTCAACACGTTCTAACTTCAATTGACAACACGCATGTGCTTTGATCCACCATAACCTCACCGAGGTTGAAAAAGCCCCAGTTTGGAGGGGAAGGTGTGCTTTATTTACAAAGCTCTTTCCAGATCTTTTCTTGATTGCGAATCGCACATCCATTTCGTTTGCCTATACATACCAGCTCTCTTTAGACAAGAACCGTACCCCATAAAACTAATTTACATCTCAATACAACACAATCAAGAGGTCACAATGGCTGCTCCTGCAGAAGTCACTTTGAAGGATCTCACAGGGAATTGGGTCATGGTGAGTTTACTTGGTCCTCTCAAGATACCTGTATGTCACAATTGAGGACCAGAACTAACTGCAATTAAGAACAAAACTCTCTCAGATGATACCGATTCCGTTCTAGCCCTCCAAGGCATTGGATGGTGGACTCGAAAAGCAATCAGTCTCGCAACAGTTACGCTGCATGTCAAACAATACACCGAAGGCAACTTCACCCACGTCGACATTGATCAGACAGCCACAGGCGGAATCAAGGGTACCACCGAAAACCGAACACTCGACTGGGAATTCCGCGAAACCCAAGATCACATCTTTGGAAATCTCAAGGGCAGATCGAGATGGCTTACGCTGGACTTGGTTGACGACGACTTCCTCAAGGAGGAATGGTTAGAAGGTGATGAGGAAAAGGCAGGACCAGAGGGTCAGACACATATCCAGTCGTGGGTGGACAACCAGGAGAAGGGATGGACGGCTGAGCAGATCTGGGGATTCGCTGTTGTAGACGGCAAGAGATATTATACCAGAAGAATTACTGTCAAAAAGGGCAGTGAGGTCAGGAAGGTTCGTTTGATTTACAATTGGCAAGGGAAATAGATGTGTATAGATATCTAGGCGTCGTTTGAATTATTCTATAGCGAAGAACATGGAATGGAAATACCAGTATAATATTTTCTTATTATAAACGCAGAGACACAAGGATTGAAAATCCGTACTTCAAATTTAGAATTAAATGCATCTTTCTGTACGCGATTGTCCTTGTGGAAGTTCAAAAAACATGCGGACGATTAAAGAAGACCACCTAAATACGTACTTGGTATAAAATTGATTCCGATCATCGCACCTGATAAGAAATACACCTATTTAACTTCACGTCACCCAAGAATTCCACCGAAGTTATACTAAAACTGGGTGTATAATACTTCAATGCTAAAGTGTATCGAACAAGCCGCACAATTTTGTTTGCTTTCTGATAATTTTTCCAGCAACAGATACACTAGTGTGTTGCACACCTGACCAGACAACTCCTTGAGCTAAAGTAGCGCTGTTGCGGGAAGAAATTTGTATTTACTCAATCCTTTTGACGCATTAATGCTAATGCCTCTATTCTTAAGAGTAATTATACCTTAGAAGTTAGCAAGTATCACAAAGTCGGTTCTGAGTATTGATACACGTAGACGGTGTCCTGTCAATCTTCTGATACGCTTTAAAATCTTTGATATCTGGATGAATTAGCAAGAAGAAAATCCTGAGATTGGATTTGATATCCTTTGTAAGCTGATGAATCTGGATTTTTGAGATTGTTTTAGTGTTCGCGGTGGGTGGAATTTTCAAGATTTCTCTAGACTATATATCTTGTCTATTACGATGCTGGAAAGTTAATCTGATAAGAACAGTCGGTTCCGATAATCCACTTACTACTGATATATAGAGTATAAGTTGATTTAATGTTAGCATATAAAGGGAAAGTTTTTCTACGTTTCGTCGGGTTGTTGTATGTGTGTAATAGATTTCAGAATCCTCGAAACCTGACTCGGCTCCCAGCAACCACCAAACATCCAAACACTCACCTTCCACCAGAATCCAATCCACATTCACATTCACCTTCACCTCCCCCCTCGCTTCCCGGCACCAACTCTCGTCCTCTCTCCCGACTAACCAATCATCCTCCTCCCTCTTTCCATTCTCTCTTTCCTTCTATATAAATGCCAAATTGCCACATTCCCTCATCGCCACTAGTAGGATGGTGGCCTGGTCGAGCCCAGCGCATCGTATCCTTGGAAATGCCACTTCCAAGGTGCTTTGAGACTAACGACGCCCTACTACGACAAGAACATGTCGACATGTTCTCTAGCGCCATCGCGAGAACAACAAAAGATGTAGGCATTCGACACTGGCGCTGGCACCAGAGCTGAACTTCTTTGTGGTTTTGAGAAGAGGGTGGTTGGATGGTTAGGGAATATCTTTTTGGGGTTTGGATCGAGCGTGCGGAGTGAGGAAGGGGGAGGTGAGTGTGAAGGCTTGTAGATCGGATATTAGAGCTTAGAAATTGTCAAGAATAGAAAGTGCCGAGTGTAGTATTATAAGTTAAGACTATATATAATATAATATAGACCTATTCGCTTCGACAAAAAGTAGTAGTATTCGGTTCAAGATATTTATTTAATTATACTAACACATTATCCCATATTTTGTCTATTATTTTCAGTAAATACAAGACTCTACGCTTAGGCATCGACTAAGTTAAAGTAATAGTCGAAAGCTACTTACCACTTATCTAGTTATCATAAGACTAGTGAAAGTTCCAACTCTTTTCAGTCTAAAATCTCGTCAGTGATAAACTCGATCATCCCTCGTCAACTTGCGTCAAAGCTCGTCTATCCCGACAGCCTTTCGAACCTCATTAGACATAGCCTCATTGACGTACATCACCCACGACTCTTCAACTAGCATGAACAATCTGCAACAAAATTAACGCCTGCGCCACCGTCCCGCAAAACGCAATAAGCATACTCCAGGCCACCGGCACAAAACAATAAAGCACCAGACTCAACACCGTACAAACGAAGCTCAAAACAGCCAAGAACCATGTCCAGTACCAAGCGTAGCCAGAAAACTTCGAATAAAATAGTGTTGGCGAGAGTAAAGTCGCTAAGCTTAATAGTTGGATCATGGAGTTGCTGATGAGTTGGTAGAAGTTGGCGTCCGCTGAGCTGCCGATGTCGAGGGAAGTATGCAACCAAGCCAGGGAGATGGGGATACATGAGAGGAGGAGAATAGAGGGGGCGATGAAGTTCAGGGTGGTTATTGTTTTGAGTGGTGGTTTGTAGGTCTTGGGAGTAGTGACGGCAGTTTTGGATGGGCTTAAACCGGAATTCCTGGTTGTGTCAGCGGATTTATGCTTGAGGCTTTCCTGTTTACTCACCACCAATATTTATGGAATAAATGTTTTGTCAACTGGTGCCCCTTTCCAGGCCCATCCACCAAAGCAACCGCATCAGAAAAATTATCATTCACAGCTGAAACTTTCTGCTTCAAAATCGACATAGTTTCAAGATCAAGAGCCAATATTTCAGTCGCAATAACCTCTCTAATGATGATCAACATCCCTTTCGATCTTGAAATCACATTTTTGAGAAAACATCGAGTCATCTGCTCAGTAGTAATGGCCTTATCCACATACTCATCAAGCCTCATGCCACGATCGACATAGTTAATGGCCGGAACATGACTCGGATTCTTCTGCGCCCTCTCTGAATCCTTCTTCGCGATCTTATAATCTCTCATCATGATGTTAAACAACAACGCATAATACCCACTAGTTCTCGTATCTAAAACAATTTGCATAGTCTGCTCTCGACCTAGAGTTTTCAGGTAGTCATTTACTCGCGTGTCTAGTTGCGCGCCTGACTGGATGCGTGAAAGGCCTGATAATTGCGTCTGCTTAGCCAGAAGAGTTTTGTAGTCCTCATAGCCGTCACCGATGACAGCTTCGTAGCCAGGACTGGCGAACTGAAGAGAGTCGAGTGTGAGAATATTAAATGCAACGATGGCTCCTGCTAGTGACTGGACTTTGGTCCAGATGGTGGGGGAGCAGGTTTTCCAGGCTGGGATGGATACTTGAAGTTGTAAGCAATTCTCAATTGCGCTTCAAACATAATTATGAACTTACCAGAGTATCCAATATCACGAGCAACCCTCCGTAATCTCACATTTGACTGGTTTATCTGATCTGGTAAAATACTACCAGAACCAGTACCACTAGTCTCCGTGTAATGGTTATTCAATTCCATTACAGCTGATTTCATCTACCATGAATTAAATAATCCAAAATTTCGAGCCTTTGGGTTGCCCGTGTGCAATGCAGAATAAACGTTCACGTATGAAGTGATGTCTGCGAGACATATACTGGCACAGCCACAGTTAAACAAGCATCGCCGACGGATCTGCCTTATGCAGACGCCAACGTCCACATAAATACGCCAAAGACTCCTCAGCCTCACTTCTCGTTTGTGGCTTTTGCGAGAACACCTCATCGTCGCAGCCGGTATTAATTTGTGAAGTGTCAATAACGTTCTGACCGATCCTTCGAAATGAGGTTATTATTAAGCGAGAGGCACTCGAATCGTTAACCTCTTCGAAACTTTCATTTCTTGAAATCAATACACGAAATACACGATATTGTGTCAATCGACCTGAAACAATATCGGCATTCGATTGCCATTTCCTCTGTCCACAACGTGATGTATTCCATTGGCCAGAAACAACCCGGTACGACGTTCCTAACCGCATTCGTAATATCGGATTCAGCTCCACGCCAAGTATCTCCTTGCAGTAACAAGTTTATACGAGAAGCAACCTTTCGGAGTGGGGTAAAACATGTATATAATAAATCGTTGGTACCTTTGTTTGTACGAGATGTCCATGTTATTTGTCCCATATCAAATTTTTGTCCCTCTTAATTTTTCTTATTGATTGATATCATCATGGCAAACCAAATCGTGCTTCCAAGCTGGGTTCTTATAATCCGCGGTCTTCAATTGCTTTTAGCCATCGTTATTTTGGGGATGGCTTCATACGGCGCATATTGGTTACGTTTGAGCGTAAGTTTGCTTGCACCCAACTCTAGATCTGATCAATGTACGAAAACTGATACCCCACAGTCCTGGGGATGGACGATCTTCACCAGTCTCGCAACCGTCTTCATCGTTGTTTACAGCGTCCTCCCTGAACGCGTCGCCGCGCTCCAAAAAATCTACAACCCCTTCGCGGTTCTCGCCGCCAATGCTACCGCCGTGGTATTCTGGCTCGCAGCCATGGGTGCCCTAGCGGCTCGACGAGCGACTTTTAAGTACGCGACGACAATTGAAAGTTGTTATAATGATGGCTCTGGAGGGGTTTGTGCAAGAGGGCTGGAGAAGAGAGCGGCGTATGTGGCGACGTGGCCCTATTTGAATATGATGAGTGCGTGTGCTGGGTTGTGTGCTATCGAGATGTGAGTTCTTCAATACAAAACCCCTCTCATGATACGGGATCGGGGTCTGATAGTTTGTCTAGGCTTTTATTCATTGCGACGGTTGTGGTATTTGGGTTGGCTTTTAAGAAACAGAATTCAACAACTCCGCAGACGCATAATCTTGAGGCGCATGGGATGCAACAGCAGCCGAGTGAGTTGGGACAGAATACGCAGTATGCACCGCAGACTCAAGGGCAGTATGGACAGCAACCTTATTATAGTCAGCCTTCGGGACAGCAGTATCAACCTGTTCAACAGTAGTAGATGCGTGAGCTATTTCATCTTGAAAGCGTCTAAGCTTGGGAGATTTATGATGGATAATGATATCTGTGGAAACGAGATATGGAAATTTAAACATTAATTATCGTAATTCAACTTTCTATCCTACTTTTATTCGTTGAATTTCACGAGAGAAAATGCTTTGGGTTATTCAGACTTACTAACACATTGTATCAAGAACACTTTAAAACACATATCTAAACCCCTCACTCCTCTCCCTGCCATTATCGCCCTCATACTCACCCATCGCCTCCGCTTCCACCATCTCAAGTTTCTTATTCTCACGAATATGCACGAACCTTAGAATAACAGCAAAAATAGCAACAAGCAAACAGATTACCGCGTTAGCGCTTCCTCCAGGAATGTATCGCGGACCAGCCGACTTTGGATACATATAAGAACCGTAGATGGACGCCGTGTTGCCAAACATGTTGCAGATTGCAATTGCTGCAGAGCGTTTTACGAGAGGTCTGTGAAAACTGTTGGCGACCCAGGCGACGATGATTTGGTAGGCTGATACGGCACCCATTCTGAAGAAAATCAGTATCATAAGTAGAAGTAGGGAGGGAAGACTCACGGCATCAGGAACATAGCGAAGAACCTGGCACCAGTCTGGGTTGTGCCAGTAGCGATTGCGTTGCCGACGGCAGATACAAGCATCAAGCAGATGATGTGGATAGACCTATCGCCAGTCTTTCCAGATGTCCAAGTCACCAAAAGAGAAACGAGGAAGGTAGCGAACCAAACCGGGACTGTAAGAAGCAAAGTTTCAATATGTCCGTAGCCCAGCGTTTCCACTATGGATGGAAAGAAGTACTGGAAGGTCTGTGAAAGAAGAGAAACATGTTGGAAGAGCAGGAAAATATAGACTCGGTAATCCGTAAGTGCCATCTTCAGTCCAGCTAGAAGAGATACAGCATCAGTATCATCGGATTCCTTCGCGTCGTCCACGAGTCGCCATTCAGCGAAAGATCTTTCGTCTTCGCTTAACCACATCGAAGACGCTGGGAAATTAGGAAGGATGAAACTACAACCAGATTAGCCAGCAATCTTGAGTAATTATATTGGAGCATTACATTGCACAAAGAGCGATACCAATGGTAATTACTCCCTCGATAATAAATAACCACCGCCACCCCGCAATCCCATGCGCTCCATTCAGATTACCCAACACACCTGCTCCCAGGACACCACCAAACATATTCGCAAGCGCACTACCAGAGTAGAACCATGCGATGCGATGACTTAGCTCTTGTCTAGTGTACCAAGATGACATGAGCATGATGGCACCAGGAAAGAACGGCGCTTCCGCAATACCCAACATAATCCGGCAGGCGAGCAGGGAGCCGAAAGAGTGGACTGCGGATTGGGCGGTTGACACTACACCCCAAATAGTCATAACTGTTCCGAGGTAGATCGATGGTCGGACTCGGGTGAGTAGCAGGTTCGAAGGGAGTTGCATTAGTAAGTATCCCTAATTTCATCAGCCTTTCGTACTTCCTCAAGATCTTCGAGAACTTACCACGAACAAAATCGACGTCGCTAAGTTAAAATCCGTCCCTGTCATCCCCAAATCTTCTTCCAGCGTGCCGAGTCTCGCTTGTGCCAGATTACTCCGATCTAGAAAGTTCAAAAGGTACATCATCACCAGCAGCGGTAATAATCTGAAGTCTACTTTGCGTAGTAGCTTTTTTGTGTGAAAGGTTTTCCATTCGTCATCTTTGGCTGCGTAGGCGAGGTAGATTTGTTGTTTTTCGGGTGAGACGCCTTTAAACATGGGATTGTTTGAGGGTTTGGAAGGATATTCATCTTGATGGATTGAGCCTTCTTTTTGTTCGGTTGTGGCCATGATGAAATTAGTTCTGAGGAATAAGAGGTGAGAAAGATCAAATGTGAACTTGTGGAAGTGAACAAGATTCTTATATTGAAAGTCCCGGGATTCTTGCCGAAAGAGCTTCCCCAACGGAAAGCCGTATGCGATGATATTTTGCGGGGTCCCCAGATATCTGGGGTTAGTATCACTCGGTGTGTGTTCGACCGTCAACCGATAGTGGGGGAGGTTTGATCTAGTTGTACGAAAAGATCAGCATGTGCAGTAAGCTGCTTTGACAGTCGACTAGGAAGCTGCCTCGCTGCTAAAGCTTCATGTCAAAAAGCCGGATACGGCTGTCTTCTTTCGTTGAAAGTTCGTTTCCCCATGTCTAAACAATTTTTGTCGTCGATACAAGACGAGACTCTACCCAAAATATCATTTTCTTTCTCCTACTTGTGGTCTTAAATGAGATACTGCGTGTTATACAGCAAAATATTAAATTTCGCCATTATTCAGAGAGGTCTTGGCATACATCAGAACATGACTTGACGTGTCGATCAATTAATCTGATGCGGATTTATGCCCGTCCAGGAGCAGCCTGCCTCTAAACAAGTGAGAATCGACGTAAGTAATATATTACCGTCCCATAGATTCAATTGACACACTACCGTATATTTCGTCAAATCTTTTAAACTTCAATTTTTTGATTCCTTGTGATGCCTTTTGAGATGTTAAAACTAAATGGAACCAAGTCTGGACTCTGCAAACACTTGGAAATTAGTCAAATGGGCACTAAGAATTACCTTACCAGCCGAAAGTTAGCCAGTAATGTTTAGACAGACCGTTCAAGACAAGCCACGGTAGCTTTCACTGATACCGGACTTTGGTTGGTAATCTGCCCACGATATCAGTCAATACGCAGCAGATTGGAGTTTCTTTGCTAGTATTTCGCAGCGGTGGTGTAAGAGAGTGAAACAGGGGACCAAATCGGTTTCCAGAATGCCTCAACATCTGAACTTCTATTGGTAATTGTTGTCCTCGTATTTCGCCTGGTGAAACCCTCACTCCACCCGTTCCTCACCCCTCAAATCACCACCCTTCTTCATCAACTCCACCCTCTCACCATCATCAACCAACTCCTTCCTCACAACATCTTCCTGATCAGTCTCGCTAATCTTCAATCCACCAACCTCCGCAATGAAATCACAAAGCATTTCCTCTGCCTTTGCAGCATGTCTTGTCAACGAATGATCATCGCCATCGAAAATATGTATCCTTCGATCACCTCTCGGACCGTAAAGCTCATACAGATTCCGTGAGCAACTTGGTGACAAAGTCCGATCCGCTTTTCCATGAAGCAAGAGTACTGGTCGGGGTGCAAGGTTTCTGATCCCTTCCGTCTCTGCTGTCTGGCTTGCCACTGTCGCACAAGCAATGACTCTGGAGTCCATGCCACCAACCGCAAAGACTGGTGCACCGCCAAAAGACCATCCAACCAAGACAAACTTCGAGATGGAGTAATTGGATTCGATATAATCCATCGCAGCTAGGACGTCTCTGGTACAGTATTTATTTCGTGCCGGATACCGATAATCAAGACGCATAACCGGTATTCCCGTATCCAAGCTTGAAAGTTTCTCGGCGATGGACATATATATCGATGATGGCCCTACCACACCACCACCTGCTCCAGACAATAAAATGGCTGCAAAATCTGGTTTTGACGGACGTGAGGCGGGAATATGCAAAAAGCCCGGCACAGCACCATCAGGATCATCGTTAACTTTGATGGTCAGAGATTTGATATCATGAAGTTTCCGATTTTTAGAGTAAATAAGACGGCTAGGTTCCTTCACGGAATCATAATCCGAGATGTTGGCTGGCTTTGTTGATCCTTTTCCTTGGGTCGCCGCGGAAAGTGATGAACGATTTGCTGCTGCCATTTTGGAAAGAGTATTTGCGATAGAAACTGGCAGAGCACTCTTAATTAAATTCCGAAGATAACTCATGGGCTGATATCTTTGAAAAACACTCAGTCGTAGCGGACGAGGCATTTCTATTCATACATCAGTGGCAAAAGCTGAATACATGATGTCAGTCAACTTCGGAGACGTCGAAGGGGTCGCGTGCGGATAGCATCATGGCATCGCAGGAGTCAGACGCAATCAGTAGACATTCGTCTTTTCGAGCTGGATGTTATTCATACACGTAACAGCATCGACTCATGGCATGATGAGATGAATTTGTAGTTGTCTCGCTTGAAGAAGAGAAGAAGGGGCACAATAAGCCGTCACGTGATCCACCCCTGGAGGTCCGAGCGTCTGCAGTCATGATTCTCCTCTCTCATGGTCCACTCTTCAATGCTCTTCTACAAGAAGGACAATCCCAATCGATCACTTCCTTCGTTCAAATGGCTCTTTAAAACTCAATAGAAGTCAGGGCTAAGTATGACAAACTAGCTCTCAAGTCTCTCAAAGCCCGAGGGACTTTTCTATTCCGACGGACATCGAAAATCATTGAAGCTATTCGAAAGACTACACTATAGAAGTGCTCGACATTGGAAGACTACTCAACAGTTGATATACCCCACTTAGCCGCGATGCATACTCGGAAATGCTACCTTCTTCATTCGGAACCACTGATTATTCTCCGGCTTGTGATGCACCAGATAGGTGGCGGACCAAGCATGATACTGCTTCAAAACAATTGACAAAAGATACTACATTTCGTCAATTGTTTCAAGGAAATATGTCAAGATTACATCGACTCTGATATGCTGATATAACCAGATGTCGGAAGCTCCCGAGGTATTCGACAATGATTTTATCCTCCTCGAGACGAACTTTACACCGCTCTGCAGATCTACACCGGATAAGTTTAGAAGGATAAACTCCACGAGGGCTAAGACTTCTTATCGAATTGAGCAACGTTGCACTGTGTAACATCATACGATCACAACCTCATTCAAACATCAAAGATGGAGTTCTAAATTCAAGGCATGGGATTTGTCTGTCGATGTGTGGCAAAGCTATCTGATAGTCGAAATCCTACAGATAAATTGAGCCGAAGCCCCTGATCGGTTGGTGTAACCACAAAAAGCCACGATATTCAAGATGGTGTTTCAAAAGGCTTTGTTTTGGTTGGCTACCACTGTGCTGGCGAGCCTCGTATGTGGTCAATCAAATGCACCTCCTGGTGTAGATACTTGGTGTGGGAAACCGTATCAGAGCAAGTAGGTTTGATCATCTCTTTGTCTCCAAACTGTACTGACAATATGATAGAGATAAATCGATCAATCCAGGAGGCCAATTTGCATTTCCATCACTTCAAAAAGATCCGTTGTTGTACATTACAGTCCACCCCAGATACACCATCTTCCTTGAGACTGATGGAATCGGCTCTTTCATCGTTGGAGCTGAGATATCTCATGTCTTTGGGGAACCCTTCGATGCTCCTCCATCCAATCTCAATGTAATGAAATTCCAAATCTACAGCCAGGAAATCGGTTCAATCCTCGTCTCTCAAATCGACCTAAACACCACTGGAAACATCCGCAACTTCTCCCTCGCTCAATTTCCACCCCGCCTCACCCCCTACCCGATCACCCTCTACGCTACCATCCCAGGCAGCACTAAAACCTTCAAATCCACCACCGAAATCTACGTCCTCCCCTCCCGTACCTACGGAAGCGCCGTCAAAATTGATAACCTCCACGGTGGCCTCCTCGTCCAAAACAACATCAACAAATACAAAGGCTGGTACCCCATCTTCCCCAACGGCCACTACGTAGACGGCGGCTACCTCACCCCCTCAACCTTCGACCTCACCCACCTAAACACCTACGCCGCCCAAGGCTTCAACACAATCAATATCGTCCCCGACGGCGGCCGTCCCGACCAAGCCTACCCCATCGACTCGCTCTCCAAATACTGGGATCGTCTCGACGAGTTGAACCTCTTCAACATCTACGACATGCGCTTCGCCTTCCAAAACAGCACGCGCATTTCCGACCAAGTTGCGCTATGGAAGGATCGCACCTCCCTGCTCATGTGGTATACAGCCGACGAACCCGATGGCTGGGTCTACGCGCTCAACTCTACCAAACTCGCTTACGATCAACTCCGCGAACTAGACCCCTATCACCCCGTCTCCCTCGTGCTCAACTGTCAAGATTTCTACTACGAAGAATACGCCGCCGGCGCGGATCTCATCTGGCAAGACGCCTATCCGGTGGGTATCAACGCCACGCATTCTATTCCCTGGGGTACAGTCTGCAATACTACATACGGCGACTGCGGCTGCGACAATTGCGTCGGCTCCCTCACCGACGTCGCGACGAGACTCGATGATATTCAAGCGTATCAAGCTGCTATCCCATATGCGCTGCAGAAACCCACATGGTCCGTCATCCAGGCGTTCGGGGAACAGAGTTACTGGCCGCGCTTGCCGAAGGGGAGTGAGGTGCTTAATATGATGATGTTGAGTGTGAATCATGGGGCGAAGGGGATTACGTATTGGATTTATCCGAGCACGGACGATGTTAATGTTGGGAGTGGGGAACTGGGGAAGGTTTTTGGGACGGATCTGGCGATGGGCTTTCTTTTTGGGACGGAGCCTGTTAGGGAGTTGAGGGTTGAGGGTGCGAGTGTAGATGCTAGTGCGTGGGCTGTTGGGGGGAAGGTTATGGTTGGTGTGGCTAATGGGTTGTATTTTTCTTCGAGGGGGAAAGTCAAGATTCATCTACCGGAAGGTATCAAGGTGACGAGCGTAGAGAGCCTCTTGTATGGAAATAAAGGATGGACTATCGAAGGAGGAATGTTAGTTAAAGTCGGTTTAGAACCGCTTGAGATTGCGCTCTTAGTTTTGAGCTAGCCCAGTGGAATGGAGATGACTATAGAATGATATACTTATTCAATTGATTCGACACATTACCGGTCATTCCCAGTAAATCTCTCACTTCACAAGCCCTTCCCAACTCAACCGCCAACAGCGCACTTAGTGATTCCCACACGTTCCCCCATTTTCCCCTCCCTTCCCTCACCACTCACTTTCACCCCCCTCACACAGATTCCTCTCTCTCAAAGCAACACCACCTCATCTCCACACCACCCGCGTTCTATCCAACCCAAACCTCCTCTTCCCACTCAACCTTATCTTATTAATCACAAGTTGCGAGTTAAGCCCGTTCATGAGTCAGGAAGTATAGTGATAAAAATGGTGGATCTACTTCTTGGATATCAAGGTCGGTAGGTGCACTTCTTGGTAGTGGTGAGGGAGGGGTGGGGAGGGAGAATGGTACGCTCGCACGTCGGGCGTAAAGGGTTGATACCAGCATGGTAAGTCACCGATAAGAATAAAGTATCCATGAGAAAGGATTCGGCAGGTTTCCTCGTTGAATGAGTTATATAACAATGCACGGTTAAGCTGGGTAGATATTTGTACCGGATTCCACGAGCTTTGAGCTCTTAAAATAAAAAAAGGTTTATTTTACTTACCTATTGGAGAACTTCAAAGTACATCTCACACGCTCATAGCATCACGAATATTTAATATATATTTGGTAATTTCTGTTGAAAACTTTTCCACTTCATTCCTGTCATATTAATCTCTTCCTATCATCCATGTAAACACTGGTAGCGCAAAGCACACTAATATATGTATCTCCCTTCAACTCCAAATTTAAAACTCCTCGCTAACCCCGCATGCTTGAAAGCAACTCAACTTATCGGAAACCTTCTTACACCTCCAGTTGAAACTTGATTCTCTGCCTTCTCTCATCCTCCGAAGTTACCACCATTCATTTCTCTCTTCTGACCTTTTGTTATATCCTCCGTAATGATTGCCATCCATCACCCTCTCACAAAAATCATCTACACAAAATCAGCTTCAACATCAACCCCAAATCACTCTAACCCTTACATACCTCTCCCCCATCCTCCCTAACTACTCGCAAGCCTAACAGCATAAAACTCCCCCTCCCGCGCAAACCACCTACACTCGCCAATATCCCCACTATCAATCGTCATGCGATTCCGCCGACTCCAACTCCCATCCAGCTCGCGCACCATGTAGAAGCGATGCGGATCGTCGTCTGCGGGCTTCATCTCCTGTTTCGCGGATGTCTCGGTGTGCATGATGTTCTGGGTGAGGACTTCCGAGGGCGTGGCGCCGGGGTGTGCCCATTGGGGGGGTGCGTAGGGGTAGGGTGGGTAGGCGTAGGTGGGTGCTTGGGGGTAGAATTGGGGAGGGGGGATGTAGGCGGGTTGGGGGACGGGGAGGGGGGCGGTTTGGATGGGTTGGGTTGGCTGGGGGGGGGGTGTTAGTAAATGTTCAATCCATCCAAAGTCGAGGAGAAAATGAAAACAAAAAGAAATATCCTCCTCTCTTTTCCTCCCCAAGAACCAATCCATCAAAAATCAAAATCAACTCCTCATACCATAGCATTCCCCGCATACCCAACAACAGGCGCAGGTTGCGAAACATTGCTCGTCGTAACCGGAATCGGCAGCGTAGCCGGTACAACAGGTTTCGGTCCATCAGGAAAGTACGCGATGCCGTTGATGACGATGGCACCGTCTGCACGGGGGATGTAAGTGTGGACGTTTGGACCGAGAGTGGTGTCGCGGACTTGGGGGGTGAAAGAAGACATTTTGGGGTGGAAGTGAGGATGCGAAAATGTGTGGGCTGGTGTTTAGATCGGAATTTTGTGGCTCGATGCGGTGGGCTGGATTGAGTTTGGTTGTTGTGGATGACGTGTGGTTGTAGTTGGAAAGTGTTGTTATAGTTGAAGCTGTTGTTGTTGACTCGATGGATGTTGAATTGACGTTGGAGATTCCAGATATGACTCTTCCAAAAGCTTCCGCCAAAAAAGGAAACTACTCCCTTCGAGATGTCCAAGGTGAATACCACCTCACTTTTGCCCCATCAAAATTCTGCATCTCACTTCCCATTCCTTTTTCCTCTGTTTTTCCTCTTCCAGTGCTCCCCAGATCTCTGCTTCATTGCATGTTCCTTTCCTCCTCCTCATTGCGCTCCCCTCACCTCAAAGTCTCCCCCTCCCTCTCCTCCTCATCCCCTCCCAAACACCCTTCCCAAATCCCCCCCATATCGCCAACCAAAAAAGAAAAAAATCTCAAAGAAAATCTCAACTCACATAACCCTTCCCCTTCCTCCCCCCAACCAACTTAACAATCGTCCCACTAACCGGATCATGATAGAAAACCCCATCACTATTAGCCTTCCCATCCTTCCCTTTCTTCGGATTCCTCGGATCATCTTTCAATTCGATGTCTGCGTAGGGGAAGCAGGGGAAGCACATTTTCCGTTTAGTGGTGGTGGGTAGTGATGAGGTGGGGTATTGCAAGAAGACATGTAGGATTGAGGGGTAGAGTTTGGTGAAAAAGGTATAAACTACGTGTGTCGTAGAGTCCCAAGGTCAAGTCGGTCGTTGAGGTTTAATGCTGAGCGCGAATTCTACGTGGTGTAAAAGTGGTGTCTACGCGATTGTTGGGATGATATCCACAAGTGAATAACAAACGTGTAGATGTCAGATCGATTTCGGTTGTTGATGTGGAGCCTTCAGCTTCTTTCTAAAAAATTGTGAGCGTTTGTCTCAGACGAGTCGGAAAAAGAAACTGCAACACAAGTTAAGTTGTTCATCGAGGGATTCGCCCAGCGCGACTTCAAATATCTTTTTGTCTGCTACACCTGCTGAGTTCCAGAGATTCCAGCTTACTCGCATCTCATTCGAAGTGTTATGAAAATAAGAAATAAACAGACGAAAACTAATCCGCTATCCTACACGTCGTTCTATCCAAACGCCCTACCAGTTTCCCTTCCCAAATCCACCTCATCTACCTCATCCATAAACTCCTTAACGTGAAAACTACAAAAATTGCATTGCACCTTCATTACACCTATCCAACCCTCACTCCCTCCCCGCAACCTCATCCCTCCACTCCCCCCAATACTGACCCAACTCCACCCCATGCTCCTCAAGATGCCTCTTCCTAAGCGCCTCATCCTCCGCTTTCTCCCTCTGTTTCTTCTCCTTCCACCGTTGATGCTGATCATAATCCAATTGCTAGTGAAAATCAGGACAACCCCAAAAAATCCACAAACCACAAGACTGAGAACAGGGAAAAGGACGGTGTAGAATAGGAGTACTCACATGCATAATCCACAACCCATGCGTAAACCTCCAATCAAACTTCTTATCCAGAATATCAACTTTCCCCTCCCCTCTCCCCCTACCCAAACCACTCTTCTCACTCGACCTATCCTCCCCAACTACCACTTTCTTCGCATTATTCGCCATCTTCAGCAACCTAACCATCTTCCAATAATCCTCCTCACAACCAATCTTCCCTCTCGAATCCTCCGTGATACACATCTGCTTCCCGTCCGTGAAATGGAGTTTCTGGCGTTTATATATCCAATCGCCGTCGGAGAGGAGGTAGCCGTTTTGTTCTCTTGGTTTTGCGGGAATTTGACTGGGGGTTTCGATGGGTGTCGAACTCGTTGGTGTTATGGTTGAGTTTCTCTCTGTTTCTGATGGTGTGGTGTTCGTGAGCTGCGAGCTGGTTGACGTGGTAGAAGTTTCTCTCTGTGATTCCGTGTTGTTTTCAGACTCCTCGTTCGGAATAGGGTTGCGGAAACTGATTACTCGCGCCTCAACCACCGGATCAGGAGGAATCTTGCATAACTGCGTCGCATCACGCAGCGCATTCCGAAACTCGTAAAATGACGTGGTATACAAAAAATAAAGTGTCGTAACATGCGTATTCCCAGCAAATCCATCAACAAGCCTTTGAAGTTGGACCTGATATCCAAACCGCTTGTCCACTGTTGACGTCGAGCTAGGTTGGCTGTCCATCCCAGAATACAATCTTTTTCTCGAACGGCGTCCTGATATCAAACAAGCCTGTATCCCGTCAGCATATCCATCCTCATATCCACATACGAGTAAATACCAACCTTCGCCTGAAAACTCAATCCCTCCCCCTCCCCCTCCCCATCCCCCAGTTTCAACTCCTCATCCATAAGCCTCTCCACCTCCGCCTTCAGTTCCACCCGCTCAGGAGCATGAATCCACCTCGCCTTCGCATGCGCATATCTCGCATGCTGATTATCCAGATTAGCGACCTTTAGAGCCGTCGGCAAATCCTGGCCCTTCGTCGTCGTATAGTCCTTGTGAAAATCCTCATGATCGCTGTTGAACATCGCCACATTTGACAGGGCGCCAGACTTACGATCGGCTGTCAAGGTGTTTCCAAGGCCGTGTTCGGTGGCGTAGTCGATGACCCATTCTTTGGTTTCTTGGGCGACGTTCTTGATACGCTTGTTTCGAGCCGCTGGGGGAGTTGAGGGTGGTGAGGAGGTTATTGTGGGTGTTGTTGTCCTTCTTACTCTGAGCACTGGGCTTCCTGTGCTTGAATATAATCGTGGAGAGGATGCTATGTTTGGTGGTGAGGACGAAGCCATGGTTGCTAGTAGAAATATAAACTGGTGCTGAGTGTTTGTTATGCAAATAGAAGATTGTTTTGCTTTGAGCCGACTTTGTTGATAATATATCGCAACCAAGAAGAATTCACTACAAGCAAATTCCTTAGAAGTATCGCTCGTGAACGAATGCTGAAAGACGGGAAGAATGCTTGCTACTATGGATCCAAACAGAATCGGTAGATCGATGGTTGTGAAATTTCGCGTAGGCAATGTTCGGTGAAGAAAGGCGTAGGAAGGAAAGAGCAAATGTGGTGTTTTCGACAAATATGCGTGGGTTGCCACGAGACCCAGTAAGGAGATCAACCACAAATACCTCTCAAATGCTACAACAGACGCAATGGCACTGCCGCTCATCTATACTGTCTAAGAATTAGTATTCCAAGGATTGTCTTTACATTTTGTCTATCCACCTCTTAGGCAACCTTCCAGTCCTGAACTCCATTACCCAAAGCCCGCTATTGGTACATGTCTAGTTTAACACTTATTACAACATCGATGGTAAGAAATTAAGTTTCGCCAACAAAACTTCCATCATCCATCTGTCCAGTCCTCTTCGGACCTTCCTCGATCCAAGTTTCGACAAGACCTTGTTTTGGATCTTCGTCAGGCAATCCCAGACTTGCCCTGACCTTTAGGACTTCCTTTCGAATCCGAAGGGTAACTTCTTCTCGTAATGCTTGCGCTTCTTTCGAATGCTTCAGACCTTCTGTAAGATCGCCCATTTCCATATCCATCAACGCCCCTTTCTTGATCAACGCTTCTTTTTGTAATTGAACAAGATTCTTCCACTTCGCTCTCAACTCCCCAAACACTTTCTCCCCATCAACCTTTTCGCCAAATGCAACTCGAACATTCTTTCCTATTCTAGGCAAAAATCTGGGAAATTCTCTCGACTCGTGCATGATATCCTGATTTCCATCAATAAACATCGGCACTATGTCTGGCAGAGGTTCTGATTCGAGTATGAGTCGCGAGATACCCCATTTGAAATAACGTAATGACTTTTTCGGATGTTGGTGTATTCGACCTTCTGGAAAAATATGTACCCACGCGTGCCTGTTCGCCTCATATGCGGATGGGGCTGGAAAGGAATCTGTACCATTTGTAGAGTATGTAAGGGAGCCAGAAGAGAATGGGTCGTCTGCTAATAATGGCGTTGATTCGGAGACTGTAGAAGGACGTGAGGATGGTACAGCGGAGTAGGTCTTAGGAAATGGTGGAGAAGATAGTAGTCGGATGGATTGAGTAATGGTAGGTTGAAAGAGTCCACCGAAAGACGAGTGCTGGCTTCGATGGGTGGGTAAGACTTGACCGAGCGTAAAGAATTTTGAGAGGATTCTGCAATGGATTGATGAGCATGAGCTAAGAAGAGATGAAAAGGGAGAATTACTTGTTGGTAAAGCATATATCATAACTTCCCAAGCTCCATCTATGGTTCGAGGGGTTGAGCGCGTATCTGATCGGCAGCACGCCCCATACTAAGGGATCATCGACGCTGTTGATATAAGCAGGCGCCAGCATATGAGTTTCAGTTGACATACACGCTAACATGGTTTGAGACTATTTCATTATCAGCTTTGCTTAACCAACAAGATCCAATACTGCGCACCAGTAATCAACCCTCTTTCCCTGTTTTGCACATCCTTCCTCGCATCCAATATTTCCAAAAAGCGATCCAACCCTATCGTTTCAGTCTTATTAAGGCCATACAAAAACGCTCTCGAAATGACGGCGGTCATGCCCATGACCACAGTAGAAGTGGCCCGCCATGGTAGAGTCGGACTCGAGGGTGGAGGTGGGGACGTGATGGCCTTTTCCACGGGCATTTTGCTATCGCATACCCGGTATCAAAGAAGGGAAGAATGTAGTGGCCATTAAGGAGCGTCTAGGCAAATGAGGATATAAAAGACGAGGGGCAACTAGTAGGATGCGCGACAGAAAAGATGCAGGTCGGGCAAGTGACGTACGGGAAAGAACCCTGTTTATCTAGCATGGGTATTTTGCATGGAATATAGTTTCGCCGAAAGCCGAGATACTATCATTTTGTTGACGAATGGCCGAGGCTTTTGGGTACAACACCGTACAAGTTCGACCATCTAAAGCTCTCGGAACCACAACTTGGCTATATATTGAAGAAGAAAGAGATAAGGAGGAAAAGCTACCAAAGACCTTCTGCACATAATTTAATACAAAACTCCTGTCCACACACCCATAGTTCCAAGTCAGGACCAACACTATAGACGTGGTCACGTTTCTTCAGAAGAATAGCCATAGATCAGAGTCACATTGACATCATAAGAATTACATCAACACAATATCATCAAAATAAAACTCCACCCTTGAAGAACATTCTTCATCATGTCACATAGTAAGCACAATTCCCTCATCAGAAACACAAAACCTAACACCCCCAGGCAAACGCAACACCTCCCGCGCAGTCTTCACATCCCACGAACGAGACCTCGCCAAATCCGCCTGGAGTTCCAATAAAACGCGCTTATCCCGGGACTCCTTCCTCCCCTTTGCATCATGTCGTCTCTGTCTTCTCCCCGCCCGTGACCCCGTGTCCTGTCCCCACGGCGATATCTTCTGTCGAGAGTGCGCATTAAGTAATATCTTGGCGCAGAAGAAAGATATTAAACGTATGGAGAAGATTCGGGAGCAGGAAGGCAAAGAGAAGGATATAGATGCTGATCGGGATGAGGAGGAGGCGAGGGAGAGGGCGGTGAGGGAGTTTGAGAGGGTGCAGATGGGGTTGGAAGTAAAGGTTGGGAATGGGGGGAAGATTGTAGGGAGGGAGGGGGGAAAGGTTGTTGTTGAGGAGGAAACGGGGAAGAGGGGTGAGAAGAGGAAGTTTGAGTTAGATGAGGATGAACTGCTGCGAATCGCAAAAGATGAGAGAAATAAAGCCCGTAAAGCAATCGACGAAGAAAAAGTACGTCCCCCCCTAAAACCTCAGGTGCTTAACCTAACTAACAACCCAGGCATCCAAAACCACCCTCCCCTCCTTCTGGGTCCCCTCCATAACCCCCTCCTCAAACACAAAATCCACCCTCCACGCCCTCACAACAACCCACAAAACCCTCCCCATCTGCCCCTCCTCCCCATCAAACACCCCCCATCCCTACTCCCTCCACACACTAATCACCATCCACTTCTCGACCCCCAAAAACACCTCATCAACCTCAACCTCCGCATCCGCAACATCCACCACCAGCTCCGCACCCCCAAACATCTGCCCGGCATGCACCAAACCCCTAACCAACACCTCGAAAGCCGTGCTCACCAAACCCTGCGGACACGTGTTGTGTAAGAGCTGCGTGGGGAAGTTCATGGCACCGATGAAGGCGGATCCGCATGCGCCAGAGGCGGAGGTGGGGGTTGTGAGGTGTTTTGTTTGTGAGGAGGATGTGACGGAGCGGAAGGCGAAAGGAAAAGAGGAGGGGAAGAAAGGGAAGAAGGAGAAAGATAAAATCAGACCCGGGTTGGTGGAGATTAAGAGTGAAGGGACGGGGTTTTCGGGGGCGGGGAGTAATATGGTTGAGAGGAGTGGTGTAGCGTTTCAGTGTTAGGACAGTTAGAATATAAAGGATATAGATATAGATTTTCCTTTTCAACTGAGTGGGATAGTCGAAAAGGAACAAATCAGACTCAGGCCCTGCCTTTTACAGCACTTCGCTTACCACGCCAATACCCATCTCATCATCCCAACCCAGTGAACCCCCAGCCAACATCGCAATCTTAGCACATTTCCCAACACCATTTTATATCAAGGCCACGAAACCTCCATCCTCGAGTCTTGACTAAAAGGCCTAGACTCATAATTTATAGTCCATCATTCTCTGTGGTCGACATTCTGCCTCATGTTGTTGATCTGCAGCTACATACTTTTGATCCCAATAGGAAGTGTCCTATATTTCTCTACGGACGTTGGAGGCCGGGTGACTACATGATTACTCGTTAGAATATACAGTCAATCTAGTAAAGTGATGACATAAACATCGATACCAGTGTATCAAGAAAAATGTATTTACAAATCATCATAAACGCTAAACTAAATTACATAATTCCCAACCCACCACCCATTTTCGTTGCCCATTCCCAGCCGTATCCATATTACTCATCCGTCTCATCCATCTCATTTTTACATTTTCACCACCAAAATACAATCTCCACAAAACATACCCATAAAAATACAAAATCGATTCAAACACTCAGCTACTCACCTCACACCTCAATAATTCCCATCCTTCTTCCCTTCAACACTACTCCCCACACTCCCATTCTCCACACCCCCACCCACCTCACTACTCCCCAACTGCTCCTGCGCATTCCCCATCAGATTCCCCGCAACCTGACTCTGCAATTTCTCCGGGCTCTTGGCCGCCTCATACGCGCTCCCACCAGGGCCATCCGCACTCCCATTTTTATTCACGTGGTCAAGTACCGTTTCGACTTTCTCCTTCCCCTGGTTCACCGTGTTGCTAGTCGAGGTCGATGTGGATGAGAGAGTGTTATTAACCATCTCCTTGCCGGACTCGATCATGCCCCTCGCTGTCTCTGGCACGCCCCCAACCGCCTCCTTCGCGCGCTCAGCAAGTTGTTCCGGACTCGGGTACCTCTGAAGTGCTTTGAGAACCCAATAATACGCCGCAACAATCAAACTATGTACCCGTTCTTTAATAAGCATAGTCAATCCATGCCCAAGAAACCCCCTAAGCACCTCCCCCCACACACCCTCGTACAACGCCTCTGGGCCCTCGGTTCGATAAATCCTTAGAATCGTAGCGAACACCGTACTCTCCTTCGCCACATTCTTCGTCTTGCGGCCGGCACGCTTGGCGTCACGCGAAGTAGAGGCGGAGGAAAGTTCGGTCTTGATATCCTCCATGGAATCTGGGTCGACTGGGGGAGCTGAGCCTGCCTGGGCGCGCTTCTTTGCGAGCGCGAAGGGATAGGTGAGGGCTGAGGCCACGGCTTTGGAGAAGGCGGCCATGAGAAAGGTTGTGCGTGCTCCTGGGTCATCACGTTGAGTGCGCGGAAGGAGCGTGCGTTTGAAGAACTCGTAAAGGAAGAACGTTATGCTCGGATTTGCCGTCAACACCAAACTTGCGGAATATCCGGACCAGAAACCCTGCAGGCCTTTCTCGTCGTGGATGTCCGAGATGATGCTGCGGACTGAAGGTTCGATGGTTGGGCCGGGGGTTGAGGCGGATTGCATTGCGGCTGTCTGTTTGCGCGTCACGATGTTGGATATGGGTGTTGTGAAGAGTTTGGAGCAGGCGCCGGCCATGGCGCCGACCAGGAGCTCGTCGAGAGCTGGGAGGGTGGTGGCGCTGTGGCCTTTCTTTTGGAGTCGGTTGGTGCGGAGGTAGTTGTAGAAGAGGAAGAAAAGGAAGGAGTCGGCGATGGATTTCCCGGTGTCTTGGACGATTCCGACGTAGAAGGCTTTCAAGCCGCCCTCTTTGCTGTAGATCTTGTCCAAAGCGTCGGCGATACCTTCGTATTCATCGTGAGTGCGTACGGAGGAGTTTCGGAATTGACGTTGGACTTGGAGACGGGTGATGATGAGATCAAGTGGGTAGATTGCGAGGTTAGAGATGGCCGTCCCGGTTGCTCCAGCTAAGGCATGGCCCAGAGCTGGAAGAGCTGGACCTTCGAGGAGGGAATGTTGAGATTGTTGTTGCTTGTGGTAGAGATCAAAAGCATCCTTGTTTACATTAGAAGTTGGTCAATAGATATTTAGTTTGAACTCACAAGTCTGCTGTTATAGATATTTGGGTTCGCCATTTTGAATTCTGTACAATGATCAAAGGTTTAGTAAAATTCCTACGAAATTGACAATCAATTAGAAGTAAATCTGGTCAAGATGAGGGGAATCAGTCTTGATATTAATCAAGTGCAGAAGAGGGGAAAGTTACACATGAAATGGGTTGTCGTTGCGAGTGGTGTGGCTGAGGAGCTAAATTCCCCAAAGTGACATCATTTCCCCGGATTTGCGGGGCTTGCATTGATCAACTCGGCTCGGCTTGAACCTTGTTCATTGAAAGACCAACTGAATGGCGCTGCATGGGAGCTATGGATAAAGGTAACCGAGGTAGGTAAGGAAGAGCTTTAAAATATCTTGATATTGACTGTTAGCTTCAGAAAATCAATCACGATGTTAACAGCTCTATTGCTGCCGCGCAGCTATGGTATTAATTACATTCTTCAGTCGACTCCGCTCCCATAAAGCATGGCAATACCAGATTCATGCTCTTTCCACTCTGGGCTCATTAATTCTGATCTATCTTGTTAATTTCGGATTTCGCTTCCTCCCACGTTTCTTTATTCTTTTTGGCCCACTCGATCTGACTTCGTGCATACGCGAGCTGTACATTTATTAGACAAAACTATCTTGAGGTTCAGAGACTTACCATATAACGCTTCAAATCATCCTCCTTTTCGGCCTGGAATCTCTTCAAATCCTTCAAAATACCGGCACTTGCATCTCTTACGTCCTGCGCAGAAGCCCGCTGTGCTTGTTCCAGGTGTCCAATTGACTCCCTCGTCTTCCCAATTGTGTCTCTGCGAGTTCTCTCTGGATCGACGTCCACAACTCCATGGACCGCATGACTGATACGTCCAAATATTCTATTTGTGATAAAGTTACCGCTCGAGCTTTTACGGTGAACTGGTGGAGGCTGTTCCTCAGGACTACCTTGAGCTGCAGATGGGGTGTTTGATGAATCTCCATGTGTTGGAGGGAAATCGGAATCGATAGACGCGGTATCATCTTGGTGATTCTCGCGTCTAGGAGAGTGTGGCGAGTCTCTAGCTGACGAATTTGACCTTCGAGGCAAATTTCCTGTCCCACTGCTACTAAGATATGTTTCGATCCTTTTTGCTTCGGTTTCGCTTCTTTCCAACGACTCAAGTAATGCTCTCTTTTTAGCCAGTTCATCATTTGTCATTTCTTGCTGCACCCGTTTTAGTACTCTGTATCGGAGAACTCCTCGTACTACCCCCGCAAACTGAGCACTTTCTCGCATGGGTTCAGCAAAGCTTGCACCTAGTGATCCAGAAAGCTCCTCGGTAGCAAGATATGAAGAGTCAACAGCTTGCCCCACGCGCTCAATTGCGGCTGCAAGAGATGGTGAAGATTCCGACAATGAGAATCCATTGAATCTAGCGCCAAGCTCTGCTAAATCCGAAGACAATGTTGAAAGATGCGTCAATGTACGCCGATTAACCTTTTCGATCGGTCCTGTAAGAAGCAATTCAAGCTCTTTCGTTGACGCTTCAAAGTTTATGAAATAAGGATCAAGGTCTTGCTCGCTCAGATTTTGTGAATCCGGTGGAAATTTACCAAATACTTGTATTCCTGGGGTACTATGGGCGGCAACAGACGGACTTGATTGATATTCTGAAGGTTGATTCGACATGCCCTGAGGATTTGTACTTGATGATGAGGTTCCCTTAAGTTTCGCGGAAGTAGCGGGAACTGGAAGATGAGCATGTGCAGGTGTTGGATTTGCGGGGTCCAGTGGTGGAGCTTTCATAGTTGACTTTGGAATGTTTGCGATGGGATGAGAGTGCAGTACTTCATTCTAAACCCACATTAGCATATTTCACACCACCGATAGAGGAGCTTACCCAGCTTGAGTTTGGATCCAGAAACCTCCACCAAACCCCATCATTCCGAACATCATCCATCTGCCGACATCTATTCAGAAATACTGCCAACATCCGTTTCCGCAGATCAATTATTTGTTGGTCCTGTTTTGCTTTTGTTGGATTTGCAGCATAATCTGCCATTGTATGTTTCTCGGGAATTGGAGGGATAATTAGGGTAGGGTGTAATCTTGCCAGGGCGTCTCGGAGAGTTGCGAATTCAGAATACCGTCTTCGAACTTCAAGATCCTAAGCAGAACGTCAGATATGCTCCATCCTCCCAGTATCAACACCTACCCCAGTCCTAATTGTATACACAATATACTTTCCACCACTCTCATTGCTCTTACCCGCGTCGACAATCAGTATTGGAAGCTGCGGGTTCTCGTAGAGTATCTGTTCGATGCGACTATCATAACCCCCCTTCTTCGGCTTCGGTCCCTGTCTTTCAGTTGCTACCCCATACTCTTCATCGCTACCAGCGTCGTCTCCATGGTCGTCTCCGTACCCTGGGATATGAGGTTCGTTTTCTAGGTCTTGATGATTGCTGTCGGTGGAGGGGGTGCGGGGGCCGTTGAAATCATTATCTAGGGGTCCCCAGCCGTCGTCAGCTTCTGTAAGATCTACAGTATGAAAAGAATTCCACATTGTGTTAATTGGAGAAGCAATAAGGTATCAAACGTACGAGATCCCGGAGAACTTGGGTTCGCTGTTGAGGAGGCTGTTGAATCACGGCGCTCAAAGCTGGTCCCGTAGGGGTTATTGTCCTCATCGTTCCACATTATGACCGATCGCCAGCTTCAGCAGAAGCGTGTTTTGTCTGTTGGATGGCGCACAAAGTCGTGGTCGTGAGTAATGTAGGTGTTTGTAGCATTTGGTGGTGTTTGGGAGGCAGATGCAATCGAGAGTTTGGATCTTGGCGACGCTTCGTCATGAGCGACGATGGAGGGGTGGTCTGTGCGCAACATTCTCCTGTCGACAAGCCAACCTCCATCCTCTTCGGTACGAAGTACATTTGTCTAGGTAACCTCTTTGTTTCAATCACTTCAATTACATTTCTACGTTCGAACACATTCTAGTATTTCAAGATCAAGACTATTTCTTCCTGTCCTAGACCAGATTATCGATTTCTAGATTTGTCAACCCGTTACCCATCCTATAGAAACGTTCTCGGTAATGGTCTCAAATACATTCACTAAACAATGTTGACATTCAGATCGTTTCGAGGAGTCTCGTTCGAATCATGCACCAATTGTACCAGACTTACTATCGTCGTTCAGCTGATCGGACAGCAGAAAACTGAATGGACCCTCACTTGACACCAATTTAAGATCTCATCGACCAGGTCCTTGCCAGAACTTTGACGATATTCACAAGAGGCAATTGGTAAACAAATTCGTAGTCATAACCAAGATTCTCTCCTTCCCAAATTCTCACGTCCGGACAGCCTCGAGGAGCGATGACTTCTTGGGGAAAGAGCTTCGCGATTCGGTTGTCGATTTCCTCCCAGACCTCCTCCCTCAAGTGGCTCAGCGATTGGAGTCTCATTCATAGCAGAGCGACGAAACTGTGCTGAATCTGGCTGAGAGATGATTTCGGCACCGTAATCTGCATTTGGGGCATCAAAAGCATTCGCTAGATGGCCTCCCTGCTCGAAATAATCTCGACGAGGATCACCACCAACACCTCCAAATAACCCATTCGCATGCATCTCTGCCGGGTATCCTCCCCTCATCGCCCTTTGATCAGTCGCCTGTAAACCACCAATATCTCATTGGCCAGGAAATTCCAGTGCTTCGAAGTCACCTAATGGACCATTCCTTCTTCGATCAAGTGCCGCGGGTCGACGTGATTGGCGAGTTCTCCGCGAACTGTGTACGACTCGGACGTTGGTCGTTCGTCCATATCTCTTACCAGATAAGTAAAGAACCATGAACAGTAAAACTCCTATAACCAACAGGCCACAAATGATGCCCAAAGCTATTAATGCTCCCTGCTCAGGCGTTGTTCTGCCATCCAATACTGCGGATGGTGAAAGTAGAATTATCGTTTCCAACGAAGCGATTGCGGTAGCAGCAATTTCATCAGCCATGCTACTGATTGAGGCCGTGGTAATAGAAGAGGTATATTGAGCTGCCGTTGGCGCAGATGCAACATCCGTCAGGATCACATCATCATTCCGTTTCGGTTTCTTGTCCATTACGAGTCAGCCCTTCCAACGTATCTTGTGCAAGCAACAACACTTATGCGAAAGTTTCCAAGGAGAAGAATTTTCCCACCTGTCTTTCCCAAGGTCGAAGACTCAAGCCTCACCAAAACCTTCATCCAATGTTCGTACAACCGCAAACGTACCCATTCCGAGCAGCAAACACTCGTCTTCAACAATAAAAGCATTCGCCTCATAAGAATCCGGCCTATAAAAGTTCGAGCTCATGAGATATATCTCCACTTTGGTGGGGGATATCTGACAAACAGATGCTTGCATTAGTATGACAAGCATGGGAAGCGAGGTGTTCTTATCTCTCTTTCTCATTGATCTAAGCCGGTTTTCGATGGGGAAGTTGAAGCACAAACTGTTAGGTAAATTCGGGCAATCGAACGAGTATCACCACTGCGCCTTCATCCGCTTACTTACGATCTTGACGAGAGAGAGCTATCAAAACTTGCTTGTTCCCGGTTTGAGATGCTGAAACTGAGATGAAGCTGCTGCAGTCAGCCGCAAGTGGAGTCATTGAGTTGTACAGAACACTTTTTTGTGGGTCACCATTTGCTGTCAATGTTTGTTGCTTAAACTTTCCTCTATTCCATTCTATAAGATGACTGAACGATTCTTCTCTCCGCCGAATCTCTTTGCGGTAACTCTTCAGAATCTCTAGGTATAACTGTTCTAAATAATATGAAAATTCCTAGTCAGCATGTGGAACCGTTGGCCCCAACAGGAGCCATAGTCTTAGTATGGCTTATCAATCGCCAGATCATGAGCAGCAACCTGTTGCTAATTTAAGGAAAACATGCAATATCTTACACACCAATGCTTATTTTCCGACGTTCTGAAGTGGGCGTTATGTATCAAATAATTCTGGACGTCAAGTAGTCTTGCCGTCACTCGATCAGATCTCACCACCTTACACTTTCCAGACGGCGAAGCTTGACATATCCAACCAGAAACCTCTATCCGAAACCCAGACAGTATTTTCTAATCACCTCCTCCCACGGCCGACTTTCGCACCATTCATACGCCCTTTGGAAAGGCTTGCCCAGCCACCCCTAGGCTCAGCAGCAATATGAAGTGCTACACAAGCCCATTCAAGAATCGCGCACCAAGTACCTATATCCGTGATCCAAGGTTCTTTTGTCGGTTTTTTGGCTGGTTGCTTTTCGTTTCTTGTACGTTGCGAGGATCTGCTATCTCAGTTAGACATCTGAATTTAGTGGGGGTGGCTCGCTACTCACTTCTGAGATTGGTATCTATGCTGGTCATCATTTCGCTTTCTCATTCTAGTTTTTTGCGCTTCTCTGATTATCTGATCGTCGATTACTCGTCTATGTCGCCTTCTTCTCTCGGCTTCGCTTTCGGGGGATGAACCAAGCGAATGACCGCGGTGTTTTTGATACTCAGATTCATGAACGTACGTGTCCCGAGGTTCTGGTCCTCTAACATATGTACCTCGACCACCTGCTCCCGTCTCCGGATTCCTGACATACGTACTTCTCGTACTCTCTTCACGTTCACTTCCGTAAGTCCCTCCCCTCCCCTCCCCAGGTACCGCAACCTCAACACCGTAAACAGGTCGATACTGATACTCACTCCCACTCGAGCTTCCCGAACTCAAACTCGATTCTACATCCCCATACGAATCTTCTTCTTGCTCCTCTAAATACTTCATCGCCCTCTCCGGCCCCATATAACTCACTCTGTCTTTCCCTACAGGATCACGTTTTACACGCCGTCGCTCTGATTTGTGGGGGATGGGCGGGTCGGCGAAGGTTACGGAGCGCTTTCTTCGAAGTGGTTTTTGGGGAGATGGGTTTCTGGAGTGACTTCTCCGGTCTTCGCTTTCGGAGGTGTCTCTTGGATAGGCCATTTTTACGAGAGGATATTGGGTTTGGGGTGGGCAGGTATGTCGTTGAGATTATGTTTGGTTGAATGAAGGAAAGTTTGACTTGTTGTCGGGTTTGAGTTGATTTTGTTTTGAAGACTTGTGGGGAGAAAAGATAGATTACAGATATACTGTGGAAACAGGCATGAGTGTTCTTATCAGTACACTCATAAAATGTGTTTTTATGAATTGATCGCTAGAGTTCGGGTATTGGTATACTCATACTCAATCGGGACAACACCCGAAATATGGAAAGTGAAGAATCCAAGCGAGTTTCGCTTCGGTTGCTAACATTTACCCTATCCAGGTCCAAACCCCAGTTAACACAACTAGCGAAGTTCTAATCTGAAAAATGAATTGTAACTCTTATCTTGTTTTTCTTATCTATCGTATCGCCATTGCAACCCCAATAACTCGCGTGTTCATTCGTTCTGTATCACTATCATTTGCAGATTCTTCACTTCAGCGAAATCGTCGCTTCAACGCCAGTTCTAGTCCAGCCTCATAGCTACGTATGAAATTCAAAGAGCTGCAAATCTTGGTCATCACCTTAGGTTTGAAGAGGAGGAATTTTAGAATTCGAGCGAGATGGATATATAACACCATGGCTGGCTAGAAGTCCGTCTTCATTGCATAATCCTGATTTATTGAATCTAGGAAAATGCTATAGTACTCCACAATGCAACATTCATTTTGCTGTGATCTGGAGAGGATGGTAAGGATACCTGAGAGATGGGGTCATGCGTTTGGGAGGATGAGAAATGTGGTAGGTAGGAGACAGGATGAGGGGTCGTGCAGCGTGGTAGTTGGCGTGTCGAAGGCGAATCGGCGGTTGAGCGATTTGGATAATTTGGTACGAGGTATCCGCTAGGTTTAGTTCCGTCCTCCATGCAATTGATCATATCTGTCATTGAATTTGGGAAGAGGTGGTATAATAATAGTCCACCTCTCCCCCTTCGGTACATCTCACATATCATCTCTCAAAAATGGCTGTTATGGCCAGAGAGCAAAATGGAACATGATGTAGTTTGTGGAAGAAAAGCAGACGTTGCTCTCCGGCTCTGATAATCTACCACAATATCATAGAGAGAAACCATCGAGTTGACCATTACGCAAATAACTAAGCTTTTTAATCTGCACGCAATAATGAACAAAAAGCAACATGAGCAAATTGTAATTAACTCCAACGCATACATACACTCCCGTCCGTGTCATCCTATAGTTCCGTGCTCCATACTAATAGTAAAATAAACCTTGCGTGCCTCCGCTAACTTGCGTCGTAAATTCTCTATTGTGTAGATCGTTGGGAGCGTCGATACACGGGCTGTGAGATTGGTATGAGATTGATGGGACTTTATTCCTAGGTGATGGTTCGCAAGGATAGATTATGGAGAAAAGGGTTTGGCGGGAGCGTCAACGGTGTGAAGCTCGCTGTGGGATTGTGGGGGTTGTGGGCGGTGATTGAGCTGTTTGGTGGAATTCGAAAGGTTGAGCGTAGGAGTGTACGCAGAGAGATGCTGAAAACATCCAAGTTTTTCCATATTCCACACTATCGAGTTGTCCTTCTCTTTCACAGATCGGTCCCGGAAAGTCTCAGAATATAATTCCTTAGCCAGCAGTCGCAGTAGCAGCCCCCTCCTCCTCCTTCAAATCAGCCCTATTAAAACCCGTCAGCAATCATATCACCATACGCCAATCTCATCCTGCCACCCCCTTCTTTCACTTCCATCTTCTAATCTTCTCTCCTTCCGCGAACATATGAAATAATACATACGCAGTTTGTGCCTAAATTATATTCAATCAGCAACGAACCAACTCAAGGGTGGAGGGAAGAACATACACAATTCTGCAAAGCTTTATAACTCAAAAACCCCAGCCCAACGCAGAAGATGAATGCGAAGACGATTATGAGGGCGATGGTTGAGTTGGGGTGGAGGGCCATTGTTGTGATTGTTGTCGACAGGGGTGGAGAAAGGGTGGTGGTGAGGGGTGAAGGCTGATGAGGAGATTGATGGTGAGGTTGGATGGTGAGATGAGGTTAGAGGTGTGAAGTAAGAATTGGGTTGATGGGGAAAGTTGTGAGCTGGATGAGTCAGGTTATGTTGTGATGGGAGGACGAGAAGTTGAAACTTGGAGATGTGTTAGTTTTTCAGGAATATAAGAGTACGGGGACGTACAAAGCGTGCAATAAAACTCAAAACGTGTGTCTGTATCACAAGTGTAATATGCAGAGTTGGTCGAAAATTCTTTTGTTTACTTTGTTTACATGTTTACCTTCACCCAGTGAATCATTTCCTCCTCACTCGTTGCCCACCAAGGTACGGCGACGCGTTAACGATAAGCGATACCCTCTCTGGCAACAACTCTTGTAGCTGTTTTTTTTCTAGTGTGTCGTTTCTAACCAAGAGCATGAGGAGTTGATCATTGAAAGAATTTCGATGTGCTTCGTATAAGAATGTGTCTAGCAGAATCTTCATTTCTTCAAGATCGGAGCGTAAGACATGTGCTGCGATTGCTTCGTCCAACGATGGTCCTAGGGAGTTGAGATGTGTTAATGTGATATTGACACAGCATATAACACGAGTGCACGACGTAAAGGCTTCTGGTTTGCTCGACCATCCAAAAGCGCCGTCATGCCGCGTTTTCAGAGTTGTGTTGAGTGTCTCTAATCCTTTGACTGCGTAAGAGACAATTTTCTTGAGCGAGCTATTCCTTTGCTTAAGCACGTCGATCCGTAGTTTCCCGAGAACTTGAGCCCATCTGAGGGTTTCGCCGTGGTGATCAATCCACAAATTTTGCGATTCAACTGCAAAGAGTTCAGTGTCCTGCGCGAAACTCTTTTCTATCTGAGCGCGTACTTCAACAGACGAAGTGTTCGATTCGTCTCCAAGACCCAAATTGGCGCTGCCTATAATTCGGTTGGCCACAATACGACCGAAGAGATTTGAATCATTGAAATGAGCTGTCAACCAATTTACAAGCTCATCAGCTGCTGCTGGAGGAACTAGGGCTTTCTCGGTTATGGCTGCAACGACTGACGCGGCTAGCATGCGGATCTCCTCTTCGTCATCATTGAGGGCATTATACAAGGCAAATAGTGACGGAAGCAGGCAATCATGGCCATGAAGTGCGATGGACCTAGGTCGACTGTAAAATGACATTAGAGCTGATGTGGCAGCTTCTCTCATTTCGTATGACTGGTTACTGATTAGCATCAATCTAAAATGTTGCACTTCAAGCTTACCTTTTCGTCCGTCAAGCAATCCACAATAGCTAGCCCCCATTTCCGAAGATCTTCATCTGAACCACAAGCTTGTAACGACACGACATAGGCCTGAGAGCCAGAAAACTTGACCCATGCTATCGATAACTCAGGCGACTTAAGAACCCAGTGAGAACCTTGGCTAAGCTCAAGAATATTTTCTCCCAAAGCGCCTAATTCGCCACCCGTGAATAAGTCAAGCAGCCCAGTCAGATGATTCAAGGCTATCGCTCGCACACTCGGAGAGGTAGATGAATTCACGACTTCTGAATAGAGATAGAACAAGAACAAACGATCATCCTTTCGCTGTTGTGTCCCAAAAATATTCTGCATCGTCTCAATTGCGACCAATGCTGCACTAGAGCTCTTCGACACAGCATACAGAAGTACATCGGCCAGGTCTTCGAGGCGGTGATTGACGGCTGAGAGATAGATTGTCCGACGAACAAGAGCTTGGAAAGATAAATCGTTTGTTGATGGCCATGATTTCACAGCTGACAGCGCTTTTGTACATTGCTCAGCTGTAAAGGTATCTAACAGCTTAGCAGTACTGAGTTGCTCTTCATTTGAATTGTTGACCTTCTTTGCCGATCCATAAACTTCCTCTGGTTCTGAAACCGTAAACCCTGTGTTTGACAACACAACTCGCATAATTATATTCCCAGCCTCTAAATATGCAGCTGTTACCTGCAGTGAGTCGTGTACTGAGATGTCGATAGAAAAGTACTCCTGAAATATGTCCCACAAGTCGTCGAGAGAATCTGTATTGCCATCAGTAAAACAGCAATTTATAGGGTTGCTTTGGAAATACCACTGTCTGATTGGTGAAAGCCTATTTGACGAGCAATAATATGACCGATTACCAGCCATGTTCCATGTGAACGATTTGCTGATTCTCCAGTCCGTTCTTTCAGCTCCGCTATCACATCCTTCCATCGGTATGAGGGTGAAAGGGCACACAGAGTTCTTGCAGCCAGCTCCCGAACGTGCCAGGATTTGCTGTCCAAATGCCGCAAAACGTTCTCATACACGAATGGTAAATCCTTCTCCGGTGACCCGGCACGTCGTAGAATATCTAAGACGGGTATCGTTCTTTCGACTGTCGAAGCAAGTGTTGCAGATTCTTCGTCGGTTGTGCTTGAGCTTTCGAGTAGCGACGTTAACACAGACCACACTTTAGGATATCTATCAAAAGCAACCTTGGTACCTTGACCACCCCACCCAGATTCGATTTCCTCTTTGGTTTCTGTTCCCAGTAAGAAGTCCGTCAGGGTCTGGAAAAGAAGCAAACCACAGTTCTTTATTGGCCAGCTGCAAAAGTGCGGTCAGCAAAACACACGACACAGGTTAGAGTAAGGACAATTCATTAATAAAACTTACACATCTGATCCAAAACAATCTGCAGCCAGCTCAAGACAACTGTTAACACTTGAATCCAGCTGATTTCGGACACTCGATGTTTTAAATGCTTGTCTTATACTATTCAAGGCATGAACTTGAGGGAGTTCTCGCAAGTTTGAAGTGCTATTTGTTTCTGAGCTTACTGGAACTCTCGCTCGACTGATTAAGGTAGGGATCATGTTGTCTATGGATGGAGTTTGAGACATCGCCGACATAATACCAGTCACCAAAACTGGTATTCCAGCAGATCTCCTTGTTGTCGAAGCTTGTGTTGCTATACATTTGAGAGCACCCTGTCAAGATCAGTAAGAGGTGCGGTTTATACATTCTAACACACTTACTTCCCACCATTGTTGCAGCAAATCTGACACAGACGTAGCAGCAGAAGACTTGTCAGTGTCAGGCGAATCTAAGAAAAGTGCCTTTAGTCGGGAGTTCTGAGTGAGCTGACAACAACGAGAAAAAGTCAGAGCGACCGTAGAGAATGCTCCTCTATGTCTCAACGTAGATAATTGGGTAAATGACAGATTTCCAATCTGAGTAAATGTGCTTGTAACATGTGCTGAGAATCCGGGTATCCAGATCTGCCTGTGACTTTCGGCAAGGATGCGCATCAAGTTACTGCAACAGTTAGTAATGGTTTCATGTATAATTGCTCTGAGATTTCTGCATCACACTTCAGGCGCACCTCAAATTCAGATCATCGGAACAGAATTCCCTTACCTAGATTCATGAACAGCTCGAAAACTATAGCTCAATATGTTTTTCGTATCAACAGCATCCATTTCATCAAGTTCCTGGGGAAGATGACCTTCTGGTGAGTCGTTGCATAACACCTCTTGAACAGCAGCCCAGATTCGAGACGCCAGCAAGACCATACGTTGTTGAAGATTGCTCCACTTAGTCCAGTAGACCAATTGGTCCTCCGCAGTCGGGTCTAGCGATGAAGTGATATATTCACAAATATAACTGTATATCATTTAGTCTCCTCGAGCTTCCGAGTCAGGAAACAGATCAGCTCACCTAAGCGCAGCAAAGTTTCCGTGGACAGGGGCATCCAAAACAGCTTTAGCCAAGTCTTGCTCTGCTATCTCTACTTTACGTTCCAAGTCTTTCACCAGCCTGTCTATCATGGCCATGCCATTTGCTAGCGAAGACTGAAAATTGTGTAGTAATTTGAAAGCTCTCGCTACCCCATCAGCATAGTCGGCGCGTCCAGAATTCATCGATGCTAAATTAGCTTTAGTGATAAAGTCAGTAAGCAAGTCAAGTGATTCTTGGTCCACCAAGTTAGCCAAAGAATGCTCGCCCATTGCTTTACTACAATTTCCCGTTGTATTATCTCGGTCTTCTCGGATATTCTGCCGTTCATTCTCGTTTGCGTTCAGACTCAGATACGATTCTGTTGAGAATTTATTTGGAGGGCAAAGTGTCAGAATATCCATCGCAAGTGTTCGGACGTCGTCGAAAGGGTCCATTAGCAGATCTAGCAGCAACCTTATCGAGCGGGAATTGAAGAACTCCATTTCAAAGGGCCACACAGTCGAATTTGCTGGCACTGGGGCCGCCGTGCGCCAGGCAGCCTCACCCTGGAGCTTAGAAGTAAGAAGCAATTGAAGAGCCCTTAAAGCTGTTATATGCCGCTGATATGAAGCGGTTGGAACCAGTTCACTCAACAGAAAATCAGCATACCACTCAATAAATTGCTGATGTTTTGCCACAAAAGACTCGATGCTGTCGTGCAGCTTTTGGTCATCGGCCTCGCCTGTGGTGTTGCTTCCACTGGATTGGGCAATTTTGAATGACACTTGTTCAAGTTCTCTAACAAGTAGGGCGGTAGTGCCTCTTAGCCTTTCAATTAAATGTTTAGTGTTACTAACAACTTCGTTCCGAAATTTTGCATCGGTATCTGAATGAAAGAAGCCAATATGAGACTTCAACATTTCAAGTACGCTAGGACTGAATGGACGAGTTGAAGAGAATGATGTGATGAGTACGGAGAGAGCGAGTGACCGAACAGTGTCAGATGGGTTCGCCAGCAACGCTCCGATTGCCTGCTCATCTAATAAAATTGTCTCTCCATTCTTCGATTTAGACTTTTTCTGTGAGAACGTGATATTGCCTTCATGGATTAGCGTTTGAGTAATAGAGATTGAGGAAGTACCCACTTGGTTCTTCGATCAAGCCCGATTTCTTCCCAGCGTCCATTGCAGCTAGTTGAAGCATCGCATGAGCATCGATATCTTGGCTACCCATCATGGATACTGAGCTTTGCTGATTGAGATCTTGCAAAAAAGCCAGAGAACCAGCCCTATCGAGTTTGAAGAGCGGTGTGAAAAGGTAATTTTTGACATTTTCTAGAGAATCTGGATTTTTGGCGATTCCCTCGCGAATCCACCTTTGCCAAAGACTGCTATGATTTTCTGGGGTGCCTTGACCTGGCTCTCCTCTTAGTGTTTTGAAAAGTGTGACTAAAAACTTCCCAGCAGCGGGAGAAACATCCGCTGGGCCAAGCCAATAAAAGACTGATGATACCAAGCTGTCCCATGCGGTTGCGGTCATGACCTTCGTGCTGCGGAAACCATCTTTCTGCTTCTGTGCTGTGTACGCATTCCAGCCAACACAAATCTCATTTGGAGAAATTGAGGTCTTTCCGAGGAAGCACTCCAATACCTTGAATGAAGGCTTCACGGCAGGCTGAATGGAATCATGAGTGATGACAGAGAGAGTTTTAAGCAGTATTGACGACTTAATGGCACCTGATACTTCACTGTTGGGATTGCGAGCGATCAACGATGACAACAGCTCTAAGACTTGCCGCATCGAACGATTCTGGTTTTTCTCACTCCACTCAATGTAAAAATAAAATAATCGCAGAGCAATCGACTTTGAAAAAACAACGTCTCTGATCGGCGAGCACGACGAACCTCTGCATTGCTCAATGAAGTAGCAGAGTTTAATGCAGGCATTTCCAGAAGCATGTCGAGGTTGGGAAGCATTTTCCAAGAGCTCTTGCACTTTCCTCTCTGCACATCTACAGGAAGTTGTCAGTTTGTAGCTTTTCAACCGGCCAAGAAGACTAACGCCGTTTGTGATGATTCAGATTGTCCTTCGAGCCACTTTACAAGAAGTCGGTCATCGCTAGGGGGCTCATCGGCTCTTTGAAAATCGCCATCTCGCTGCTCATCGGACGCAAGAGCCATAATTCATAGAATTTCTTGAAATGAACAGCGAAGCATTTCGTGTGTGGTTTTGGCAGAAGAAAATCGTGAAGACTACAAAAAGTTTCAAAGATAGAGAAGCCGCCGATAGGCTGCCGAGTCACGTGAATTTCGGTCCGACCGCCGACTGCGGCTGGACTAATTTTTTTGGTAGAACAATCTTGTTCGCTTCCATCATCGACTTTCCATCCATAATTGCGACAGCCTTTCCTTTCTTCTCACCCACCACAATTACCGCATTATTTCATCATGTCGTTTTGGGATAAACTTACTGGTCGAAAGTCCACCAAACCAGACACCTCTACCTCCGCCCCTACCTCAAATCCCACCGCGGACTCCTTTCAGCCAACACCATTCGATCCCCAAGAAGCACAGGATGTCTCTTCTTTCTTAACAGGCCCTTCACTGGCAGACCCTTCACAATTGCACCCACTCGCGGGGCTAAACCAGCAAACCTTGGACTATTTATCACTGGAGGATTCGGCGTTGTCAGATCTGCCAGGTTCACAATCGGCATTGCCATCGCGAGGCTGGTCCGATGATCTTTGCTATGGCACAGGAGTAACATACTTAACGGCGCTGACCGTGGGTGGTGCTTGGGGATTACAGGAAGGGTTAAGAAGGTCCCACGCGCAACCTCCGAAACTCCGTCTCAATTCAGTTCTTAATGCTGTAACACGGCGAGGGCCATTTTTGGGCAATTCAGCGGGTGTCATTGCCATGGTGTATAATGGTTTCAACTCATTTATCGGATATACGAGGGGGAAGCACGATTCTGCGAACAGTATCGTGGCGGGCGCTTTGAGTGGAATGCTCTTCAAGAGCACAAGGGGTATCCGGCCGATGATGATTTCTGGGGGTATTGTAGCATCAGTCGCAGGCGCATGGGCAGTAAGTTTAACAAATCTGCGGTTTCCAACTATTTACTGACATCACACTAGGTTACGAGGAAGGCCATCTTCTAAAAATCTACCGCTCGCCATTTCTGTCGAATTATTCATGCTACGGCCTCCTTCCATCTGCGCTCTTCGCACGATACTCCTAGATCTATGAGCAATTTGCTTGTTCCTGTATTAGAGTTTGCCTTGATTGTACTCGGTTTTATAGACTTTTTAATGGTTGATCAGGTGCATCAGCGACGGATGATCTCTCCTCTGGCCACGGCCAATGTTGTAAATATAGTTTGAAGGATGGGCATGTACTAAAGGCGTGGGGGCGTCTATTAGCGAAAACAATAATGGATGTATGATATTAGGTACCTTTCAAGATTTCTATCACCAATTTCTTTTGTCCTGCCGAATTTCGAGGTAAAATACTCGAACGACACTAAGGCAGGTCCAGCGAGAGGTGAGATCCAATTTAAGGAAATATAAACACTGCCGAATCCGGATTTCGGCAGTCTTGTTCGGAACCTCGAAGAATGGTAGGACAAAATGCTAGGGGTTCGAGGCGGCAAGCGCGCTTACCACGACATATGCGGTAGTCTTTCGATTTAAATACCACAATTTCTTCTAGTGTATTCTGTAACGCTTCTCCTATAAAAGATATCCATTCCAAGAGCTCATTCTATGTCTAACAACCATAGGAATTCGAACTTCCCAACTCCGAGCGCTTGGACTCATTGAGCTAGTTGGAATTATGATACGGGTGAATGAACAACACCTAGCATCACCAATTCCTGTCGTTAAAATGAAAACGCCACGGATATCCGCGGGCTTTTTTGAACCTGTGGTCAAGCGTGTCCTTGGCATAAGAATCAGCAGCTTATTGTGGGCTTCAATAAGCGGCACAGTCTCAATTTTACTTTGCAATCAAAAGCTCAATACCGCATCTTCCTCATTCTACACTCCAACGATGTCATTCAAACTCCCAGCCATCTTGTTGTTTCTTATCTCACTCGCCGCTGTTTACTGCATCATAATACTCCAAGTCAATAACACAACATTCGATCAATTGGCCGCTAGTCGACTACCTGGAGCACCTTCAGATGCAGATTTAGCTTACACGGGGATCAAAGCGCTTGATGGGACGCTCGCTGGTATCATTTATTTCGCTTGGATAGTAGCAGAAGGCGGTTCGACTGCGTTATCTTTGTTTGGTATTTATTTGGTTGGGCAGGTTGTACCATGTAGCGCTATTGTGTTGGTGGAAGGGTTGCGAAAGGGTAATGAAGGCCGGATCTTCAGGTTGTGAGTTTTTCGTTTCTTGATTGATAGGGAGAAGGCTGATGAGGATATAGTTCTACGGCATGGAGTCTGCTCTATCAGTGCGTACCATGGGGAATCATTATGCCCATCTACTGCGCAACGCACCTCTGGACCACGAAGAGCAACTCTAAATCTGCTCTTTTCGTCAACCCATCAAAAATCTCAACATTGCCTATTGCAGTAACAATCGGCCTCATCATCCCGACCATTCTCATGGCGATACCGTCGACGACGCCAGCTAGACACAACGCTTTTAATGCCCTTTGGCAGCTCTTCCCGCTCTGGATAGCCATCTCCCAATTCTTCTTATCCTCCTTCGCACCTACGATCCCGCAAACAGTAGAAAATAGCATAAAATCCCTCCGCCGACTCTATCGCTTCTCACTTACAATTTCATCGGTCGTCCACCTATCCATCCTCGCAATCTCCATAGCTCCAGGATTATTCACCCAATTTCTACCACTCGGTCCACTCGAAGCCATTTCTCCAACCAAAGTCTTCGCTCCAATGACTCCATTTAATATCACTAAAGCGAGTCTACGAGAAGGATGTCTGCATTTGTTACAATACGACGTCTTTTTCGCGTGTGGCTCTACACTGATCTGGTCGCTGGTGCAGTGGAATCATGTCACTCCTGGGAAGAACCTTGGACGGGTGCTGAAGTTTTTGGGTTGGTGTTTGCTGAGCGGGCCTGGTGGTGCGGCGTTGGTTGCGGTTTGGGGGAGGGATGAGGAGGTTTTTGGGGAGAGTGGAAGGAAGAATTTGTGAGGGAGTGGAGATTATTCCAACAGCGATTCCACAATGTTTCTTGAAATCGAAGATCGTCTTGTTCCAAAAAGTATGTTAATGGCCATTAGTTGTAGATGCTGATTATCTTGTCCTGTCACCATTTACAACCGAAATAGCCCTCTCCCATAGGCGAGTTCAATTGGACGATTGGTCAAGTCCATATGAAGTAGTCCGAGCTATCACTTTCCGTGCAGTCTTTCATGGATAAGAACCTTCCTATATTCCTTTTTGTTCGGCTGCGGTTTCCAATCCGGCCTACCGACGGGAGTCTGCAAGTTTTGCATATTAAAGCGACATAAAAAAAGATTCTCCCCCTCACCTTGCTCGTCTTCCCTTCACCTTCGTCTTGGATCGAGATCTAGGTTGAAATTAATCAATCCCTCTATCAGTCACTAATATTTCCCTTTGCAAAGACATCACAACTCATCAAGGATGTCACGAAAATTAATCTTCATGGAACTCGCCGACGCAGTTCGGAATCATCCAGCAGAGTACTACGCTTCCAACACCTTTCCAACCATATTTTTCAGAGTATTGTATCGAGTGGTTTGATGCCATCGGTACCGAAAACGTCAAATCCATCACCAAACTTCGAGTCTGGATCGACGCAGTCTACTACCTTCTATCCGAACCGATCGTTGTACCACCCGGAATGTCAACCAATGATCCCATTTTCGAAATCATCGCTATGGGAGAAGAAGTCTTCAACCGCGAGCCATCTGGCCCCCCATGGGTCGCTTTCTTCGACAAAGTCGCACAATCCCTCACCGGTTTGAAGTCGATGGAAGTGATCTGGGATTGCGCATACGACTGCGCGAAATTTGGAGGTGGAACGGATGTGACGCTTTCTAGAGCTATAGAGCAGATCAAGGGGCTTGAGGAGTTGAAGATGGATGGATGTTATGCGAAGGAGTGGGCGGGATATCTGGCGGAGAAAACGAGGGCGAGGATCTTGGAGAAACAACATACGCAGTTTGAGGATAAGCATCGGTATATGGGGCATTTTAGGAAACATCAGCAGAGGAGGAATCCTGATTTTGTGGTATGATTTGTTCAAGGGAAGGGTTCATGTTAGGGGAACGGATGATTTTGTTGTGCTGCAAGAATCAGGCTTGAAGGTTGCCGATGGCCAAGCGTCAAAAAATCGAGTTACTGGTTTTCAGATGGCAGGAGTTGAGATTTGGTACTAAGAAGCGATTAATTGATCTGAAATTAAAAGTGTTATGCGCAAGGGAATTTTGTCAAAATCCAGGAATGGTTCACTTGTTTCATAATACAATTGGCCAAAGGGCAGATCAATAGAGACATTGAGGTCCGTATATCTAGATAGTTTTTTGAAACGGCAACTTTCACATTTGCCTTTATGCTTTTTCTTGTGGCAAAGCATGTATGGGCAAGGGACAATAAACCAAGCAGAAAGTCTTTTCATTCAAATACCTTCGTTGCAGGGGCAGAAACACGTGCATGGTAAATTCCTTGTGAGCAATAACCAATCTGAGATATTTTATTAATAAGCACGAAAACAATTGACAAAGAATGGGTCGTAGTCTTCATACCTTGGATAGGTTTGTGCTTTGCGACACAACCCGGATATCCAACAAACATACAAAGACTGGCCCTTTGTGCTAACGGCCATGCAACGTATGATTCCCTTAGTGTTCTCAGTGAAATTGTCGTTGAAGTTTCATCTACTAGACATGACTCAAATATGGTGACTATCATCAAACATTATTGAATAAAGAAAATCGTAAAGCCTTTCATTGAAGATTATCATATAAACCTTGCTCTCCAGAGAAGGTTTGATTGCAATGCAAGTATCACAAGTGGTATCAATCATCCCGTTTATATCAACAACACTTCGAGGTGAAGATCGTTGAACTTGGTGGCTTCGTACTCCGCAATTAATTTCAAAGTCTCGCCAACCAAAAATCAACCAAAATGTCAGAGGACTCACCATGGGCCATGCAAATACATGAGCATCTCTTATCCAAGGTATCAACCTCGAAATCCAAAACGGAAAAGTGTATAAGCAATTCTGACCACCTAGGGGCACTACATCATCAGGGGTGCAGTCCAAGTCTTAGACAACGAATTCGCAGGAATCAAATTGATTCTTCAATCCCTGATTTTAAGTAAATCTCTTCTCCATTTGCTCCGCATTGTTAGCTGACCAAGCACTCACTTCAGTACTCCGCGAAGATGACGAAAATGAAGAGTCAAAGGATGAAGCCGAGCGATGGCTCTCCGAATTTGATGAGACCGTTGAACCTCCGAAAGTAGTTTCTGGACATACTTTTGATCACCAGAAACATAGACTCCGGAGTTTTATGGCTAGAGTTGAGGCTAGGCTGTTTGAATTGAATGCTTTGGTGCTGCCTGACCCTGTGCAGTACTGAAGGGTTATGGGGGTGTTGGCTTTGAGATGCTGTTCTCCGAATGAGGCCGGCGGCAATTTCAACAGCCTTATGCTGAAACCTACAGTAAATAGACTTTGTTAGGAGCTGTGACAGCAGTCCTGATCAATGTGAAGCGTAGAGTGTATCAGAAGTATAATTCTTACCTCTTCCCTTTTCTCGTGAAGTACTGCGCCAAGCAACATTGAACGAGAGGTATTATTTTAAACTCCTCATATCAGAGCCTTCAATTATACGCACCTAGGAAGTGGTAGCAGAAAACCCGCATTTGTTGTACAGTTTCAACTCTGTTAAGCATGAGTCTCGTGTCCTGAATGTTATTTGGGGTTGATGTCCCATGGGTAAAGGGGCATCTATTTTCGGACTAGCGTATAATTAACTCGCTAACGATTTAACGACATCCATGGACATTTTCGCAACAAGACCTCATTCATCAACAATGATGATATATAGTCTCTTTCTTTCTACCATTCGATCTGTATATTGATAATGCACATGCCTTACTTCAACCCGGTCAAAAGGCCTGTGACGATAGTCGGCGCAGGTGTCGCCGGTTTATCACTCGCCCGCGTCCTTTTGTCACGTGGCGTCCCCTCGGTCATATACGAAAAAGCATCATCCGCACCAAGACACAACTATGCAATAACTCTCTACCCTTTGAGATTACAATCTCTGCTTAAAGCGCTGCTGCCTAAGGCTAGTGATGATAAGACTAGTGTTGAAGCGAAATTTCGTTCCTCTGTCGGTGTTGGCTCCGAAGGAACTATGAACCCTTCAAATGTGGTTTTGCAAGCGAGACGCAAAGGCGCGTTTAGAGCTAATCGAGGAAGTCTCGAGAGGTATTTGGCCACGGGCTTGGATATCAGATGGAACTCAGCTGTTGAGAGAGTGGAGAAAGTGGCGAACGGTGGATGGGTGCTTCATTTCGAAGATGGGAAAACGGTGGAAAGTAAGTATGTTGTTGCTGCGGATGGAATTCATTCTCCAATCAGACAACTCCTTTTACCAGATGAAAAGCCAACCGTGATGCCTTGTGTGGTTTACAGTGGTAAACGACAAATATCGAGGGAGGTCTTCGACGCGAGTTTGGCTCAAAATCTAGCGGGCAACACCCTAATGGAATATTCGTTTGGCCAAACCGTATTACAATTTTCTGTCGATGAGATGAACCAGGATCAAGTCTCCGTTAGATGGACTTTTGTTCGAGATGCAAAGAAGACGGATGACCCTCTCTTCAAGCCAGATAGATCATTCGAGGCCGCGACGGAAACTCCGCCGGAGTTATTTTCAGAGATAGAAGCCCTTGGAATAATGCCGAAGCCATGGAATTCAATTGTCAACGTTGAATCTATGAAGGAGGATAAAACTTACAATTGGCTGATGCGGTCGATAGCTCTTGACCCAGTCGATGTTCAGAATCTTCGGCAACAGGGTTTATTTATCGTAGGAGACGCAGCAAACGCACGACCTATTCTATGGGGTGCAGGTGCGAATCGAGTGATGACGAAAAGTTCTTATTGGGCTGATGTCATTGCTGAGGAGAGAGTTCAGCAACTTCAAAGGTCGAGGAAGAGCGAAAACACAGGGTTAGTGGCAGGGTTTATCGAGGTGACCCGTAAATACAACGACACGCATCGTGTGCTTTCTCCGGAAGAAAGTACGGAGAAACGGGCAAAGAGGACAGCGAAACGGAGGGAATGGAGAAAGCTGCAGAAGGAGAAGAGGAAAGGGAGTCAGAAAAAAGCCGATGTAAAAGGGTTGGAGAAGATTCGGAAGTCGAGTGGTCAGGGAAAGCCAGCAGAGAACAAGGAGGTGGAGGATAGTAAAGTGACTGATCTTCAAGACTTGGAAGAGGGCCAAAAGCCGAGTGATCAGGAGAAGGTAGAAGAGACCAAGGAGGTGAAGGATAGTATAGTGGTTGATAGAGAGAGTTTGGATGAGGATAAGAAGCTGAATGGTCAGGAGAAGCCAGCAGAGAATAAGAAGTGGAGGGAGAGGATACAGTGACCAATGTAGGAGGTGTGGATGGGGATCAGAAGCTGAGTGACCAGGAGAAGCCAGTAGAACATGAGAAGCTGGAGGAGCATGAAGTGACCGCTTCAGAAGATGTGGAGGGGGATCAGAAGTCGAGTGATAAGGAGAAGCCAGTGGAGGACAAGTAATTGGAGCGGCAACGAACTCTCGGGGATAAAAACACTGGTTGGAGATAAGATGCGCGTTATAAGAACTCGCTCCTAGTTCGGAGACGCGAGAGTAAAGGAATCGAAGCTTGACGAAACCGGAAAAAGGGAAAAAGAGAAAGAGAAGAGGAAGTGTAAGAATTGTAACAAAGTATTTGAAGATTTGTTTCGCGTCCCGGCAATTCATTATGGGCAACTTGACACGCCAATTACAAGAGCCATGTTTGATTAAATACTTTTTTCTTGATACTAGATCGGACATAGGGTAACAAGTCAAGCTGCTTTAGTACACAGTTTTTCTTCCCGATACCATCAGAAAATTAATTGACAAAATTCTAGCCGCCTTTATATCGTATTAGCGACTTATTCTACTATCTTCCCTAATGCTGTCGGGTATTAATGTTGTCGTCTCGACAGCTCGGCTGATAGAGTCTTTGGAGGTGGTTTTCGTCCGGTTGTTGACAATAGCTAAACAGGCTATGTTATGTGAAATACGTTTTGATCGTCATTTATATTAATCTATGGCGAGGTTTCTAATTTACAGTCTGTTGAGAAACAAAGCAAACAAGGAGGCTAATCACGTGATACTACGTCACGAGAGCTCACGGCTGTCCACCTGATCATGGCGTCGAAATCGCAAACAACAATCTTCTCAAACGACAAACAACATCGCCCAAGTGTATCTCGAAATGTTGCTTTCTCCGACTATCATCTCGCGATAACACCACCAGGTTCCCAGAAACCGTTATTCCATCCAGTGGATGATCACAACACACAGCGTACGCGCACCACGTTCTTCGACCTCCACCTGGGCCACTCATGGCGCCAACGGCAATCAGAGCGCCGAGCGTCTTGTAAAGCTTCTGCTTCTTGGAGAGTGTGACGAGATGTAGATCAGATCTCCAAGAAAGGGGCCAAATGCCATGACTCTTAGGGTTGTCAGAGGGGTGTTTTTGCCATTGAGATGGCAGGAGGTCACGCGATCAGGATACCTCCTACCATTGAGATGTGGTAGGAGTTCGAAATAAAGTGCGATACTGGATTGTGGTCTGATTTGCGCTTAGATGTGAGGGTAACGTTGTTGTGTCTGGCGGTTATTCCTATTCTTGAGAGGAAAGCGCGGAGTCTGGGTTATTCTGGTAAGTGTTTTGGATATTTACTCACTCCAAGGTTGCAATCTAACTTGATTTCAGATTTGAAATAAAAGCTGTTCGAGATCAAGGTGTTGTTATTTGGACGAATGCGGTGCAACAACACTATTGGTCTGGAGTGTTGAAGATAACTACCGCGTCGTATTCTGCGAATTCCGATTTTGAAAGCCGATTTTGAGAGGTTGGGTAGTAACGAGACGCATTCAGATAACGATTGTCTTGCAATGCACCTCTACACCCTCAGAGAGTTCGTATTATGGACAAAGAAATATTCTTCTTTGTATTGGAAGTTGTCTCATGGGAGAAGTGAATTACCTTCACGTGCGGCTCTAGCGTCTTTCCCACAATGAGCTGATAGCCGCTCATACCTCACAGCACCTGATCTGGATCGACGACAGGGCATCGGACTCGACCGTATCTCCTTGTTGCGTTGCTTCATGCAGGTCAGCTCAAGAGAGACCACACCCCGGATATTACGAGCAAGGGTCTCGGTGTAACCAGCACGTTTTCACGATGTATGGTCTCGCAGCATCCACCAACCAGGCGTGTTCGAGCGGCTGAGCTGTGGTATCTCTTTGTCAAAAATGCCTCTTGAGCAGCCTAGCTTTGGGAGATTGGAAAAACAAACACCATGATTCAGAGTCGACACATTCTTGCTGTAAGCCATCAGGCAGATCACACGCGATCAGCATTTTGCAGTCCACTTCGAAGTATCTGCTATAAATGCATCACGACTAGGTCGCCACATGGATGTCAGGCAGTTCCCAGGTCGAGGGTGACTGCACCCAAACATTGATGAGGTGCTATGGGCATAGTAGATGATGCTGCAGATGTACAGGGAAAGCACACCCGCTATACATGCCTATACATTGTTCTAGCGGGCAGAAGCCTTCTAGAATGTGTCAAGGGAATGAAGACATGGTCAGGGAATAGCTTCAATGTTTCGAAGAGTTCGGCTTCGTCCGAAGTATTAACCTCTCTCTGACGCCGACGAAATTGTGAAGGTAGAGAGGGTCGGTCGAGTGTCCACATGAGAGTGTATACACATTCCATTCGCAGAGCACCGTCTTGCCACTCGAGTATTGACGATGCCAAGGTACGATCAACGAGATACACGTGAAGAGGGACTTACTTTGAAGTAGGATCGTGGGCAACATAGGGTCTTGGAGGGTATTAGTTTTTCCCACGTCCTGTTTGAGGAAGGCAAGAACTGATCGGCTCAGCCAATTGCACACAAGCGTTGTGCACCGTGGTCACGGAGAATTGGCAGCACAGGCACTCCCGGGTCCAAGACGGTGCGGATGGTCTGAATTCTCTTGCGTGGCGCACGAGTTATTCTTGAAGCAGACACAGCTCAAGACGTCCCTCCGGCTCCCCAGTGGAACCGAGGCGCTGGGATTCAGTGTCTGGGCGGGAGATCGCCGGGAGTCGACACACGCAATTCAGTGCACACACGTGGGGAAACGGCGCGCTGTCAGTGGAAGATGCACAGTGCACGGCCAAGTCTCGCCAAGAGCCGCAACCTCGAACAAGAGTCTCTTCTGTCCAACACCAACCCAATCAATTATCCAATTTCAAGCAATCCCACGGCCGTCGAAGCCTCTTCAGTACGGCTAAGCATCGCCAAGTTCGAAGAGTCTTTAATCTCAAGCCGTCGATTGCGAAATGTGGAAGGCCAAGAGAGGCGCCGAGGGCTCGTCGAGATGGTATATAACCGTGTGAAGCTGCATCTGTATAACTCCAGTGCTCAACACCCAGTCACCAGCCTTCTACAACATCCAAGATAGGCCTGCCGGAGAGCTTCAGACAAGATGCTTGACCATTACACCTACATCTTTGCCATTGGCACCTTTTTCGCCCTCCTCGATGCCTTCAACAACGGAGCCAGTAAGTGCTTGGATAGTCTGTAGGGCGTTGATCAACAAATGAGATACTAACAAGATTCACAGACGATGTTGCCAACGCTTGGGCTACCAGTGTTTCCTCCCGATCCATCTCATACCGACAAGCCATGATTCTTGGTTTGGTCTTCGAAATGCTTGGTGCCATCACCGTTGGTGCACGAACAGCCGACACCATCAAGAACGGAATCATTCCAGTCGCAGCCTTCAAGGGTAACGCCGGCGTCCAGATGTTGGCTTTCACCTGTGCTCTCGCAGCCGCATCTTCTTGGGTCATGTGGTGCACTCGACACTCTGCTCACGTCTCTTCCACCTACTCGCTTATCTCGGCCGTCGCTGGTGTCGGTGTTGCAACCGTCGGAGCCTCCAAGGTGCAATGGGGTTGGAACAACGGAAAGGGTCTTGGAGCTATCTTTGCTGGTCTCGGAATGGCCCCAATGATCTCGGCCGGTTTCGCCGCAACCATTTTCATGCTCATCAAGCTGGTCGTGCATATGCGCAAGAAGCCAATCAAGTGGGCTGTCTACACCTCACCTTTCTTTTTCCTTATCGCTGGAACCGTCTGTACTCTTTCCATCGTCTACAAGGGCTCGCCTAAGCTTGGTCTCAACAAGAAGCCTGGATGGTATGTGGCTAGTGTCACCGTCGGATGCGGTGCAGGTCTTGCTGTCTTGTCTGCTATCTTCTTCGTCCCATATGTCCACGCAAAGGTGGTCCGAAAAGATGCCGGTGTTAAGTGGTGGATGTTCATCATGGGCCCAGCACTTTTCAAACGACCAGCTCCAGAAGTTGCCGACCAAAAGGCCGTTCCAAACTACGCTGTTGTTCAACACGACGAGCCTCAACAAGTTCATACACCAAATGCCGAATCTGTGAATGACAGCGACCTTGACATCAAGAAGGTTGACGCCTCAGTCGCAGTTGACAGCGAGAAAGGCCATGGATCCGTCAACCAATTGACTTACCAGGAGCTTGTTGCCGCCGGTCAAGAAAGAATGCACGCCAAACTCCGAACCAAGCGCGGTCCTCTCGGCTGGGCTATGCGATATCTTCACAACAACCCTATCGGTCCTGGACGCCCTTACGAGATTAAGAACGTCAAGATCATGGCTGGTCGTCTTCCAGCGATGATTGTTGTCGGTGCTCTCTACGGTCTTCACTACGACATTCACGCTGCCCAAACTGGTATTGAAGGGACTCCAGAGGGAGCTCGTATGGCCGGTGTTTACGCCCACGCTGAGAAATACCCTAACGAGGTCGAACACACCTATTCTTTCGTCCAAATTCTCACCGCTTGCACTGCTTCATTCGCTCACGGTGCTAACGATGTCGGTAACTCTGTCGGTCCATGGGCTGTCATCTACGGTGCATGGAACACTGGAAAGGCTGCTCAATCCAAGGCCCCAGTCCCATTGTGGCAACTTGCTGTCCTTTCTCTCACCATCTCCCTTGGTTTCATTCTTTACGGTTACAACATCATGAAGGGTAAGTTCCACCACAGCCACATTTCAAAATCTCACTAACATTCAAATAGTCATGGGTAACAAGATCACCTACCACTCCCCAAGCAGAGGTTGCTCCATGGAAATGGGAGCCGCCATCACCGTCCTCGTCTTCTCCCAATTCTCCCTCCCAGTCTCCACCTCCATGTGCATCACCGGTGCCACCGTCGGAGTCGGTCTCTGCAACGGAACCCTTAAAGCCGTCAACTTCCAACGTGTCGGTCTCTTGCTCCTCTCCTGGATCGCCACCATTCCTATCGCAGGAACCCTCGGAGGTGTTCTCATGGGTCTCTTCCTCAACGCTCCTCACTTCTAAATCCATCTTCGCTCGTTTTTCTTTTTTGGCATAAATACCCGGTAGAGAACATATCTATATCTTTGTAATTTAAATCTTGAATAGAAAGGGCTCTTAAATTGACCAATTATCTTCTGCATGCTTGTTACAGCTGTGAGTGCATTCGGTATTTCTTCACCGATGACTTAAATCGGCACTCGGGCAGGCGATTGGTCTGAGGTCTTTTTGCGCAGTTGTGCAATGCTGGGGTGTATTACCCGGGCTGAGATTCTCTCAGCCACAATCACGTGGGTGACAATGGTCATTGTTTAAATGTTTTGGGGATGTGAAACTTGTTTCTGCATTGAACATTTTATTAGCTGGTGAGAGTTTCTGGTCTTGTGTTGTTTTGTGTTGCTATTAAAGTTATTTGTTTGAACGGAATTGGGTTGCCGACGGTGATTGTTGGCTGCCTGTTGCCTGATTTCGAAAAGGTACCGTACCTCTGCTTACTTTTGGGTTTATGGGGACGTTTTGCTGATGATTACGGGGTGTAGAGCGTACGAAGTAGAGTTAAACATCTTTGGGTGGGTGAATGTTATTTGTACCTGTTTTGGTTGGCTTTGAAGGGGTTTTCGTTCTTAGGGTGCTTGCTGTGACATCGAGCGAGTGTCTGGTTGTTGGTTGTGCTCGGTAAGGGTTTTGGTTCTGAGTGTTGAGAGGATATGCGGATGAGTTTCTAGTTTGAATATAGTAGAGGGACGTCGTGGGGGTTTGGATTACTGGTTGTAATTTGGGTTGGTCGATTACGTTGTGCTCTCCACCGAATCACCCCACACAGTCATCACCTCAAAACAATCATGTGCTCCAGAATCGCATCCCCCAGACCTTCGCAAGCCACCTGGGTAAACCCAAACCCGGAAACCCAATACTGGCTCGACAAGTCATCAAGTTCAATGAGCCAGCTGTCGTGGGGAAATGATGTCTGGGACGTTCAAAGTCCAAGTGTCCAAGCTCTATCCCCCGACGCAGCCACTCCTCCAGATGACAATCGACTTCACGAGGTTTATAGTCTTCCGATGCCACCGGTGGACGGGAGGGGAAGAAGAGGAGCGGTGGCGGTGCCGAGTGAGTGGGGAACGGTTATTAGAGAGTTAGAGGATTCCAAGGGGGAGGTGGTGGATGGGTTGGATGTGAGTGGGTTTGGGGATGTGGGGATGAAATTTAGAGATCCGTTTCCGATTCGGTTGAAAAGACCTACTTTTACACGGCAAGATGTCCAGCTAGTACCAAACAGAAACCGCGCAACAAAAAGTGCGTTGTCACCGGTCGTTGTGGCCAGAGAACGAAAGCAACATACTGTCTCGCCGGATCCTTGGTGGCCGTCCACCGAGCCTTCGGAACAACAGTTGGATTCATTTTTGTCTCGACATGACGCTGGCGATTATAATCCGACGCTGGATTTCTTGAAAGGGACCAGTCTTTCGCTGATTTCTCATTCTGAGATAAAAATCAGAAAGGAGCCAAAACAGAAAAGGATTGCAAGAGCCTGTGTCGGTTGCAGGTAGGTGTTGGAAGGACTCGTCCAAAATACTTGTACTGACGTTTTGCAGAGAGAGTAAAGTTGTATGTGATGAGATTCTTCCTCAATGTGGGAGGTGTGTACGGCTATGTTTCAATTGTTGTTATTTGGAAAAGCCTAAGAAGACTTCGGCGCCAATCAGCTTGTCGCCATCGAAACATACGTCAAAGACTAGCACTTTAGTTGTCAGGAGAAAAGTCGATAATGCACGAGCTCGGGCAGTGGTACTAGCACGAACGCAGCCTTCAAAAGAGGAGATTTGCAAACCTTCACATGCCTCCTTACCGGCAAAGGTTCCACTACAATCAATTGGGATCGTTCAGACTCCGACATCAACCAGCGCACTGTTAAAGGCCATCCTAGACAGAAATACGACGCCGTTGATTTACGACTCTACTGACCCTAGCGACGCTTTCCAAACGGATGCTTTCTGGTCGGATGACTATTCAGGTTCGGACGAATTTGACATTCATGAACACTTTGACTCGCTTATGAGTATTCAAGAAGTGTCAAAGACTGCCAACTTGACACCTCCGAAGAATATGGTATCTTCAAGACTGAGCCCAGCAAAGAAGACTATGATCGAGTCTTTGATGAAAGAGTTCTGGATACTCTTCAACGAACAGTGGTCGACAGCTGTTGAACAACGTGGTGGTGGATCTTCAGGATCAAGTAACTCGGCATATCGTTCGTCGCCATCTGCAAGTTCGCAAAATACCAACGATACGACTCCACCTGGTGATAGAAAAGGCAAAAGGCGAAAGACTAACGATGACGGTGGAAATAATTCGGAAGATGAAGACGATAGAGATCCAAAACGACCCAAGAACGCTTCATCATTACAAAGCGACAAGCCAAAATCTATGTTCGCTTGTCCATATCGAAAACACAACCCCCAAACCTACCACACCCGCAATCGTGCATGGCGGACTTGTGCGCTGAACTCTTTTGAGAATATTGCTCGTCTCAAGTATGTCGTCTCCAGATGACTTCTTTGCGTTGTGAAAATACTAACAGGTGATAGGGGTCATCTCTACCGCCACCATCGAATCTTCCAATGTCCTAGATGCAAAGGTCTATTCCCCAACAAAGTGGAACTAGATGCACACTTCATATCGATCGAAGGCTGTGAACTCAACACTAGAGAGCTTCAAGAAGGCATCAACGACGATACGGAGAAGAGACTTCGCAGCAGGAAGAAAGCACATAGAGATCAAACTGAAGCTGAGCGATGGGTGGAGATATACGGTGTACTTTTCCCTAATGAAACTGTACCGACACCTTGTAAGTCGTTCCATGTTTTTTAGAATAAGAGTGAATGTGACTAACAAAATCGAACACAGATTTTGAAGAAATCGAGACTGAACCCACAAATTCACCACACTCCCACGACCTCTCAAATTACGAAGAATACTCGCGTACGGAGTTACCGCGCATCTTCCGTAGTGCCCTTGAAGAATCGATAGCACGAGAAGCTCAACCAATTGAAGAGCGACTGCGTAGTCAACTCGTTGGTCTGATTCGCGAGTGTCAGGATCGTATGTTTTTGAAGTACAGGTCTTCGCAGGTCCAGACAGGAGGCTCGGGTGATGGACCCAAGTGTTTAGATACGAGTGTTAAAAGGGAAGAACATAGTTCAACTGCACCTCTAAAGGGCATGGACTCGCCATCAACATCCGATACCTCCCTTCCCTACCTCGAGGGTAGCAGTAAAAGCAACCGCGACTCCGGCTACGACGATAACTCCTCGGCACCTTCAATTCACCAATCCATCCCCAATGATACACCTCATACCAGCGATAATCCAACAACAAAACTCGAAACTCTACCTTCATACACGAGTTTCGGGGTGGGTGAGGATCTCGAAACAAGTTATTTCGCGGATGATATCGCGAGATACGATATCAATCAGCAGTTCCCGGATGACATCTTCGGTGAGAGTAATGGGTTTGTGGATGGGCAGAATTTGTTTGAGTGGGAGTTTGGAGGGGGATTCGGGGGACGGTTTTGATGTTTTTTGGGGTTATGTGGTGAACGTGGTGTTTGCTGAGATACGTTTGGATACTTTATTGATAATTTATGCTGTCAATGTCATTCGACAATCAAAACTTTGACGCTCAAGGTGTGCCACGAAGTGGGAGAGCCGCTGGCACTGGAAACGGATCGCTATAAGAGTCATAGTCACTCCACGCTAGACCCTCGGTTAATGTCTCGCTAACAGCGGCTATCCTAATACAGCACTTAGTAAATTTAACCTATATCATATATTGGTAAGCGAACCACGGTTCCCTCATTGACCGTTCAATCTCGCTTAAACATCCTAAGTATAACCTTAATAAATTATCGAACTTCATTTGTGATCCGAGTTTGTACATACCATTCAGCAAATCCAGCCTTCGAGATTTAATTTGTTTTAAGAGGGGCGGTATAAGATGGACTGATTGTCTCGACTCTACTTTTGTTTTTCGTTACGGATTTTCGGTTTTTAGATGTGCAAATACAACTTCTGACCACATCCAATATAACAAGAGTTCTACCGCTAAAATGGGACCCTTCGATCATGCAGGCCGTATCGACAAACTCCCATTACTGGTACCCATCTTCCCCTCCCCCAATTCCGCAAAATCCAATCTAACACAAATAGATCACAATCCTCATCCTCTTCACCCTAACCCTCACCCTCGTCCTCACCCGTCTCATCCTCCTCATCCGACACCACACGCCCTTCCACTTCGACGACTACCTCATCCTCCTCGCCACCCTCTTCCTCATCGGCGGCGTCTCCCTCCTCCTAACCTTCATCGACGAGATGTATCTCTTCGAAGCCGTGCTCTTCGCTTCTCCCCTGCCCGCCCTCCCTTCAAACTGGATCGCTCAGGGGTACGATTACCATGAACGCGCTGTGGGGGTCATGATCGTGACGTGGGCGGTGATTGTGAGCGTGAAAATGAGTTTTCTGGCGTTTTTTAGGAGGCTGATTAGGAGCGTGGAGGGGATGAGGTGGTTGTGGTGGACGGCGGCGGGGTTTAATGGGGTGGTGGGGGGGTATGGGTTTAGTGTTTATGTGGCGAGTTGTCCGGTTTTTGGTAATCCTAGGATTTGTGAGTTGGATTCCTATGATCTGGGTCATGGGTGACTTCTGCTGATATTTGTGTTAGTCCAATGTACTACCAGTGTTCCACTACGAGCAGCAGTAGGCTACTCACTCGCTCAGATGGTACTTGATGTAGTAGGAGATCTTCTGAGTGAGTACTCAGAGCAACCATATCTGACGTCTCTACTAACAACACCACAGTAATAGCCATCCCCATAAAACTAATCCTCGCCATCAAAATCTCCCCGAAAAAGGAAATCTATCTGACCCTCTCCCTCTGCCTCACCGTGATCCTCATAATCGTCACCATCATCCGTGCCTCGGGTCTCGTCAACAAGGGCAAACTCGATACCACGTGGGAGATATTCTGGCAGATCATGTCAGCGGAGATAGGCATCATGATTGCTACGGCTACGACGTTTCGCGCGTTGTTTGTGGCAAGGGATGCCGAGAAGGGGGTGGCAAGTAAAGCGAAGCAAACGCCGGGGTCGACGAGTTCACGGACTTTGACGAAGAAGAAACCATCAGAGAAGAGTTATGAAGAGGAGGTTGAAGCGGGAAGCCACCTCGCAGACCTCCCACCACCACAAAACGCCGTCTTACCTCCCCAACGCACCGTGCTGCCCGGAGTCCACACCTCGATCGAAGGCCGCAGCTCGCGACGTGGATCACGACAAGGCGATGAGTTCGGGGCGTTCGACGTGAGTCCCACGCATGCGATCTTAGCCGAGTATGAGCGCGAGGATCGCATTTCCGAGGAGAATCTGGCGCCGAATACGATTGCGGTGAGGCGTGAGGTGTGGTCGAGTTCGGAAACTTTAAGTGTTCCTCTGGTGGATGAGATGGGGATGTGAGGGCTGATGAGATATAGGCGCTGATGAGTGAGGTGCCGCCGAGTTTTCAGAATTCTTTTGAGTTTGAAAGAGGGTCGGGTTGGGAGTATTGAAATGGGTGTTTGTATTGTGAGTTAGGAGGTGGGATTTATGCGTGGAGATACTTTGAGGGGGAACTTGGACTTTGGGATGTTGTGTACCGAGTGAGAAGTAAATCGATAGTCGAAAATTATCTTCAGCCAAATAACAGCTTTTGTGTCATCATTTACACCACATATTAATCGACTTCACAATGATTGAGAATTGATTCTAATCCCAAGAAGAAAATTATCTCCTGCAAGCCCGTTACTACTTTCACGACCAACTTTAGTTTAGAGAACTAGAAGTTCTTGAGGTTAAGCATTGGTGGTGATCCAATCCAGAGCTCGCTTAATGTCTGACACGGTCGGAGAGCTCAAATTCGATAGGCAACGATGCTTTTATAAGGTTTGTATGAAGTAGGTAGATGGTCCAATGGTAACTGTAGTAGCAAACTTGAATGTGTTTGTTGTCTGGGGTCTAACTGGTAGAATGATAAGAACTAAAGTCTAAGGAGCTCTGGAATCGTTTTTCGACATCAAGTAAGGAGTTGATCCCAAAATAAACCAAACTCTTACCTACAAAGTGTTATGATGATATGGGAAGTTGGGGACGCATTGAACATTTCTTCTGTAATACTCAATGTAATAATATCTTTTTTAAGACGATTTGGGGAGCTTCATGGTAGGTTGCGGGTTGTTGATATCGAAAATCCTCCCCCCAAATGCGGATGCAGTACGAAAATGAAGCAGAAATCGCACCTGAAGTAAATCAAACCAAGAATAAAGTATTACAATTGTTGATATATCAATCTAAATGCAACCTATTCGGCCGGATAGTAAGCCCACAAACTCCAAAAATCGTTTTAAACGGTCTCCCCTCATCCGAAAGATACGAGAAATGCCGTTTTTCCAACGCCGCGTAGAGCGCTCTCGAGATACCATCTTCATCTCCATTCGCAGCCACAGAAGCAGCAAGCGCATGCTTGAACCATTGCTCGGCAAAAGCCCACCCTTTGTGTCTCTGGTAGATGATCCCAACGGTGATCTTCGCCCAAATTGTACGCTCGTCATCCCAACCAAAGCTATTCTCGGCTTTGGTTATGATTCTTTTGAAGAGCCGCTCGGCAGGGATGACGAAATTCCCTTTTAAAACAGCCGCGGTAAGTCCAAGCAGTGCTTCCATTAGCTCGAAGCTTTTGAAACAATCTTTGCTCCATTTCGTGATACCAGGATAAGATGTCGCTGCCTCTGCAATTTGCATGGCACTCCAGAATTCTTGGGACTGTGATGCGTTGTGTGCGAATTTGTTGTATAAACGAAGAAGTTCGGTTCGAGCCTGCAGACCTTGAATCTCAAGGCCCATAGGATCGCTGCCACATTGAAGAACAATGGCTTTGAGGAAAGTTGCGACACTATCATCATTGGCGACGATACGCGCGCGCGCCATCTCGATACTGTGCTCAATCCCAGCTGGGGAACCTTGCGAAATTGTACCCTGGGTGTGATGCATAAGATTGACCGCAGAAAGCTCGTCTCGAGGTTTGCATATTCTGGTTCGCCGATTTGTGATTCTCTTTTTTCTCCTCGACGAATCTGAAACATCATCGTCTTCTGCCATCTCCTTACTGCGTGCCAGAAAAGCGAGTGCATCGTTTTGACGCGCCCATCCATTCAAAAGCTCTACTATTTGCAATATAACTTGTCGTGTGCGCCGATTTTGCATACCAAATTTGGAGATGTGAGCGCGAGAAACACCTTCAATTATCCGATCAGCCTTTGTAAATTTGTCTTGCTCGACATAAAAGGAAGCAAAAGCGAATGCCACTTTCAAAGTGTCCTCATGAGTTGCTCCAAGGACACTCTCATGGCCTTTAAGAGCAGTAAGGAACATTTCTTCAGCTTTCTCGGAATCGCCCAGTTGAACGCTCGTCCGCGCAGAACCGAAAAGTGCAGCCAGTTTCGATCTCGTGAGCCTTTGCCAGCTGAGGGCAAGGTTTTCTGCTTCCTCAATCTCTTTGTCCGATTCCGAGTCCGATTGCGTGTCGAGAGTTTCAAAAACAGACGAAGCTTTAGCGACGTGCTTCCTCTTTAACTCTTTCCTCGGTCGTACAGAAGAAGAAGCATTTGGTGGTGATAAAGCCGTATCTGTGGGTGTGTGATACAATATGTCGCCGGGTGTATCAACGTCTTCCAGAACCAAGATGTTAGTCTTGCCGCTCAGTGGCATTGTATCTTACTTACCGATCACTTCGGACTCAGACCGGACCTTTTTAGACCTGGTCGCACTCCTCTCTGCATCAGTCTTGTCCCAACGTAAACCACCATAAAAGAAGACTGTATCTTTATCCTCTTCTCTCTTTCGTTTTTCAGCCTTTTCTTTCATCCACTGAGCATGCTGGCCTGGCAAGTTTTTCTGCCAGCCCCAATCTTTGAATTGCTCTTTATACCACTTCGCACTGCACATAATTAGCGATCCATATCACCAAGACGATAAATTACCAACTTACGACTCAGGCATCGAGTACTTCTGTTTCATAATACGCATTGTATCTTTGAGACTTCGTCCATTATCCAGATAAAGTTCCCTTAACTCATCTTTGTGACCTTCCCAATCTAGATTTCCATGTTTTGACCGTCGGGCGTTGGGTAGTATTGGAGGGTTTACTGTAGGATGATTGTTGGCTTTTCGGTTTGTGCCTCCAATCATTTCAACATCTTCGTTGGGGATCGAGTGAAGTTCGGCGGCTATATGCGGTGTTTGCTCTGATCCCCCATTGTCTAAGGGGGTAAAACCTTCGAGGCTATGATAATTCGTATGTTGACGTTCAGCAGAAGGATTAAATGTGATTTCATTGCCTTGAGAGAAAGGACCCGATGTCGATGAAGTCCAATTGAAATCCTCTGGTAGGGTTGTGGGAGCATTGAAATCCATATCTACTTCCACGACAATTTCTTCTCTGTCGAAAGTTGAAGTGAAAGCAGATGATTCAATTAAAATCCAAAGGAGTAACGGGTTGCGGGTCCGTTGTCACGCAACGTACTTGCGGCGCTCGTACTGCAGTCTTATAAGATTCTATTGAAATAGTTAGAGATCTGGTACGCAAAAAAATCCCGAGAGCTCTCGATATAGTTTCGCTGCCTTAAGGTTGGTAGCTTGCCTCGCTACTGCGCAGCTGACGTCGCAATTCGTGTCAGTCGATAGGCAAAGGGCACGTCGCCCAATCTCTATGCCGCCAAGAAAAGGGTAGCCAATAACGGTGGGATGCAAAATGAAGCAAAAGTTCCAATAAGTCCTTGAGGCACAGGACGGACGAGCCGCACGAGGCTGCTCAATAGAGCAGGCAGCTCCCAAGGCATAGATTTGAAAGACCACAAAATTCTCAAAGGTTCCCAAAAGTTCTTGGCAAGGCCAGCAGACGAAATTCCTCTCCTCCTTGCGATAGGTCAGAATTTGGGCGGTGCAGATCGCAAGACCAAGTCCAAAAAGGTTCCCAGAAGTTCCTTTGTCCAGCCTCCGAAGGCAGGCACCACAATGTCCAGTTTCATCCCGAGATTCCTGCGAACTTTCTGAGAACAAAAGATCTCGAAAGAGTCCCTCGTTTACAAGAAAGCACAAAACACCATTCAACTGGATAGCTAGGGAAATTAAATTTCAAACGTCCGCAAACATCCTCAAAAGTTCCTGCTTTTGTGTGCGTTGTACGTGATGCTGTTCTCTCTTTGACTTTCTTGAGGCGGGCGATTTGCAAATTCGTCTACCAAACTTCACAATAGTATCCGACAAAAGTTCCATGAAGAACATAATGGGAAATTTGGCACTGGTATATATAGGGAGGCCAGGTAGATCGTTGCGGATTCATTCTGGCTCAGAAACATATCCTAAAAGCCGTTTGACGCAGAAGCACGTTTGAGTCTGTTCGTGTCTATTATTTCACGATCGTTGTGACGAACCACCCTCTTTTCTCGCTTCCGTCAAAACCTTTAGTGCCAATTTCGAACATTTTAGAAGGTCGTGGTCATGGGGAAAGCAGGTAAACGTAACCAGCCATTGAAAAAGGTTAGTTTCAATCCTTTCAACAAACATCTGGACTGCAATAACGATCTTTCGAGGACGCGGCAAAATGGAAACAAACAGTTGATGAAAATGATTCGCAAATGTTGAGTTGTTCGCGCGTATGGCTCAATAGAGGAGAATCTGCAGGTGCAACTGCATGCAAAGTTGCACACAACCATGAAAAAGGTCACTCCCCAATGCTGCAGCGCTGGCTCGAAGAAGAGGCCCGTCAAGAACCTTACAACACCATTGATGCGGCGCTGAGTCGCGGCAGCGGCAAATAGGCCCAGTGTCATGATAAGGAATTTATGGGAACTTTGGGGAAGTTCTGACGAGAGCGGTGGGTGGACGAATGTAGTCGATAGTGCGGCTGAGTTGAAATCCTGGCAAATTAGTCTCCTTTGAGCAATAGACGAACTCCTACCTCTGATCTAGGCCCGACATACGTGTGCATTCATCGCCTCAGTTGAGTGATAACTGCCGCTTTAAACTAGTGACTTTGCGAACCATTCTGCCTTGTGCGATCCATCCGCCAGCCTTAAGATTCATGACCTTCAACATCCGCGTTGAAAATGTTCTTGTCGCCGCCGAAAATTCGTGCTGGGCCACAGCCTTATGTTGAAAAAATCAATCGTTTTCCCCCGAGTCTACAGAAGATGTACCATAAGAAAGTATGGATAACATTCGCCGCAGTAATAGGACTTTAACAGTTGACAAGACTCTGAGATCGGAAGCTACAGCCGGTACTGAGATTGGCGTTGATGCTTTTGCCGCGTTGGAAGAAGAACCAGCAGTGCCCAACATAGGCGGGCATAATTGTGAGATTCATATGTATGAATGTCGCTACAACAGTCGAGGAGAAAGAGTATTCCTGCAAAGTGGCTGTAGATCTGAGCTTGATGAAGAGCCCGAGGACAGCATCGACGCAGCCCTTGTCCTGACAAGATACTATTCGGAAGACAAGAAACTCGATGAGACAACGCTTGATATCAGATCACCATACATCAAGGCGGCGCTTGAACAGGTTATCGGATCGTATCCTGGGGTCAACATCCATACCGACGGCCCAATATTAATAAACGATGATCCATGGTGCCTTTTCCACTACCGCAACGAGCTGCGCGGATACGCGGCGAAGCTTCGCAACAAGAAAGCGAAAGAACATATCCACTTCGTACTCCAGTATATGGCAAAGGTTCTGCGGCGCGAAATAGCAAACTACGAAAGCTTGATGGTGAATAATGATAGAGAACCTGGACTTGAGTTCCAGAACTTGTGGATGGCTTTCAAACCTGGAATCTTGCTCTATAAGAAGAGTGGCGATTCCAAGGATATTGACATGATCTGTAGGTTTAGGGAAATGGAAATCAAGAAAGACTCTGATACTAGTCCAAGTTACTGGCGTCTGAAAGTTGAAATGTTGGCCTGGGTCGGGGAAGAGCTCAAATATGTGTTGGGTAGATTCCACATCAACAAATATGATGGCTATCGACCACTGACTGCGTTGGATCTCTACCCTTTAGCGTACCACCCAGATACGGAACTAGTTCAAAGGCGTGTACTAGCAAGGGGAAAGAAGTATGTCACTATGTTCGGAGTACATCATTGCTTCCATGACGGTATTGCGAGCCTCGTGGCGTTTGCTGGCCCGCAGTTGAAATTGATTTCTTTCATGGTGAGTCCAAGTCCTTGTGGTGATAGTAACTCGCTCAACTCCGAGATAGGCTCGTGGCAGAGTGATGGTAGACAGGGCAGAATTCAACAACGACGTTCGATTCGTAATTCCAGAAATCGTCCCTGATTCCAAGATCATCGATCCTCTGTTGGGGGAGCATCTTACCCTGTCCGAGGAGGAGCTGCTGATTTGCGAGTACAACATTCCCGCTTTTACTTTATCGACCAAGCGATGGGGGCTCTTTAACGTGTCGAATCTTGACCGCGTTGAATATAACCACGACGCATTCTCCCGCCTGATACTACCATCTGGCGTCAAAAAAATGCTCTCGGCCTTGGTTCATCTTCAGGAAGGAGAGACATCGCAATTCGATGATTTGATTGTCGGGAAAGGAAAAGGATTAATCATACTGTTGCATGGACTTCCAGGCGTTGGGAAGACATTCACAGCAGGTTGGTTCCTCCGAATTCAACCCGTCCCCAGCTAACTTCGTGTGCACAGAAAGCATAGCTGACTTCTCGAAACGTCCTTTATATACAATCGGGAAATCCGATTTTGGCCACACAGCTTTCCAGGACTCCGAAATAAGGTTGACGGCCGCGCTCGCAAGAGCTGCGAAGTGGAAGGCCATCGTGCTCCTCGACGAAGCGGATGTCTTTATGCAGGAAAGAGGTGCTAATGAAATGTTCAGAAATGAACAGGTTTCAGGTAGGCGTAGATTAACTAGTCCGAAACCCTGCTAAAAAATTATTAGTGCTGCTGCGTATACTGGAGTATTTTGAAGGGACAATGTTTCTCACCACCAACCGAGTCCAAACAATCGATCCAGCATTCAAGTCAAGAATTCATTTGTCTCTCACCTATCCCGCCCTGTCTTCCGAATCGAGAAGCGAGCTCTGGGAGACGTTCATCCTGAAAGGAACAGAAGAGAATTCTCGCCCAAAATGGCTTACGGCGAGGTTCCTCGATAAAATTTCCAAGGAAGAGGTCAATGGACGCGAGATAAAAAACATCGTCCGCGTAGCCCATGCGCTGGCATTCAACGACAAACGATCAATGAAAGCAACCGATATTCTTCAAGGTCTGCAATCGCTAAGGACCTTCGAGAGGGACTTCAGCGAAGCCGCAGCAGCCAAGAGGAAGCAGGATTACGAGCACTTTGAACCGTCAAAGAAGGTAAAAATTGGTGATCGCATCGAAGATGAAGAAAGGAAAGATCCTACTGAGCTGGCAAATGAAGGGCGTCCTTGGTGGAAATTCTGGTGATGAGTCTCTGTAATATTTTGTCAGGAAAGTAAGAACGAGAGGTTCGGGTCTGGAAACTTAGATTCAGGGTCGCTCATGCCGGACTCGGCGCCGATCGAGCTATTCGCCGGAGATTTGTCGGTCCGACACCAATAGCAACCTTCGTTATGCTCGTCGATAAAGTGGCTGTCGGCATTTATATACAAGATGGGTATTCTATTCCGGATGCCTTAGGCTTGAAATGAAGTAGGCAGACAGTCTTGCAACGCTGGAATCTTGAGTACCAATTTGAGCATTGACAATGTAAATTGAGTCTATAAATGTAAACAGTTCTACTTTGAAGATGCCCTGGCGGCATCATTACCTAGCACTATATGCATTGCTGCTCTGTGAACGTCTAGGGGTATATCCTCCTCCCTAATAACGACTGTTCCTCAATCTCATATAGTAGCAGTTTCGGTTTTCTCTATCAGCGACAGATCACTCTGCGCTGTGATATCCCTTCTCTGGCATTGCCTTCCGTATCATCTTGATTTACGAGGTGATTGTAGCCTCAGCTCCGCTTGCTTTCACTACACCGCCCGTCTCCCCGGAAGGTATTTTCATTGGCTGACCACGATGCCTCGCTGTCAGCTCTGTGATTTCCTTCAACATCAGATTTCGAGTGTCGCGAGTTAGGTCTTCCACATCAGCGGTGGTCAATCCTTTCGTTTCGATTGGTTTCAATACTGCAAAGCGTCAGAAACACGGACAACTCGGGGCAAGAAGGTGGAAAAGCTTACCCTTGAGTGGAATCACTCCAGATTTGAACATGAAACCTTTGACATATAATATGTCGGAGTAATTGGCCGCAACGACTGGCACAATAGGAACGCCAGCTTGTACGGCTAGATGGAATGCACCCTTTTTGAAAGGCAGTAGCATCGGCTCTTTTGAATAGCTCCTCGTCCCCTCGGGGAACATGAACACGCTCTGTCGTTGGCTTGACACTTCTTTGGCTGCACCCTCCATCGCTGACCGTGCATTATTTGGGTTCGTTCTGTCGATAAATACAGTCCCAGAAAGCGACATGAACCATCCTAGAAACGGTATTTTTTTCAATGAGCTCTTCGCAGCGACGGAGCAGAACCTAGGAAATATGCAACCCAGCATCAACACATCTAACTCGGTCTGATGGTTTCCCACAAATACCGCCGGGCGAATGGTATTTAGGTAGTCATGCGGATCTTCAATCTTAAAGGTAACACCGGTCGTAAGCTGCATGACGTATTTGAAGCATCGTCCTGTTGCCCATTGCCCGCTTCGATGATATCCCACCACGCGAAAACATATTGAAACCACGACACCATACGCAGACGCAATAAGGAGGGCAGCGTAGGAAGCGAGAAGTCGTGCTGCGAAGCCCGCGGCAGGTATTCGAAGGGAGAGTGCGTAGAATGCCAAAGTGAGTGCGAGGTAAGCAGCTCCCAGCACCTCGACATAAGAAATAAAACCGGCCATGTCGGAGGCCCGCGTTCGTAACAAGGAGATTCCAAACTCAGATGCGATCGCAGTTGTACTTCACAAGACCCTCTCGAGGAGGGCGAGAAGATCACATGCGCTTCAAGCAAGTAGGTTTCGGAATTATTTTCCTCGATGTTCAAAATCGGTACAAATTTATTGTTGAGGAAGATTATTCGGAATGACAACGTCAGGCCTGCAAGCGGGGCAAACACCTCCGGCTTGCAGCTGTCAAGACCAATCACATGGTCTCTGTTGTGTATGCCGAGCGTATGGAAAGCTTGCTTTTTTTTTGCGGTGACAAGCAATGCTATACAGTCAGCCACAAGAAGCAACTCGTGATTGGTAAAGGTTGATACAAACCTTGACTATGGAAAATGTTGCTCTCCAACCACATATGCTTGTGAAATATGTTGGTTGAGTCCAACAGTAAGACGCAGAGCTCGTCGATCACGTGACCGGAACCAGCCCTCATTTCATCTCTGACGAAGATTCGCCGAGAAGATTTCGAACGAGAAATATAAACGCAATAAATTCATCTTTCTTTTAGAAATTTACATTCTTTTTCGAAAATGGGGTCACAAGAGGGATCGTCAGCCATAACCATAGGCGTCTTAGCTTTACAAGGAGCTTTCAACGAGCACGTTCAATTATTACGGGAAGCCGCACAGATCCTTGCCACCAAAGATATCATTCAGAGAACATGGACGTTTAAAGAAATCCGCAACAAACCAGAACTAGACTCTTGCGATGCCCTCATTATTCCTGGCGGCGAGAGTACAGCAATCTCTTTAGTGGCTCAGAGATGTAATATGTTGGAGCCACTTCGAGATTTTGTGAAGTGAGTCACATGAAGCAGGTCCTTGGATGAAACTGATATCTTCATAGAGTAATCAGAAAACCGACTTGGGGAACCTGTGCAGGCTTAATATTACTTGCTGAAGCAGCGAATGCAACGAAGAAAGGCGGGCAAGAATTAATCGGTGGTCTCGATGTTCGTGTCAATCGAAATCATTTTGGAAGACAGATTGAGAGTTTCCAAGCGGATCTCAATCTCCCATTCCTGCAGCAAGCGGATGGGAAAGATTTTGATACTTCTCAAAAGCCATTCCGGGCAATCTTCATTAGAGCACCGATAGTCGAGAAAGTCTTGCCACATGTATCAGGAGCTCAGACCGGTCAGGCTAGTCTTGACGAGACGGTAACTGCGCCATCGAGGACGATCGATGAGAATGTTGCGAAAGGCATCAAGTTAGCGGATGTTGAAATTATGGCCACTCTTCCGGGACGAGCGGCTGCTGTTCAAGATGACAAGAAGGAGAAATTGGATGCTGAAGCTGGTGATATTATTGCGGTCAGACAAGCTAATGTGTTTGGTACCAGTTTCCATCCGGAACTTACTGGTGACCCAAGAATTCATGTTTGGTGGTTAGAGCAGGTCTCGGAAGCAGTTGATCGGAGGAGGGCACTTGCGGCGGAAACTGCTGAATCGTAAAGCTTGTTAGACTGTGTTCCTCCTCCTTCATACATCTTTGAACCTGTCCTTGGTAGAACATCAAATGATCAACCATCTAGAGAGAGTCACGGTATGCCGTCGATGCATATATTAGTTTACAGATAGAACGTCCTCTACTTGTGGTCAGAGGATGAAAATAATACATTCTCAAAGAATGGATCCATGCAGCGACCCTGCACCTCAAAAAAACTGGTCTTTGTAGTGTCGACGTTTGGGATCTCCAAAACACAGCTTGTACGATACATAAATGTTGCTGGCATCTACAGCCGACTAGTACGGAGTTAAATTTTCTTTACCTTAAAACTCCCTTTTGTCTTCTTAATCATTTTCTTTACTTGCGGGATTTATCTTTGATTTAATCGAGCAAATGAGGGTATTGACACTCGAAGAAATCATTTGATCAAGTATTTGGTGTCCTTTACATTTTCGGACTCGTTGTTGTTCAGGTACCAAAGCATGCAGGTGTGGATCTGCAGGGTCGCGGGGAGCCCCGCATCCCGCTCCACCATCCAAAAGTAAACACGCCCAACCAATGATAACTGACTGCTGTCAGCTGAGACAGGCTGAGCTATCTGAGACCAACGAGCCTCGAGCTTCAGACGACATGACCGAGTCCACGTCATGTCTTGTTACTCACCGAACCCTTTCCCTCCGCCACATTCACAGATACATCAATAGACTTAAATCAAATATCCGCTATATCCATCCTAGAAACTGGTGATAACCGACAGACCATCTTGGAAGCTATCTCTCAGGAAGCAAGCCAACCGCAACTATGCCCTCCATTCCAAACCTCTTCTCCCTCGCTGGAAATCTCCTCTCCCAGTTTCCATTATCCTCATTCAATCCAACTCCATCTTCGACCTATTCAGCCCCTAGACCACTAGATTACGGCTACACATGTCCCGTCGACTCCCCTCTCTCATGCCACAATAGCACAACCGCACCCGATTCGTGCTGCTTCATCTATCCAGGCGGCCAACTCCTCTTGACTCAATTCTGGGACACAAATCCCACAGTAGGGCCAGAAGATTCATGGACACTGCATGGATTATGGTAACTCCCCCATTCATTTCATTACAAGTTGCCAGCTAACCTCTCCCAGGCCCGATAACTGCGACGGCAGCTACCCAACATTCTGCCACTCCACACCCCAAAACTACCACATAACCTCCATCCTCTCCAATCGCGCTCCTGCCCTTCTAGAATACATGGAAACGTACTGGCTCCCGAATCGTGGTACCCTCGAACACTTCTGGGAACATGAATACAACAAACATGCCACATGCATCAACACCCTCTCCCCGTCCTGCTACGCCTCGCACACATACAAAGAAGGCGACGAGATTGTGGACTTCTTCACCACCGCAGTCGGACTATTCAAGACTCTCGATAGTTACAAAGCTCTCGCAGCAGCTGGGATATTGCCAAGTAGACATAGAACGTACACGCTTGAGGAGGTCGAGGGTGCGCTGAAGAATATCACGGGAAGTGAAGTGACTTTGGGCTGCAGAGGGAATCAGTTGGATCAGGCGTGGTATAGTTTCAATGTGCGAGGGAGTTTGCAGAGTGGAGAGTTTGTAGCGACGGATCCAGTTGGGAAGGGGTTGAGATGTCCGACAAGGGGGATTAGGTATTTACCTAAGGACGGCAGAGGGAGTTAAGCGTTTTGGGTCATGGGGTTTTAGATTAAGACGGAGACTGCTTAGAGTGATACCACAGGGAATGGATCGTACATTACGATTTAAACCGATTTAATTCTAGGATACGATTCATGCATAGTACCGCAAGCCCGCGACATTGGCAGCCATAAGTCCAAAATCGAATATTTGAAACTGAATAAATGTACGCAATAATGTGCGGATAAACAAATGTGATTATCAGGTCTTAGCTTTCTTGCTACGCCTTAAATCCGCTGTGTCCCCTGCACGGACCACCACTGACCTCGAAGCTCTATTGCTTTTCCTCAAGCACAACGTTTCCTACATCACACTATGCCCAAAAATCACTAACGAATCGACATCCTTCTTCAATCCAAGTCTCATTCATTTTCATATCAGAGCTAAAGACATGGTCACCATGCTCTATCGAAACCAACATCGGATGCTCTGGAAATCTAGCCTTGACGGCTTCCGCAAACAGAGTCGAGCACTCGGCGGGAATCTGAAATTACACCATAGATAAGCTTCTGGTGGAATGTCTAGTAGCAGCAACCTGAGGGATGACTTACTATGGAGTCTTCCTCTCCGTGAATGAGCCATAATGGTGGCATGCTCTCCATGTGTTTCAGCCGGGGTACCAAAAGGAGCTGGGGATTCGACTTGACACCCAGCAGTCGGGGTAGCCATGCCTGTTGAATGATACATATTAGCAGTGGCCACATATCGGCAGGATCACCCTCTGTCCGCACTGCCCCGGGTTCGATGTTGCGAATGTAGTCTCGAATTAAGGCCTCCGCTTGCCTTGGCGGGGGTGGTCGAGTTCCCATGATGGTTCGGGGAAGTGGGATGTTGAATTTGAGCGAGGCACTAGTGTCTAGGGGACCAGAGATGCAGATGACGACTTTGATATCTATCTTGGGCGAAGAAAGGAAAGCAGAATGAAGGGCATTGCAAGCACCCGCGCTTTGCCCCGATGATGCGACGCGACTCAGATCAGGGAAGGCATGCCATGACTCTTGATGAGCAACTGATGGGAGCTCGTTTTTCATCCAGACCGAGAATCGCTCGATGTCGGCTAGTATGTCAGTGCCGTTTGCTTCAGGGACAAGACGGTAATCTGGGCTGATTATAAGAGCACCTCTTGATAAAGCAAATTCTAGCGCTCTGTTTGCCACTAATATCAGCAAGTATCCTCTTAGTGATCCTTTCGCTCGTCACCAGGAATCTATGAGTATGCCAACTGACCATTTCGGCCACCACGGCCCGTACATACGATGTCCGACAATGAAACCACCACCGTGCCAATGTACAAGTACTGGACGAGATGAAGGAGGGGATAACCGCAGCTTCTTTGGTGTCAAAATGCTTGCCTGTAGATCACGGCCACGGATGGAAGAATACACTAAGTCTATGCGACTAAATCCTGCGAATTTTTCGTTGTCCATCTCGTTGGCGTCAGGGGCAGTTCTGGTTGTAGTTCGATATAGTATGACGTTGTTCTGACAAGCCGCAGGAGCTTATTGCTATGGTTTGGATCATATATTGGTACCGCCCATGGCTCAACGTGCCGTTGAACGAAGGCGCCATATCTTACTATATGTTGTTTTTTTCTCACCCATAACCGTACGACTACCAATACTTGGAATTGTGTGTATGAAAAGAGGTCGGCCTTCCACACCTGTTACATACTGCATCTTCAACTTCCACATGAGCTCCCAAGGCTGGATGGTTTCCAGCTGAAGATACAGGCTGCATATTCCGAGATCTTCACGACGTACGATCAGAATGACTCTCACATATCATTATACGAGAATGTCGCGAGAAGTACAGTCATCTGGGCGTGCCGAAAATCTTGCTTCTATGAATTCACTGGACATATCTTCATTTGAACAAGATGCTGTGCAACGGAGAAATTTGCTTTTGTTGGAATCGCAACTCAGACATTTGTGACCAAGTACCTGCGTCACTTTCTCATACAAACCCGGAAACTTGGTTATCCTCTACGCGTCACTAGGAGGCTGTGTTTACTTAAATATGTCTTCTTTGAGCCTCCGTAGCCTTCAACCACCATTCAGCCTCCGATTTGTTTCCGTCACCTCGATGAGCTCATGATCTTGAAATCAACAACACAGCTTACCGACCACTTTCTAAGCTGACATTGCTTGCTTATCGGAATTTGAGGATCTCACCATGGCAATCAACATCGTCCAACAAACTTGATCGCAACGGGGAAACTGACTTCCATGAAAGCTTAAATGATCAAGGGATTTCAAGCAATCAGGAACCTCTCAAGAAACAGGACAGGGACCGGTCAGCTCCTGGGATGGCCGCAACTCCGGTTGCGATTTGTGGGATGGGCCTTAGGCTTCCTGGGAGGATCAAGAACGATGCGGACATGTACAAGTTCCTGATGGAAAAACGAGATGCACGGTCGATAGTTCCCAAAAGCCGATACGATATCGAAAAGTACTACAATGAACATTCCAAAAAGGGTACCATCATCAGTAAATATGGGTACTTCTTGGAAGACGATCTAACGCACTTCGACTTGTCTATGATCAGTATGACATCCGTTGAAGCGAGCCGACTTGACCCGACCCAGCGGGTGCTATTGGAAGTTGTCCGTGAGACGTTCGAGAACTCTGGCGAAGCTGACTTCAGAGGCAAAAACATTGGAACCTTTGCCAGTATGTTTGCCGAAGACTGGCGGGATTTGCAGACACGGGATATTGAAGATGGGAGCCCTTACCAGCTCACAGGAATGCTTGACTTTATGCTGGGAAACCGGATTGCTTACGAATACGACTTAAAAGGCCCAAGTTTTACAGTGAAGGCTGCTTGTTCTTCGTCGGGGTTAGCGCTCCACCAAGCTTTGCAGACCATTCTTCAAGGAGAGATATCTGCTGCCATTGTAGCCGGTGCGAATCTCCTGTTCGCACCTGGCTTGTCCATTACTATGTCAGCAACAGGGACTTTGTCTTCGAGCGGCTCATGTAAATCTTTTGACGCTAGTGCAGATGGCTACGGAAGAGCGGAGGGCATCGCTTGTCTTTACGTTAAACGCTTGGATGAGGCTATTCGGGATGGCAATCCTGTAAGAGCTGTGATCAGAGCCTCTGCTAGTAATGCCGATGGAAAGACGGCTGCTTTGACCGTGCCGAACCCTGTTGCCCACGAAAGCTTCATCCGTCAAGCGTACGAGAATGCCGGTCTCTCCTTTCGCGATACCGCAATGGTTGAATGCCACGGAAGCGGCACATTCGTGGGCGACTCTCTCGAAGTTTCTGCTGTAGCCAATTGTTTTGGGGCGGATGGTGTCTATATTGGCTCAGCAAAGCCTAACTTAGTACAGAGCAATCTTCTTCTATCTGATTTCAAAACACTGAAAATTTTAAAGGGCCACTCAGAGGGTGCTAGTGCGATTACGAGTATCATCAAAGCCGTCGTCTCTCTTGAAAACACTACTATCTTGCCTAACATCAAGTTTACCACGCCTAGCCCCAAGAGTAAGATAAACAATTTCGAAATCCTTTCTGCACTTACCGCTCGTATTTCACTTAAGGAATGAGCTTCTGCTTGCTTTCTCTCACAGTCGTACTTTCCTATGTCACAATGCCTCACCAAGTCTGGGTAACTTTCGCTTACATTAAAAAGTTCCTTGGAAGACCGGGAAGTTGCAGGTTCCTACTGAGCCTCTTCCCTGGCCTGAAGATCGACGCGAGAGGATATCTGTCAATTCATTTGGTATTGGCGGATCTAACGTTCATGTTAGTATTATCTCTAAGCTGGAGCCCACCAAGTAATTGACAAGAGAGACTAATGCTACAGTGGCTAGTTTGTGTTGGACTCCGCAAAGTCTTTCGGGATTTCAACGCCGAAGGGATGCAATGACGATCCAAAACAGGCTAATAAAAGCCTCCTTTTATTCTCGGCAAATAATGCTGGATCGCTCCAGGCACTTTTAGATGCTTACAGAAAATATCTAGACAGATTTCCACATGAACTGGAATCCCTCAAATTTACGCTTTCAGAGCGTAGAGAACATTTGAAACTTAGAGGTTATCATCTCATGCACGGCTCATCTTCTTTTAAAGTCGTCCACAATACCAAGGAAACGAAGCTCGCGGCTGACAACATTTTATTTGTATTTACTGGACAAGGCGCGCAATGGGTACACATGGGAAGAGAGCTGCTGTTAAGATACGAGATATTTTCCGGTAGTATCAGAATGATGGATGCAGCTTTAAGTTCCCTGCATGACGCACCAAGCTGGACTATCGAAAACATCATCTTGAAATGCGAAGATGAGATGATTCTTACCACACCCGGGTTTTCTCAGCCTGTTTGCACTGCCTTGCAAATCGCGCTCGTAGATTTACTCGCCTCTTAGGGCGTCACTCCAGCAGCGATAGTTGGGCACAGTAGTGGAGAAATTGCTGGCTCTTACGCGTCAGGTGCTTTATCTCTCAGGGAAGCGATTATAGTCTCCTTCTACCGTGGGCATGTCTGCAAAGGCTCTGCTAAGAGTGGTGGAATGGCTGCTGTCGGACTTGGACGGGACGACATTCAAAATTACCTAGTATCAGGAGTACAAGTTGCGTGCGAGCATAGCAGCAAAAATGTTACCATCAGTGGCGACGTGGTGTCTCTAGACGCTACTCTGGACACCATAAAAATTGCTCACCCTAACGTTCCCGCTCGCAAGCTGCAGGTTAGCATGGCCTATCATTCAGGTAAATGCTTCGGACGCCAAACAACCCCATTTGATCTAGTCTTCTAATCTCATCAGATCACATGAGGGTTGTTGGTGGAGTTTATCACGACCTCATAGCCGATCATCTGAATCCTCAGCGTCCGCGCCTGCCTTTCTTTTCCAGTGTACATGGGCGTTTACTTTCGGAAGCTCAAGAATTTACGGCAAAATACTGGAAGGACAATTTGGAGAATCCTGTACTGTTCTCTACAGCCGTAAATGTAGCGCTCCGAAACTGCCCTAATGCTCATATTCATCTTGAGGTTGGACCCCATTCAGCATTGGCTGGTTCCATGAAACAAATCTTCCTGGAGCAAGGCACCTCGAATGCATATTCATCCGTTCTTAAACGCAAAACGGACGACGTAGATACATTTCTCGAGACCATGGGACAATTGTATCTGGCTGGTGTGAAGCTCCGACCTCCCATCCCAAATGTTGCACGCGTTCTTACCAATATCCCTACTTACCCTTAGCAGCGCAACGACAAATGCTGGGCTGAGACTCGGGTAACATCAAATTGGAGGTTTCCCCAACATGCGAAGCATGACTTATTAGGGTCGCGAATTCTCGAGTCCAGTGAGGTGGAACCGAGCTGGAGAAACATCTTACGCTTGATCGATGTCCCGTGGTTGAGAGATCATCGTGTCAGTAGTGATATCGTGTTTCTTGCAGCTGGCTACGTAGCAATGGCTGGTGCTGCGGCAGCACAGCTTCGCGACGATGGTGAGAGCACCCAATTAGACTATACGATCCAGGAAATGTGCATTCAAAATACTTTGGTGCTACGGGATGACACGCCCTCTGAAATTATTACAACCCTCCGACCAAGGGCGCTCACCACAGAGCTAGACAGTAATTGGTATGAGTTTTCAATATTATTATATGATGGAAGCTCTTGGAGTAGACACTGTCGTGGTCTCGTCGCAGCAGGTCAAGCCCGCAAATTCATCCCGACAGAAACCCTAAGCTTTGCACGGGGAGTATGTGCAGATCGTTGGTACAAGACAATGGCTCGTATTGGTCTTAACTACGGACCCAGGTTTACAGGTCTTCGAGACATTACTGCTGGAGTCTCTAATAGAGGATGCTCAGGCACAGTTACGAACACGAAAGAGAAATGGGAATCACCATATGCAACGCATCCGGCAACTTTGGACGTTATTTTCCAGTCTTTTATCGTCGCCTGGACAAAGGGCATCTACCGGGAACTCACGCAACTTTCCCTACCAACTTTTATTGAAGAGATTTACGTCGGCGAAACCAAATCGGCAGCGATTCACTTCAACACGACTGCCACTGAAACCCAAGGTTCATCTCATGGTGTGGTGGATGACGACATAGTGCTTTTTATGCGTGGCCTCAAATTGACACCACTTCGAGGTGGAAATAATGATGACCTGTTAGAACCCTTTGCACAATGTCTACAATGGAAGCCAGATTTCTACTTCGCAGAAACGAACAAAATCCTCAAACCGAAAATGGATATACGACCACAACTTGCATTGACTGAACGCTTGTTTGTTCTTTGCGCGGCCGAAGCAGAACATAGCTTGTCAAGTCTTATCCCGTCTCAACCTCATCTTGTTAGCTTCGTGGCGTGGCTCGAGGGGCAGATCAAACGGTTTGATAGTCCAGATTACCCTTTGGTAGAAGATTCTCAGCTCTTGCTACATCTCGACAGTGCTACCAGACTGTACAGAATTACCGACTGCCTCGCAGAGATACAGCAAACCGATGTCCGAAAACTTGGCAATGCTATATGGAAAACCTTTTCGCACCTTGCCGATATCATTGAAGGTCGCATAGACTTCCTAGAGCTACTTTTCCAAGATCATGTATTGCAAGATTTGTACGAATGGATGGATATTCTGGTGGACTTGAGTGACTTTTTGTCCCTCCTCGGAAACAGTCAACCACAAATGAAAATTCTCGAAATCGGCGCTGGCACTGGGGGTCTCACTGCCAAGGTCATCAACAGTCTCAAAAATGAATATGGCGAGCGTCTTTACCATAGCTACACTTTTACCGATATCTCTTCGGGATTTTTCGCTAAGGCCAAAGAGCGCTTCAAAGAACACCACAGCATTGAGTATAAAGTACTTGACATTTCTAAAGATCCTATCGCCCAAGGATTTGCACCCGGCGAATACGATTTTATCCTGGCCGCGAATGTAAGCCTCTGTATAAATATGTTAATTGTCGTTGATAGCTGAATACCCCCAAGGTTCTGCATGCGACTCCGACTTTGAGTGAAACACTTGCCAACTGCCGCAAACTGCTCAAACCTTCCGGTAAACTATTTTTGCAGGAGCTATCACCAGGTGAGCACAATACAGGAATAAAACACCCATGCACTACAATGACTGACATGAACACGATTCAAGCCACAAAATGTCTAAATTTCGTAATGGTATTTGCCTCGAACCTTGTTGCTTTATGTCCATTGTCTTACTTTGTTTCAGGGACTCTTTTCGGGATGGTGACTTGGTGAAAATGATGGTCGGGTTGACGAACCCTTTGTTACGCCAGAGGAGTGGGAAGTTAAACTTCGGGGAGCAGATTTTGAGATTATTTCCGTCACTCTGGATGGCGTACGTCCTTACTATGTTAACGCTAATATCATCGCCAGACCAACAATCGTGATCGATAATGTCAAACGAATAACACTATTGACGAACTTTCAGAGCCTTGGCCCATCTGCTGAAGCTGTCAAAAACGAGCTTGAGTCGCAAGGATACACAATCAATCACTGTATCTGGGGAGAAGAAGAGATTCCAACGTCTCAAGATCTTATTTCGTTTGTCGATATAGAAGACCGAAAGGATCCCCTCTTTCGGGATATTAACGACGAGGACTTGAAATACTTGTTAAAGCTCGTTGACGCTCTGTCTCATCCCATCATCTTATAGCTCATGAAACCCGCACAAGTTAATTGTCAGGATCCTCATCATGCTCAAATTCTTGGATTTGCAAGAACAGTTCGTGCGGAGCAGGCCATAAACATGGTGACCCTAGAGCTTGAGCATGTAGGCAAGAACGCTACTTCGGCAAGGACAAGGCATCGGTGGATCTTCTGGCAAGGGCGATTGGGCTACGTGTATCGGGTTTCCTTATGATAGACGAGAAAGATGTTGATATTACACAAAATCTGGCAGCGGCGGGTGTGGACTCGTTAGTTGCTATCAAGTTGAGAAATTGGTGGAAGCAGAGTTTAGGTGTCGAGGTTTCGGTTTTGGAGCTGATGAAGCAAGGCAGTATTTTGGGTTTGGTTGAGTTGGCTATTGAGCGGCTGAGTGAGAAGTATCGTAGCAAGAAGAAGTAGGTAGGTTACGCTGTGTCAGAGGGATATAGTAGGTGACAGATTTTATGATTTAATGAAACTGAAACAGGAGCAGAATGTCAACTTTACTTCACGATTTCTTGAAGTAGAATATGTTCACATTCTATTACTATTCATTCAAAGACTGAATCATAGAGAGTCTTCTTTTAAAAGCGCCAAACAATATCAGTTGCAAACCAAAAGTCCTGCCAGACGTTCAAATCACATCCTTCTTCCGACTCTTAAACTCGATCTCCGCAAATGGGTTCGGCATAATACTCCCGGCATTGACCAGATCCTCCGGTCTCTTCTCGACGCCCCCCGTCCCCTCCACATCCCCCTTCAGTCTCAAATCATACGTTCTCAACACCTCAATCAAAATCACCTTGATCTCATTGCTCGCAAAAAACCGGCCTGGACACGCGTGATTGCCGTGCCCAAACGACAGCGAATCCGGCGCCGTGGAAACGAACTGATGTTTATTCTCCTTGCCTTCCATGGCGCGCAAATTCGAGAAGCGAAATCCGTCGAACTCGGCGGGCGCGTGGTAGTTGGGTGGGTTATAGGTTGGAGACATGGAGAGGGAGGAGGTACTCATTTGGGTCGCCCAGAGGTTGTAGGCTATTTTTGTGCCGGGGGGGATAGTGTGGCCGGTTGAGAGGTGGAGGGGTTTGACTACCACGCGAGTGTTGCCGACTGTGTTTGTTAGTCTTATGATCATTTAGATTAAGGGGGAGGGCCTTACAGAGACCGGCGGGTGCATGGCGCTGAGATTCTTTCATGAAAGAATCTAGTTTTCGGAGACGGGGAAGGCTGGATTTCTTGAGTTTCTTGATTCCGTCGCCGTCGTCTTCGTAACCGTCTTCGGCGATTACTTTTTCGATCTCTTCGCGAAGGGGTTGGATGTATTCGGGGCGAGCTGCTAAGTCGTAGAGGCAGTGGGTTACAGCCATGCCACTGGTGTGGATTGCAGCAAAAGATACTGTAGAATATCATTAGTCACTTATTGAAGTTTGGAGACATATATCAGTAGACTCACGAACGATCTGATTCAACGCCAAAACTGCCGGGTCTCGCTTCTCGGAATCCTTCGTATACTTAAGCACCCATCCAGTGAAAGCAGATTGTTCCTCATCCACGGACTTCTTTGGTTCATCCATGATCTGATCCAAGACCTTTTGCTCCATATATGGCGCTAAAAGCTCCGCACCTCGGGTCTTATATGCCTTGATTCTGCGTATCTCTTTGAGGAAAGGTGCCACAAATGGTCGCATTAGAGGATGCCAATTTCGAGCTGCTCGAGCGGCCGCGACTGCATCAATGGTGAAATTGATGGAAACGTCCAACCATTCCTGTTCTCTGCTTAATGGTAGGCCGACGAAGGTTCGTCCACTCATCAAAGCTACCACATTTGCCATGGCTTTGTAAAGATATATTGGCTTCCAGTCTGGGCAGTCTCCAATCTCTTTGTCTAGAGAATATCTGACCTCATCTTGTAGACAGTCAAGTACGCTAGAGATGTTTCTGGTAAGTTCATTCTTTACTGCTTGGATCACTTCAGGTCTACTGTCGCCAATGGTAGTATGCCTATGGAGAAACTCCCTTCGAATTAATTCCAGGAACGAGACTTTATCTTCGGTCATGTATCTGATCTCATCCAAAGTCTTTTCGGGTAGGACGACCATTGGTGGTTGAGTTGGAATAATGAATGGCTCATCAGGATACTTTGAGCAGCAGTCGCGTTAGTATACTTCTAATGGATCAAATAGAGTGTTTTAGAGTACCAGTTTTGCTCCCTCGATGAGATCATTCTTCAATTCTGAGTCAATTGCTTTGCCGACTACGGGAAAATTCAGCTTTCGTGATTGGCGCAGGACGATGTATCGGAATATTCCTATCAAGGTCGCGAGTAAGGCCACGCTATAGATAACGGGTGACTCTGCGACCGAGGCCTGAGCATGTTTGATGAATGGTAGAAGAGCCATATTGCTTGATATTGAATTTCGCTCGAGTATCAAGAGGTTTTGGCGGAGGCGTTGATCGCTTGACACAAGTGCGAGTTATTCATGAACAAACAACGTGGGAATAGGCTGGTCACATATATAGGAAAGAAGTGCATTGCATTGCCGTTGGTGTGCCACATGGGGCGGGTTTCCTAGAGTTCCGTGCCGTATGCATAATAATGTACTCCCTAGGTTGAGAATGATCGCTTCCACACTTTTACCGGCTGTGGCCTGTCAGGTAACGTTTTGTGTGACAACACCTGTCAGCCTGGCAATTCCAACCATTTCACGGTCCTGACAGGGATATTTTGGAGTAATGTCGGAGGAATTATACTCGTTCGAGTCTCCATAGGCGTTTCGTTCCTCGCAGGGCTGTCGTCTCCAAAGCGCCAGTCCACCTCGCACAAGATAGATGTGGGCTGACATGCAGATCGTTTTACCCGTTTATTTCTCAAGATCCTAGTATAAAAGACAACTGATAGACTTTCATCCTTATTGATCTTGGCCCTGTAACCGAGGTAGGGTGAGTTGAGAGCTGCTGTACCACGACATGCGTTCATGACAGCTCTGGTTCATGACCAGTGACATACGATCGGCCGTCATCTGTCCAACCTCAACGCAAAGTTCAAGCAAGACATCGGCTTCATACTTCAGCCACCACTCAGTAAACCCTAAAACGAATACGATATACGAGGAAATGCCGATGTACTTTTTGTGCATCATAAGCAGAGTCGGACTATGAGTATTCAAGCATCTTCTCTCGACCTGACATGTAAGAAAGCGTCAAGATCGTACTGCTCCTTATAACGCAATCTCTAGATTACCGCCAAGCTACTGAATATTCATGTTGGTGGCGCGGTGATTTACCAATTCTCGCGACCGGATCAAGAACTGTTGTAGCGGGAAGGGGTGGTATCTTGAAGTCTGACTTGCTCTTTGGGCGATAACAGGGATCAGCTGAGAACCTGCACGTCAAACTCGATGGTCTGTTGAAGACAATTTTCGATATCTGTGAAAGAGGTCATGATTAACGATGATCGCCAGCTAGCAAGAGATGGATCCTGTAGCTCAGGACGTGCACCTCGCTTACAGACTGCCGAAACTTAATCACGTGTCCAATCTAAAGATACCCCCTTTTCTCATCTCCTATTTTACACGAAGTGAACGGCAAATCAGCACAACAACGTCCATTGACAGCAATGCTCTCTAAAATTTCGGCCGCCAGCCCGTACCCACACTCCATCAAGATTTCGGATTCTTGCCGACGGATTCATTGACATCCGATTCAGCCTACATAAAAGTCGTGTCGCACAACATACCCAACCCCCTCGAGTATATATTCAGCCTATCGCCAGCCAAAAGATACCAACAGGTTGGGCAGCTGCTCGTGGCTGCATGCGTCGCGATACACAACTGTAGTTGGTATTAACGCAGGGTGTTACGTTAACGTATTCGTTTACTTGTAACTGGTCGAAAACTTTACAGCGGTCAGGAAAGCCAACATGAGTTGTCGCAATTCTCATAGCAACGAATTATGATTCAGTATGATTCAACAATTATCTATGAAAATGAGATTTACTTCCGGGTGGCTATCGATGCCTTCGAGCTTCATAGCCACGGCAGGGGAAGCTTTTCTTACGATACCTGTCTTTTGCGTTCAGAGTGACGCGGCTTCAGCTCTCCATCCCAATGATATCACAACATCTTAGAATCTATTGGAGTTGTTGGATGGCTTAGGCAATGCAAGCTTAGGCAATGCAGTTGCGCTTTGCGGGCGAATCATATGCCATGCTCGTACAAGATTACTGGCGCATGTACGAGACTTGTGCCGCTCTCCAACGTCTGTTGGGCCATGATGGTAATACAATGACCAGGGACAGAAATAACTTTCTCACGTGTTTTTTCCAAATCACTTCCAATTTCGTGTTCGAAAGGAAACTTATTGCTTCATACTGCACTTCCAAACGCATCACTTCTCATAGTAGGGTTCCTAACGCGCTACATAGTTGAACAATTAAAACTGTATAGCGGTCTTGTACATACAAATGAGCAATGTACAATTAGCAATTGAACCTATTAGTTAAATCAAGAAACTTCCATATCTGTCGCCTACTCAAACTCCAAGAATTTGTCTCTGACTATCGAAGGTATGCCCGCTGGTTCTTTTGGTTTGCTAATAATCAATCTATTCGTAAATCCTTACTGTATCAACCGGTTGACGAAATACATAGCAGTCGGAACACAATACTTCATCGACCAAATTGACACATGTTCTACATTTCATCTACTAATTCGGGGAAGACTAAGAATTGTAATCTCGTGAAAAGGATTCGGACGAGAGCGCCTCTTGAAACCTAATCACCTTTTATGGTAAAGAAGTCATCTAAAAGTATGCCCCTTAACTTGTCCACTGCGAGCCTATCTTGCGGGTTTGCAGCCAGATTTAGCACAGGTATTTAAATCACTATGACTGCGAATAGGTCGCCTGTTTATTATACAGTGAGCTTTCACCTTTGACTATTTGTAGCTCAAACTTTCGAATGGCAACAAGAAATTCATCTCTAGCCCTTCGTGTATTGCTATTGATTGGGATAGGAACTCTGATAGTTTTCGGATTCACGTTTCGTTGAGGTTTGCGAAGGCTTCATACTGGCGTCACAAGTTTCGCCTATAGATGGGAGCGGGGTAAGCGGGCTTCAACTATCTGGCAATTTAGTGGCAGGCATATAGAAAATCAGCGAGCGATGAAATATACTCGACCAGAATCACGTTACATTGAAAGCTGTACATGATTCAAAATGAAGTATCAACCTTTAAATTCTCGAACTATATTTCGGCGATTTGTTCATGACCATTTATTGAATTTTCGCGTATCAGCTTATCATAACCAAAGTAAGCAATTAACAGTGCACCCATGGATGGAGTCGAGAAGATAATGTCCCAATTAGGCCAAACACGTGCGTCTGTGCAGAAGCTGCACCCCACTTTCCAACATCAAACCGTCTATGCGAAATCAACAAATTATTAGGTGCAAAAACCACAACTTCTCCCACAGTATCACCATGTTGAACCTAAGAAATGTTCATAAATAAAGCACTTATTGCTGAAAACTTACAGTTCTCTGTGACGGCTGAACACAGAAAATCAAGATGGACATGCTACGCAGCGATGTCGCTGAAGATATTGCCATGCCGTTGCGCGGGGGTACTCTGCATGCAGCAACCAATGAATGTGTACCGGTTTTTGCTTTTCATCCAAATGGAGTGTCTTGCAGAAGACGATACGACTTCAATATCTTAACATTCCAGATGGCTTCAACGGGCAAAATGTTCACCGCTGACGTGTGAACGATACATCGAAGAACAACCAAGATATCTCTCAACTGTGAAGGCTTTAGTTTCGGCAGCACACTGTGAACATTGCGTGGTATCGATATAGAATCTCTTCCTCCACCATGTCTCAGAAAATGGAACTGCTGATGCATACGTTGGTTTTTATAAATTACATTTGTTATGTCCTCCTCGCCGCCAGCGCCATATACAGATTACTCGTATTCCCGCTATTCATAACTCGGCTCTCCAAGATTCCTGCGGCACATCCTCTATGTAATGTTACCTCACTTTGGATATACTACATTCGTTGGGCCGATATCGAGAACCGGACAATCCAACGTCTCCACAAGCAAAAAGGTCCAATCTTGAGGATAGGGCCAAATGAGCTGAGCGTCAACTGCTATGAGGAAGGTATCAAAACGATATATGGAGGCGGTTTTGAGAAGACTGAGTTTTATCCGAGGAGGTTTGCGAATTATGATGGGTTCGTAGCACTTTGATAAGCCCAATCTCTCTGCGAAATGATATTGTACTTGCTGATTTTACAACCGATAGTGTCATCAACATTTTCACCACTCTTGATAGCAAATCACATTCCCATCGCAAACGCATGGTTTCAAATATTTACTCCAAGTCGTTCATACTTTCATCACCAACAGTACATACCACAAGTAAAGTAGTAATATACAAACGACTGCTCCCATTGATCCAGCAACATGCCACAACTGGAATTTCGATTGAGACTCTAAGTCTGAATTATTCTTATTCAATGGATGCCTTCACGGCTTATCAATTCGGGCTTGGGCTCGGTACAAACTTCATCCAGGATGTCAAAACCAGGGATTGGTATCTGGGAAATTACTTCGCTATTCGTCCTTATATGTTCTGGATTGGGGATGGATACAAAATCTGGAGCTTGCTTATGAGAATCGGCGTCAACATCATACCAACAAAAGTCTTGGACGCTTTTCCTGAAATCCAAGCTTACAATCTCGAGCTGTGCGATAAGGCCGAGGCTCTCCTGTCCGACGCAAGGGCTCTTTCCATAGAAGACGTTCCCGTCATTTACTCGCAAGAAAGGTCAGCCATGCGGAAAGATATCGACGCAAAGCGATTTCAGAATCCTCATTTTCTCAAGACAGAGCAAGATTATCCGAGAAGGTTGGAGATTGCAAGTGACATGTTTGATATGAATGCAGCTGCGCTCGAAACAAGCGGCATCACTTTGACATACTTATACTACGAACTTTCGCGACATCCAGAACTTCAAACCAAACTGAGACAGGAGCTTCTGACACTGTCGCCTACTTTCAGTTTCCCAGTTCCAGAAGGCCAAGAACCAGAACTTCCAGACTCAAAAGAGGTAGACCGCTTACCCCTTCTCGATGCAATTTTGCAAGAAACACTTCGACTTTATCAAGCGGTTCCAGGTCGTCAACCTCGAATTACTCCAGCGAAAGGATGTACACTAGCAGGCTACTCTGATATCCCAGGTGGCGTGGTGGTTCAATCTTACGGCTCAGTACTGCATCGAAATCCTGCGGTGTTCCCCGACCCGGCAAACTGGAAACCGGAGAGATGGTTGAATGCTGGCGAAGAGGAATTGAAGGAGATGAAAAGATGGTTCTGGGCTTTTGGTAGTGGTGGGAGGATGTGTGTTGGCACCCATGTGGCTATTCATAGTAAGTTGGGTTCGTTTACGGTGCGAGGATGTGCTAATCGGAGAGCAGATATGAAAAGTGCTATTGCCGCCATTTACACTAACTACACCACTACCGTGGTTTCTGCTGGAGACATGGCACAGAGTGATGGGTTTATGGGTGATCCGGTCGGAAAGAATGTGGTCTTGCAGTTTTATCACGTCTGAGGAAATATGCCCAGAGACCTGTATCCTCAACAAGCTCTCCAAATGGGAGCTTGAACGAGTTATATTATACAGCAAAATTTCTTATGGGACCGATGTGTTTTTTTTTTTTTTTTTTTTTGAACTTACAAATGTTCACTTTCGTATTAGAGACCTTCACTTTCCAATTAGAAGCCTTCACTTTCGTATTGGAAGCCAGCATCACCTTGAGTTTATCAGTGGTGCCTTGACAAGCAGTCCTGATAGGTCTATTCGAACCTTGTTGAGGGTTTCCCTGTTTCAGTTTACAATCGTTAGCTAGCCAGCTCATCAAGTGCTTTTCCTTTTTACTGAGACAGATTTACACCCGACTATAACAAAGGCAACCACGACCACGACCTCAGCTAACCACCCAGAGTAAGAGCCCCGCCGCATCAACCACACGTTGCGACCACAATTAATGTAACAAAAAAGCCACCTAGATTCGAATTCTTAATTAGCTTTGATTTCCTGCACGATGCACGAGAACTTTCAAAAGCCCATCCTGTCTCAAGCAAATGCACCTAGAGTAATCCGACCGCCAAGCACAATAGCAGTTAGCAGAATGCGCACCACAACTTTCGATGAAGCAGATTCTAAGCAATACATTAGAAACATCCTTGCTGCGGTTTGTTTATTTTACTCCCCAACTTTCTCTCAGATGCACTAATCGACTTCAAGTACTCTCCATCAAAACTTGAAGCAGGTGCCCGGCCCTCTACTCCACTACTCAAAGCAATATTCGACGCCGAATTCCACTACCAAATCCACATGGACACTCGCCTACGCCCTGTCATTGAAGCTACAAGAGTTGCGAAGTTGTTTTACGAAACAGTTACGAAGAAGTTGCCAGAGATCGAACAGGCGGAAATTGACTGGCTGCTAGGAGGCTTCTTACTGAGGCAGATGGTTTTAAAGGAAGGTACAGATCACTACAAGGGAAGAATAACAAGACAACTTTTCATCACAAGATTGAGGGCTGAGTTTCGGGAACGTTGCAGAAAGGCAGGCTACTGAAGTGCGAATTATGGTTGAGGAAGAATCAGCGGTCGGTTACGTGGCAGATGACGTGGGATGAGAGATGAATAAATGAGATACTCATGCAGACGGAGTTAGGATGATTATTTTCTTTGCCATTTGGGGTATTTGGAAGTGTTTGTAGAAGGCGACCCACAGGTGTCATTCAGTGAGATATTCTACGACAGTTTGTTACTAGCGACAAACAAAATACAATGATTTTCCAGAGACACAAAGCTCAATCTTTATCCTTCGTAAACCATCACACTTCTCAAGCAGCTTCCACACCATTCTCCCCTTCACCTTCAGCACCGTTCGTTGCTTTCTCTGCCCGTTCCTTGATACCCTCTCGTACTTTAGGCAAGATATATCTCCCATAATCAATGGCATCATTCAAATTATCGTAACCTCGGATAGAGATAAGTTCACATCCCAAATCAACGTAATCGAGGATCGAATCAACGACAGTTTGATAAGATCCCACAAGTGCAGTGCTAGCACCACGAGCTCCCGTAGCCGTGACTGTAGGATACCACAGTGCACGATCCTGAACTTCACCCTTCTTTGCAATCTCCAAAAGCCGTTGCGAACCAACATTCTGCGGTGCTACAGCATTAGGTCCAACAGCAGTACCTAGAACTCGACTCTTGCCAGCATCTCGATTTGAATTCAGCGCATCGAGTGTACGGTGTGCTTTTGCCCAAGCGAGTTCCTCGGTCTCCGCGACAATAGGACGGAATGTCACCCAGATTCTTGGTCGATCAGTTCGTCCTGCCTTCTCCGCTTCAGCGTAGATACGATCGATTTGACCTTGAGTCTCTTTCAATGGCTCTCCCCAAAGTCCGAAAATGTCCCCAAGACTCCCGCCCACACGGTATGCCTCGTCGGAAGAACCACCGACAGAAACAGGGATTGAAGAGCCGTTATTTGGAACAACCAAGTTCCTGAATCCTTTGAATTGATAGTGCTTTCCATCCCAATCAAAAGCCTCAGTAGATGACCAAGCTCTCTTGCAGATCTTGATAAATTCTTCAAGTCTCTCATAGCGTTGCTCCTTTGTCAAGAAATCTCCTTCACGAGCCTGTTCAACATCACTTCCGCCAGCAATAAAATGCACAACAACACGACCTCCACTGATCTGATCCAAAGTCGCTAAAGCCTTGGCTGCAAGAGTCGGATACAGAGTATTCGGTCTCAACGCGATAATAACCTTGAGCTTCTTCGTCACAGCCGAGATGGTAGAAGCGACGGTCCAAGGGTCGAAGTATGAAGAATCATACGGCACCAACGTGTAGTTGTACTCATAATCATCTAGAGAACGTGCATATCTAATGAGATACTCTGGATCTATTTTAGCTCCCGGGATAGGTGTGATTTCGGTAGATTGATTGGGAAACGTCGCGCTGATGAATTCGACTGGCATTTTGGCGAGATTTGAGGGACCGAGACATCGCGATAATGGCCATCTTAAATGGATGTATTTATGTGGTTATTAATCGTGATGATTGGTAATGTTGAGATTGCGACAGTTATTAGAGTATTGCGTCTTGCAGGTCTCCAGTTTCGTTCTGCGAATAGATGGGTGGTGTTCCCGTGATTTTGCGAGTTGTCCAAAAATGGGGGCTGATGTATCGCAGAGTGCTCCGAAATACTGAGTTACTATATGCTGTCAAACATCAGCCTCTGATTTCAGGGCGTTTGCTGTCTCGTTAATGCCCTCCAGGGTTGTGTTGGGTCAGCATTCGCGATTGTTGGAGGCCTTCAGGATGGTCGCTTGTCCAATTTCGGGCTACCAAAAACGCAATATATTTTGTATTTTTAACATTTCTGTCACATAC